AAAAAAAATAAAATCTTGCAAATAAAAAGTACATGTGACGCTGCATTCTATTTATTATGTTTGAAAACAAGTGATTCAAGTGGTAATAGTCATATTGCTGAAGAGTGATGGAAAAGTGTTTCGACTTGAATATATTATCGAGTCAATCAAAAGTACAAACATCTGCATCTTACGCTCTAGAGTCATGACGAACACTGACACTAAAACAACTAGTGGAAAAGTGTTCATTTTTTTATCGTAATTCTTGCTACTTTTGAATGATCTTGCTATTTCACTCAAAACAAATTTCAAAAAATATAAATAACTGCAACCAATTATTAATTGAATTCTTAGTAGATATTGACAGTAAAGCAATAGAGATGTAATTATGAACCTTTGTCTTGTGATAGCAACTGTAATAATAATATCACTTGTCGTTATTGTTTAGAAGAAGCTGTTCGCAATTGGCAGACATCATTATAAATCATATTTATTTTGCTAGTATTCTCGTTCTTGAACAATCAACTGTTCATATTACAATACATTGAAATCAAAGATTAACAAATAAAAGTTTATTATGATAGCAATACGATTCAGTTCAAATACGCAAAACTCCAGGATCAACTGAGTTCGAAAATAAAGTACCTATTTTTATAATTCTTGTAATGACGAAATCATCAGCAGAATTATCAACAAATTAGATTAGAATTTTTTGAATTCATCTATCTTGATTAAGAAATATCAGCAACACAAAACATTTCATTAACTAATGTCAACAATCAGATTTCGAAAAGAAATTGAAAATATTTAGTTGACTGGTTTTTTTCTTATCATTGAATGCTTTCTTTTTATTGTAATAGTATATTCTGTACTATTATCTTGTAAACTACACACTGGAGCAATAATGCACTTCAACAATGTTTTACTAATAGGAACACCTGACACAAAAATAAGTTACCCTTGAGCAAAATAAAGCTCATTATTTTAGTTTACTAACATAAGCTCTATTCCAACGATTGTCTGCAATAGTGGATGCAATTCTACAAATTCTAGTTATTAGTGAATATTTACATGAATGAAACTAAGCAAATGAGTATAGTATAGGAATATTTAACAAGCACTTTGGTATTTGATCTAGTATAGAATACTAAGATGTGTTATTTTCAGCATACATAAAATCCTCTGTTACGATTGCAACTACTTATTATATGGGCACTCCAAAAACTGCTAGTACTAACGTCATACTATTATCAAATATCATTCTCTTAAAATGAAAATAAATAACAGCTAGATTAATTCCAACGATAGTGTAGTTCTTTTAGCACCTGAACCACTACGTTATAAGCAGTAATAGGTATGTTACCGACTGCTATTTATCTTTAGAGAACAAAAATGATCTGAAAATATCTGTTAACTCTAATAAATTTGATAAGTAGAATTCACTTTTTTTCACATTCAGGGCGGAATTCATAGATTAATTATGTATAAGATTGATGCGGGCAATTACTCTTGAATCAGTTGTGGTAGAACCAGTTGGTGTTCGCATCATTATATGTCAAGCTGATACAGTCAAAGTAATTCGTAGAAAAATGTTTCAAATGTAAAAAAATCAGTTAGTTTTTAATCAACATATCATTGTTAATCTCTATTGAGTGTAAAAGTAAAGTGCAATGTATACCAGTTATTTAATCTTCATACATTTGCTTAACATGCACACAGTACTCAGCTAACACATAACTGTAAAATCTTCATCATAGATATCGTAATATATACTCTGAATCGAAATAAGTATAAAACTACTAAAATTTAAAATGAAGAAAAAAAAGAATTTTTAAATGATTTTTTTAATCGTACACAATCAATAAATCTTCATGAGTTTTTTTCAGCTATTTAAAATCTGCTAACAATGTGGTGTATTAACAATGGAACATATATTTTACATTAGTCTCTTGAACAATAATACTTCGTTTTATTTAGGTGATATCCCGATTTTTGGGTTCAACAAAATATTTAAACTTGATGTCTCAATAGATTTTAATTAGATTGAATTGCAGGTAACATACATAGCACAGCTTGATAGTGGACTAAAAATCGCTAAAAAGCTCTCAAACATTGTTTATTCATAACATCAAAGTGAAGTACGCTAATTTACAGAGCTTCCGTCGTTTTTCTTGAATTTAAATCAGGTCATGTGAAAAATGAAGCAATGGCTAAAGAATTGCTTTTTGTCGCCTGTCGTTGAAAATGTAATGAGACTATCTGTAAACAAATAAATTAAATAAACGAAAATCTTTTAAGTAGTTAAATCATCAATGTCAAATCTTAAATATATATTAACATCAAAAGTATAATTTCTGTAACTTTAAGAAAATGGAATGGCAAGCATCTATTACAGATATGAATATTAGTCTTAAAATCTAAGAACAATATTCGATTTTATTTGTATGCTTGTACCATATCATATTACATATTTTATATTGAACAGATCTTTATGAAATACCTGTTGTATTTGATGAACGTATCATTGCGCCAAAAATTGAGATGCTTCATATATAGAAGCGACATCAGAATTCAAGTAATTACATAATAAATATTAGATATGGCCTCATCTCTACTCTCTACGAAGTAGTTTTTGTTGAAAATTTATTTATTTATTATTAAAATTTTATTCGGACTTAAAATCTCATGTCAGTTTCTATAGTTCAAATGTGAAATATATATTTTGTATTCTGAAATCCATCTAGATTCGAGTATATTTTCAATGAAGTGCTTTACACAAATGATGTCAAAACATATATGTTTTCTTTGACCGGATCTTCCGTGGATTAGTATTTATTTCGATCCTTCATAAATACACGTCAGATTTTTATCGTGTTCCGGTAGAATCAACAAAACATAAAAGAAACACTATTTCCGTTTTTAAATAGCGTGTTGATTTTTCTTTGTATGTAGAGTTTAATTGAACGTGTTTTATCGGCTAAATTAGATTGGTTGGTTCATCAATGGAACACCATAGATGTCGTTAATGGAAATTAAAAAAATAATTTACTAAAAATCATGAATTTATAAAAAGATGCGAAAGAAAAATTTTCATATAATAAAATTTTTTAAATAAATATTTTATTGGTTATATTTTTTTGTTGAACACTTCACAGAAAACAAGCGATGATGCATCACTAAAGAAAGAAGACAAGAGAGGAAGAACGAAGAAATAGTCGGAAAAGTTTGTTTGTTTATTTTTATTGATCGATCAACGATCGATTGAGTTCTTCTTTATTTTTCTATCTGGTCAATGTAAAAAAAACTTACTAATTCTCTATTAATGTCAATATTCTCTTTTAGATTTCGATCTCTTTCTTTTTCTTCTGTTACTTGTTGAGCATAATCACACATCTGCCATTATTGTTTAATATATCGACAAGGTAAGAAATTCGATTTGTTTTATTACACTACAATAGTGTTCATTGATTCTATATACATGAGAAGAAGAAAAAAAGTTATGTTTATTTTATTCAATTTGTTTCTAAGACCTGAAACAATAGATCTAATGTATATTCATAGAGCACTAATTGTATTGTTTTTTTCTTTCCTTTTCTCTCTCGATCAATCGACCGATCGATCAAGAAACAATATTATTATCTTAGTTTTTACAAGCTAACCATAACCAATAAAAGAATATGATAAGATATCGAACCAAGATGAATCCATCTATCATCATGGAATCAATTATTGATTAAAGTCTTACTGACGTAGTGAATATAGAGGCAGAAAAACATAACAAACGAGAGCAAAAAAGAGAGGGCAATACACAATTTGATTATAAGTAATTATAATTGGTAAGCTACGGCAACTGAACACAGTCGGCTATAACCAATTTTACTCTTCTGGTCGTCTTCTTTTCCTTTCGTGTTCTTATACGTATCAAAGAACGCGCTAATCCTAGAGAACGGCACACATGCACGCGCAGTGAAGAAAAAAGAGAAAACCGCGATTCGCTCTATAAAATAAAATATATATGCCGTGCGGCACGAGTGGTGCAACCATAGTCATGATAGTAATCGTATTGGTACCATTTTAGTATTCTTCTCAACTAAAGAGAACAACAAACGGCGGATGAAAAAAAAGAGGAGAAGCAGAAGAAGAAACAGAACACATAGTAGACGAACAAAAAAGAGAGGAAAGAAGGCATTACTAAGTTTACCACTACCACCACCTTTGAACGGAAAGAGAATAGAACAGCGATGAACGCAAATGATTGTTAACACCATCGCCATCGCTTCATCTTGCAAGTAAAAATATAAGCATAGATAAAATAACATGAACGATATTGCTTTCTATTCTCTTTCTCAATCTCTAAGATAACCGTCTGACCGATGGACGCATGAATATGAATAGGACAGAAAGAGGAAGAAGAAGAAGAAGAAAAAACCCGAGAATATCAACCACCTCTAGGTGTATAGGCAAATAATGCATCGTTAGATGTCCAACTATAATAGAGACAACAAACATGGTCGATACAGCGTCCTACCATCAACACCAAGCTTAGTAAGGAAGCGCGCGCGTATGTTTGTCTTGAACGAAAAAAGAGAGACTGAGATGCTAATTTTTGCAATAGTTAAGTAACAATCTGATCACTATGTTTGTCGAGCTGGCATAGAATTTCTTTTTTTTTTGTTTCTATATACATAGAAAAACATACTGACACAATTAATCTTCTTTCTCCTCCCGGCATGATTGTAGAGGCTAGTGCTTATGTAAAAAGAAAAAAGAAATAGCTGATGCCTTACTCGTTTTATTCATAGAGAACCATTGTTTTCATATTAGCCAGCCAGAAGAAAAAAAGAACGAGAGATTCGCAATGGATCATTCTTGTAACAGTTGCAATTTCTCACGAGGATTGATTTCTTTTTTTTTCTTTTAGGTTGGTATACTTACATGTATGCGCTTTTTTCCCCTCATCTTAGTTTTTTTTATCAATAACGAAGAACATATACACTGTAAATTTATTATTTAGTCTCGACATGTCGTCGGCAACAGCTAACGGCATTCAACATCCTCAAACTAATGGTCATGATTCTCAACCAGATCAAAATAATTTTAATATTGATCAAATAGCAGCCGATTTTGATTTAGCTGGTCAAGATGAATGTAATTCATCAGCTCGTATGTTCGAACGTACACGTATTCAAGTGTTGGCTGATGAACGTGGCCATGTACAAAAGAAAACATTTACAAAATGGGTTAATTCACATTTAACTCGTGTTGGTTGTCGTATAACTGATTTATATACTGATTTAGCCGATGGACGAATGTTAATCCGTTTATTAGAATTATTAAGTGGAGAACGTTTACCAAAAGCCACACGTGGAAAAATGCGTATACATTGTCTAGAAAATGTCGATAAAGCTATTATGTTTTTACAAGAACAACATGTTCATTTAGAAAATATTGGGTAAGTAATTTTTCACATTAGAATAAAATCAATCAAACGTTAACTACTAAAAACGGAAGTTTCGGAGGTCTCGTGGCGACCAATTTTGAATCAAGCTATTCGATAGAATATAAAATTTTTAGTAAAAATTCTAATATGAACTTAAATTCATGTGTATGTTTTATTTTGGTATTGAATTTAAACATTCATATGATAAGATTTATCATTGCTTTTTCAATCACCTCGTCTTCTAGAATTACAAAATTGAATGAGAATATCTTTCAGAGAGAAACTGATTACTATTTATCTTATTCAAATCGATAAAACAATTTCGAATGTAGATCAATACTGTCGAAAGTTGAATAATTATTTTGTCATTCGTGTGTTGATGTTGTGTTCATGCAGTGAGAAGTATCAAATTGCACGTTATCAATTATAAAAATAATTGACAAGCCAACAGAATGTCACATTTCTAAAGATAACAACAGATAACGTGAATAGTTTGACTTAACATGTGTGCAACCGCGATATGGATGGGGAAAAAAATGAACATCTAAGAACCTACTAAATACTCTAAGAAGATCGGAAGCCTTTTAAAAGATTCTAATGATGTTCATCATATTAAAAGATGAGATGAGATCTTCTTATAATCGTTCTATAAGTATTCTTTCTAAAACTAATAGTTCAACAGCAAGATAAAAAAGAATATTTCCTTTTGCTCTAGCGCTCATGATATTGTCGATGGAAATTCATCCTTGATTCTTGGCCTTATATGGACAATTATTCTTCGTTTTCAAATTCAAGATATTACTATTGAAGAGTGTGAATCCACAGAAACAAAATCAGCTAAAGATGCTCTACTACTTTGGTGTCAAATGAAAACAGCTGATTATTCAAATATAAATGTACGAAATTTTACAACATCATGGAAAGATGGTTTAGCATTTTGCGGTTTAATACATAAACATCGTCCGGATTTAATACCACAATTTAAAACTTTAACAAAAGACAATCCAAATCATAATTTACAATTAGCATTTGACATATGTGAAAGACGTTTAGGTATAAGTAAATTACTTGATCCTGAAGATGTTAATGTTGATTATGTGGATGAAAAATCTATTATAACATATATTGTTACATTATATCATTATTTTTCGAAAATGAAAAATGATAGTGTACAAGGAAGACGTTTAGCTAAAGTTATTGGTTCAGCACTTGATTCAGAAAAAATGGCTAATGATTATGAACGTTTAGTGTCGGACATATTAGCTTGGATTGAACAAACAATACGTACATTAAATGATCGACAATTTCCAAATGCACTCGCACGTGTACAAGATAAACTTGTTGAATTTAATCGTTATCGTGTTATGGATAAACCACCGCGATTTGCTGAAAAAGGAAATTTAGAAGTTCTATTATTTACATTACAAAGTAAAGAACGTGCCAATCAACAAATTCCATATCAACCACGAGAAGGAAAAATGATATCAGACTTGAATCGTGCTTGGGAGAATCTTGAACGTGCTGAACATGAACGAGAATTAGCATTACGAGAAGAAATTCTTCGACAAGAACGTTTAGAGCAATTAGCAACGAAATTTAATCGAAAAGCTGGTCTAAGAGAAAAATGGTTGACTGATAGTGAAAAACTTGTTGCAAGGTAATCAAATCATGTTGACATGAGCATTACTATTCATAGAATTATGTTCTACGAGATTAAAAATAATGTTCATAATAATCGCGAAAAACGGGCAAAAGTCAAATCTATTGAATATGCGAATGAATAAATCATAGTATATATATATATATATATATATATAATCCTCTTCAATGTGAGTTACGAGTGAAGTCCTTCAACTGCTCCATCGCTTATGAGTCAAGGCTATGTGTATTCGCGGAAGAATAAACTAAGCTATGAATACCCTGAAATGAATCTTAGCTTGTATATTATGGCTGCTGAGATGCCCAACTTTTACAGTTTTTCTTCGAATGTATAGGCCGGTCATTCTAACGGATACTTGAGAAATTTATTTTCAAATTGAATATTGATACAATCGTAGGTCTTCATTAGAATAGCGCCTTTGAAATACTTTATATCGTAGCATCGTTCTTGTTTTAAGACGTGCTAAAAATATGTATCGTACGTCACTGATGTAGAACAACAGATTCAATGTTTTTATTTCATGATAAATGTTAATGGATGACGTCAAACATGCATACTAAACTCGGTACATTGAAAGTTGTTTATATAAACATTATCAAACGAACTACTGTAAAATTTGAGTGTATTCTCAACAGCCAATCGAAAACTCGAGTTCTTTTTTCAAGATATTTACAACTCAATTGAATCTATAAGTTGGAAAGTATTCCGAGTCAAAAGCAATTAATCAATTGAAAAGATTTTCGTATTCGATAGAGTACTGATTGTCATTTATTCATTAGTTCTTATCTTGAGAAAATTAAACGAACTCAGAATAATTTTCTGAAAGTTGTAATCGAAGCTGACGACAGCATTGACTAATCAAATCGAGTAGCATGTTATTTTCTTATCTTTTTTGAATGATGCAATCGTTCTAAATTGATGTTCATTTAGTGATCAATTCGGTACAGATTTAACATCAGTTGAAGCTGCATTTAAAAAACAAGAAGCTATTCAAACTGATATAGCCGCATTTGAAGAACGTCTTCAAAATATTATGGCTATTGCAAATGAACTTAAAACCGAAGATTATCATGATTATGCAACAATTGAAGCACGAAAAAAGAATGTTGAAATGCATTGGGAATATTTAATTGGTCTAGTTACTAAACGTCGACAATGTCTTGAACTTGCTTATAATTTACAGCGTGTTTTTCAAGTATGAGATTTAAAAAAATTGAAAATAATTTCATTTTTCTATAAAATCCTATTTATCTTTATAGGAAATGCAATATATTTTTGAATGGATCACAGATTTAAAATGGCGATTAAAATCTGATGATATTGAAAAATATGTTATGTCAGCTGATGATCTTCTTCAACGACATTCATTAGTCGAAGCTGATATATATATTATTGATGAACGTTTAAAACGAGCTATCACAGATGCTGATGAATATCTCAATCCAGAAGTTAATATTGATGGTTATCGTCCAGCAACACCAGAAGAAATCGAAATACGTATACATAATTTACAAAAAGCATATGAAGAATTAATTGAATTAGCACGTAAACGTCGAGAATTACTTGAACAAGCTAAAGTCTTATCGAAATTCTATTCCGATATTGGCGATGCTGAATTATGGATCGATGAAAAACAACAAACTATGACATCACCCGATATGGGTCACGACGTTAATTCAGCCGACAGTTTACTTTCTAAACACAAATTAGTTGAAACAGACATGACAACAAGGTAACATTTAGTTTAAATCTATTCCGTTTGACTCTCTCGTTGAGGGCGTGACTGTAAACGAAATAGAGGCCTTGCCTACAAACACACATCTTATTGAGTTTATCTTTCCTACTCCTCAATGTATACATAAAGAAACAAATTGACTTCTTGTCAACTACTGACACTGCGCTCGTATAAACATCTATTTGAGAAATCGTAGCTTTAGAGAATATTTCTTTCGTGAAGTACTCTTAAAACTATCACTGTTTGCAAGATAGGAATAATCTTTGAAAATTTCATGTCCGAAGAAAGAAACATTTTGTTAAGCTGTTTAATCTATTTTTCGTATTCTTTTCAGGTATGGTCAATTAGAAAATTTAACTAATCATGGCGAATCAATGATAAAACAAGGTCATTTTGCTGGTAAAAAAGTCTATGAACGTTTAGATATGTTAAAATTAAAATGGGATAATTTAATTGAAATGTCATCAAATCGTGCACAAAGTTTAAATCAAACACATGATTATTATCAATTTTTTTCTGATGCCGATGATATTGATACCTGGATGCTTGATATGTTAAAGCTTGTCTCAAGTGAAGATATTGGCCGCGATGAATTATCAGCTCAAATGCTAATTAAAAAACATAAAGACACCCAAGATCTATTAGATAATTATCACAAAGCAATTGAAGGCTTTAAAAAAAATAATCTTCAAACATTATCAACTGAAAAACAAAATTTACCTGATGTTCAACAACGTTTACAATCGATCGAACGTCGTTATATTGAATTACTTGAATTATCGAAATTACGTAAACAAAAATTACATGATGCTCTTGCGTTATTTCGTTTACTAGCTGATGCTGATAATGTTGAAGCATGGATTGAAGAGAAAGAACGATTTTTAGCAACATTGGATCCAACGCTAGTCAACGATATTGAAGAATTAGAAGTTATTAAACATCGTTTTGATGGTTTTGAACGTGACATGAATTCAACAGCATCGAAAGTTGCTATTGTTGGTCATCAAGCACGTACATTGGTACAAAATGATCATCCGAATTCACAAGAAATTCTAGATCGTATTAATAAATTGAATCATAATTGGGCACAATTACGACGTTTAGTTGATAAGAAACGTGAAGATCTAAGTTCAACATTCGGTGTACAAACATTTCATATTGAATGTAATGAAACAATATCATGGATTCAAGATAAGATTCGTATCGTTCAATCAACTGAAGATTTAGGTAAATATTCAGATAGGAATTTTCATTCTGTTCGAACCTGCCTAAATGCATTTTATTTCAATATCACTCAAATAATTTAATTGTTTGAAAAAGTCAACATAAAATGCAAAAAAATATCTTGGAAGTTAGTCACTGAACAAAGATACTCTATCCCAAGTTTTGTTCAACAGAATACTTTCCAACATGTATTCATTTTTGCTTTGTTTTTTTTTGTAGGTCGTGATCTTGGTGGTGTAATGACTATGCAACGTCGTTTAAGTGGTTTAGAACGCGATATGGCGGCAATACAATCTAAACTTGATCAACTCGAATCTGAAGCTTCAGCATTAGAAAAAGATCATCCGGATGAAGCACGTGAACTACGCACTAAAATAGGACAAATCAATTCTGTTTGGTATGAATTAAAAGAAATTTTACGTCGCCGAGAAGAATCAATGGGTGAAGCTGCTGAATTACAAAAATTCCTTCGTGATCTTGACCATTTTTCGGCATGGTTAACACGTACACAAACATCAGTTGCCAGTGAAGATATACCAAATTCATTAAACGAAGCTGAACAATTATTAAATCAACATCAAACAATCAAAGAAGAAATTGATCGTTATGGTCCCGATTATGGACAAATGAAAGAATATGGTCATCGTGTTATACGTGATGCTGATACAACAGATCCACAATATATATTTTTACGTGAACGTTTGAATGCACTTGATGATGGTTGGAATGAACTTGATCAAATGTGGCATCAGAAAAAGAATATGTTAACTGAAGCTATGCAATATCAAATGTTTGTTAGAGATTCGAATCAAGCTGAAATTTTATTAAATCATCAAGAAGCCTATTTAGCTCGAGAAAAAGAACAGAAACCAAAAACATTTGATGATGTTGAACTTTTACTTAAAAAACATGAAGATTTTGTTACTACAATGACAGCTAATGAAGATAAAATTCAAGGAGTCTGTTCATTTGCTCAACGATTATGTCAAGAAAATCATTATTTAGGTAAATTTGCTATTCTTTTCATGATAAGTATCGTAGAAGATGAACTTTTTATTCTGAAGAGAGCAGTCCTCCTACCCATGATTCAATTTTCAATTTCTCTATGCTTAGTTTCACAGTGTAATTCAAAAGTCAGTTTAGAAATGATTCACAAGGAAGAAAAGATCATTCATATTTAAAAAAAAAAGCCGTAAAAATGCAGTCTCGATTCAAGATCGATTTATAATTTGAACAATTTTTCTCTTGATTCATGACTTGTATTGTGTTTTTTTTAACTATTGTTCAATAAGGATTTAAATTTTTAAAGATTTCATCATCGAATTACTTTTTGAAAATTAAGATTAAAGAAAACTTTTAGAGGGATACACTTCAATGATATAGTAAAAAATTTAGAAAGTACAGTCACATTCTTTTCACTTTTGTCTCTCGGCTTGAGCTCGATCTGATTTAAACAAATTCATTAAATGATAAATTATTCTGATATGGACCAATCATTTATCTCATATCTCACCAGATATAATTTGCGTAAGTTATAATTATCTCTGTCGAAAAGAGCTTTATCTTTTGAATATATTACTGAAAAAAATATCTTGATGAAATCATAACTCTCAAAACTAAAAAACTACCGAATTCGAGCTGTAGTTTTCGTAATAATCATTTGTTTTTCTAGGTGATCGTATTCTATCTCGTGCCTCAGTAATCAATGATCGTTATTCTGCTAATCGTCAAACCGCCATTGAAATGCAAGATAAACTACACGAATCACTCAAATACTTCCAATTTATTCAAGATTGTGATGATCTCAAAGAATGGCTTGAAATGAAATTATTACAGGCTCAAGATGACACTTATCGTGATAGTGCAAATATTCATACGAAATATCTTCGTCATCAAGCATTTCAAGCTGAAATAACATCAAATAAAGAACGTTTATTAGCGTTGAAACGTCACGCTGAACAATTACGAGACGAACATCCGCAACAACTCGATTTCACTGTTATTGATCAACGTATTAATGAATTAGATGAAACATGGTCTCAATTAGAAGACATAACACGTGAAAAAGGTGAGCGTTTATTTGATGCAAATCGTTCGAAATTGTTTCAACAATCGATTACCAATCTCGATGAATTTATGCTTAATATTGAAAAACATTTGTATGCTGGTGAATCAACTGCAGCACCAACAGATTTCCTCGATGGACAGCCATTGACAGCCACAACACTTGAACCCTTAGAAAATAACTTGACTGCAACCAATATTTTACTACTGAAACAAACTACAATCGAAGAAGAATTATTAAAACGTCAACAGCAAGTTGATGAATTACGTGTACAAGCTGAAAAATTAAAACAAATCGAACCTGACAAATCCGAAGAAATCGATACGAAACGTTTACAAGTTGAAGAAAAATTTTCCAAACTTTTACTGCCATTAGAACAGAAAAAATTACGTTTAGAACAACAAAAACATCTTCATCAATACATGCGTGATATTGAAGATGAACAAATATGGTTAAGTGAAAAGCGTCATTTATTGCAAACCTATGGCGATTTAATATTTCATGATAAACAACAAACATTAATGAATATTCAATTGTTAAAACGTAAAAATGAATCACTGTTAAAAGAAATTGAAAATCATGAACAACGTTTATTAGAACACTTAAATAGTGAATGTAAACGTATAAGTCAAGATTATCCAACACGTGCCGATGAATTTCAAGAACGTTTACAACAACTATCGGATAATTATATTGAATTAAAAGAAACAATTAAGAAACGTCGTGAACATTTAGAATTATTAGAAAATATTCATCAATATTATTATGATCTAAGTGAAGCTGAAGCTTGGTTAGGTGAACAAGAATTATATATGATGAGTGAAGAACGTGGTAAAGATGAATTGTCAACACAGACATTCATACGTAAACAACAAACAATGGAACAAACAATTGAAAATTATAGTGATATTCTAAGAGAATTAGGTGATAACGCAAAAAGTTTAATACAAGATTTAGAAGAATCAAGTTTATCACGAGATTTAATTAATGAAAATCATGATTTAATTAATAAACGACAAACACAATTAGATAAACTATACGCTAGTTTGAAAGATCTATCTGTTGAACGACGACAACGTTTAGATGAAACATTAAAACTCTATCGACTTCATAGAGAAATTGACGATCTTGAACAATGGATATCGGATAGAGAATTAATTGCCGGTTCACATGAACTAGGACAAGATTTTGAACATGTATCAATGTTACTTGATCGTTTTGCTGCATTTTCACAAGAAACTGAACAAATTGGTAATGAACGTTTACAGCATGCTAATGAAATGATCGATATTTTAATTGCCAATGGACATGTTGATTCAGCACAAATAGCTGAATTGAAAGATACATTGAATGAATCTTATCAAGATCTATTAGAACTGATCGAAACACGTTTACAATCATTGAAAGCTTCATGGGAATTACAGAAATTTTTACATGATTGTAAAGAAATTTTACTTACTATGCAAGAACGTAAAAATGCCATACCAGATGAAATCGGTCGAGATCAACAAAGTGTACAACAATTATTACGTAAACATCAACAATTTGAAACAGAATTAGTTTTACTAGCACAAGATATTCAACGTATACAACAAGAATCAAAACGTTTACATGGACGTTATGCTGGCGAAAAAGAAACAGAAATTAAACAAAAAGAAGTCGATGTTTTAACACAATGGAAATCATTACAACAATTCGTTGATCAACGTAAACGTTTATTAAATGATTATGAAGATTTGCATCGATTCTTTAATTTAACAAGAGATTTAAATATGTGGATGGATGTCATGATTAGACAAATGAATAATAGCTTGAAACCACGTGATGTTAGTGGAGTTGATTTATTAATGAATAATCATCAAAGTTTAAAAGCAGAAATCGATGCCAGACAAGAAAATTTTACTATGTGTATTAATTTAGGTATGTTCTAGTTTTATGACACACAATTGAAATCAAATTTTACACTTTGTTCCATTTATTTCGATAGTAAAATACTAAAAATTGTCTAATTTGAGAACTATGCAAAAGAAATAAAGCCAATACACTCTGATTTTACGATATGCTGGGGGAGAAAATTACATCCGATTATAAACGAAATAATGTTGGTGTCGTTTGATATCATTATTTTTAAGATTTTTTCATATTCATGACTTATTCATTTCTATATATATCACGATTGCTGATAATAATGAGATGCACATTTTCATTTGTTTCTCGTTATATGTGGGTGTACAAGAACATATGTTGCCCACTGCACAAAGGTTGCTATTATTCATGGAGGCGTAAATACGCGCCCATTGATCATTATAATGAGGTACTCATGTTGGCAAGATTTTACCGTAGATTTAATCATAAAAACGAAGCATAACATGAGACAAGGTGTCGATATCAATATCGTTTTTAGCAAGAAAAACATTTACATTGTTATTTTTGATGCCTATACATTCTACTAATCATGTTGCGGAGTTCTATTTATTCTCATATAATGATAGAGCATGATAATCTAAATGAAAACTAAAGATATAATACTATACTCAGTCATTTTGCAATGGAATCATTTCTAATTTCAGCTACTGAAAATTTTTGCTAAAAATAATTTTTAATATATTGGTACAAAAAAAAAGAAACAATAGTATATTTTTGTGGCCGCAAAATTCAGTTCTGTTTTGAAAGAATTAATGCTCTAAAATCATTGGTATTAGGCTAGCGGTTCTTACGTTAGTAGGATTTACTATGATATCGATTGCTTTGTTATGAAATTTCAAAAATTGATTCATTTTTTAATTTCAATAAATTATTTTAGGCAAAGATTTAATCAATCGTCGTCATGCTCGTTCATCTGAAGTCAAAGACAAATGTGTACAATTATCTATGTTACGTGATCGTCTTGATGATACATGGAATGAACGTTGGGATTATTTGCAAGTTATTTTAGATGTTTATCAATTTGCTCGTGATGCTGCTATAGCTGAAACATGGTTAATTGCTCAAGAATCCTACTTAAATAATGAAGAACTTGGTGAAACATTAGATCAAGTTGAAAATTTAATAAAACGTCACGAACAATTCGAAAAATCTCTAATGGCTCAAGAAGATCGTTTCAATGCCTTACGTAATTTAACACAATTAGAAAAGAAACGGCAATTACCACCGTCAGAACCACGTCAAAGTCGTTTACCAATCTATTTAGAAGAATTTAAAACATGGGAAGAACGTGATACTGAACGGCCATCAACATCACCAGATAAATCTAAACTTCGATCAAGCACAGCAGAAGAAAAAACAGTTACTGATGGCAGTGGTCGTCCAACAACATTACCAGGTAAACAACGTTCTAGCCAAGAATATGAATCCATGAGTGGTAAACAACGACGATCAGAATCTGCAACACGTTTACCAACAATCAAAGAAGGTTTCTTATCACGTAAACATGAATGGGAAGGACATGAACGTAAAGCAACGCACCGTGCATGGGAAAAATTTTATTGCGTATTGACAAGCAAAGGTTTATCGTTTTTTAAAGATTCTAAACATTTAAAAACAGGCCGAACAGTTAGTGATGATCTTAATTTTGATTCGTCGACTAGTGTTGCACAAGCTACAGATTATCGTAAAAAAACAAATGTATTCCGTTTGAAACTCAGTGGTGGAAATGAATATTTATTTCATGCTAAAGATGATACTGAAATGAATGAATGGATAACATCAATTAATAGCTGTATATCTTCCATATCAACAGTCTCAAGTACAACAACACAAATGCCATCAGTAGCATTAACGTCACCACCAACTGTTATTAATTCATCATCATCATCAACAAGTTCTCCTAAACATCAACAACAACAACAACCAGTCATGACAACAAGTTCCTCAGGTAATAATCAGTTGTTGTTTTTTTTTCGTAAGAAAATGATTCATTTATTATTTAACGCAGGTGTTGAAATGACACAAGCACCAACAAGTACAGAACAAAAATCTCGAACATTGCCATTACAATCTAGTACATCAGCTGAATCAACTTCAGCTCAACAAGCAACAAGTGGGAAGAAAAAATCTGGCGGCTTTTTCTCAATAAAAAGAAAATGAATAGAGAATGACTTTTGACTCATGACAAAAAGAAAAAATTAATAATAAATGCATATAGACTCGTTTTTTTTCTTCTTCAAAAATAGGAAAAACAAAAGACGCTCATAATAACACTATCAATCCCACCCGAAAATAAATATGATTACATCATGTATCCTAGTCAGTACGGATCTCTCGTTCTATGAGATGATTTTTATTTAAAATAGTGGACTCTTTATTTCTTCCATTATTAACCATCGTAATATGTTGCTGTGCTCAGATTTGTTGTTTTGCTTCTGTTGTTTTTTTTGCGCATATATATATACATATACATAGTTGTTCTTTAACCCTACTTATTTCTCAGTAGATTTGAAACATTTAAAACATAACGTTGAGAACAAAATCAAGCAAACTTTTGTTTCCTATAATTGTTGTTGTGTGTGCTGTTTAATGGTGATTCTGTCTATCTTACTTTCGTTTTTTTTACATTATTTTTGTTCCTTCAATCTCTCTCTCTCTCTCTCTCTCTTTTTCTTTCTTAATGCTCATGTATGGGTGTATTCGTTGTTTCGCTTTTTGCGTTTATCTCTATCTTTTCTCATTTATCTGAAATTACATCATGATTACTTTCTAATTAAGAAAAAAAAAATCCATATTTGAAATTTTGAACCAATTCAATGGGAATTCAATTGAATCGATTCATATATCGGCATTCTCTATGGATAAAAAATAATGAGTGCCAAGGTGCAACATCCTATTATTGTCAAATTAAAGTATATCGATATTTTTCATGAGGCGAACTTTTTCAAGATCTATATGGCTCTTTGATCGATATCATTGCTCGATCATCTATTATAGGAAAATAATGAAGATATATTGATATGTCTAAGCATGCTTGGACCAACACGCCAGAATAATCATGCCGCTTGCTGAAAGAGAAAAAGAAATCAATTTTCATTTATTTTCTTCTTGTTCTATATCAAGAATTTTACTTGATGCACTTCTGAGAAATAATTAGTACTTTACTCAATCGAACAGGACACGGTTCTTTTTTCATACTGTTGAGTAAAGTTGTGGTAAAAAAAATCTCGTATTTTTTTCATTTGTTGTTTCTTCATTTACTCATCGTTTTGCAATTTGCTGTCAAGGTAAAATCATATTGAAATAGTAATAAGAAAAAATTAACTGATCAATGTATCAATTTAAAACGGTAGATGCTAGTAAATCATTTTCACACCTTTATAATAAAGTGTTTTCTATAAAAAAAAAACATTGATATAAGTAAATTGATCTCGCCGATAACCTTTTCCGATCATGTCAAACGCTACTCATCATTTACATTGATTATGAATATATTTCAATTAAGTTAACGTTTTATAAAAAACAAAAAAGAAAAAAACTAATTTATCATTCTAGTCATGAGGCATTTTTAATGGCATACGTGGAAAAAAGATAACGCGGAACACTTTGACAAGTCAAATAACAACGCACACACCGATAAGAACGATAAAGATCGACATCTAAACTACTAGCGACCTCCATAAAAGAGGTCTAATAAAATATGACGATTCGACAACATGCATCACTCGATTATTATTTATCTATTATTATTTGATGTCTCTTTCTACAACAATCTGGCGACGCAGCATTCACACAGTACATAAAATAGTTATTTTCTATATTTTCTTTTTTTTCTTTTTCTAGTATTTATTATTTTCTCCTCATTAATCTCGAATAATAACGTAACCGAAATAATAATAAATTTCAATGAATATTCAACTTATTGATTTTGAATGGAATATGCGCCATTAGTGAATGAAGACGATGAAGCAAATGAATGTTTATCTTCAGATGAAATCGAATTGAAACCTCGAAATATTCTTAAAATAAATCACGAATCGAAATTAAGAACTAATTTAAAACCAAAAATGGGTATATCGTGTTCATCTATTTTATCCATATGTCGTAATAAAGCGCATAAAACACAGCCACGTAATATTATGATCAGTCGACGCGATCTTAATTCCATTTGGTATCCAAAAAATGTCATTCGAAATCAAAAATATAATATTTTGACATTCATTCCACTTGTTCTTTTTGAACAATTTCGTTTTTTTCTTAATCTTTATTTTCTTGTTATGGCATGTACACAATTTATTCCTATGTTTCGTGTTGGCTATCTATATACATATTGGGGTCCGTTAGCTTTCGTTCTATTTGTAACTATGTTACGTGAAGCCTATGATGATATTAAACGAGCATATCGAGATAAAGAACTAAATTCGCAAATGTATACATTGTTATGTGCTAATGGAAGAAGAAAAAAAGTTCCAAGTTCCCAGCTGCAAGTATCCGATGTTATTGTTATACAAAAAAATCAACGTGTACCAGCTGATGTCGTACTTTTACAAACATCTGATAAATCCGGTATGAACTATTTATAGATTTGTTTGCATACATTAAAATATTTAATCTTATTAAATTATTGTAAAATAATATGTATATCCAAATAATTAGTAGTATTGCATATTTACTAAGAGAATATTCGTCTTTGTTAATTTAATGCAATAGAAATTTCCTATTTCTTTGTAATATATGAAGACGGAATCAATTTCGATACGAAACCAGAAGTGAATGATTGTCACATAAGCAATAGGGATTACTATTTTTATTGTTATCAGGATATATGAGTTTTTTCTTTTTGGAATAAAATATGCTGACTGAAATAAGAATTATGATTACTATTAGATGATTTTCTTCTTCTTCTATTCTTTTCGATCCCTGAAGAGGTATCAAAAATTGTTTGATTTCCGTTAACTGCATCGTTTCGAAAACAAAAATATGACTATTACTTTTTTTTCTTCTTAGGCACTTGTTTTATTCGTACTGATCAATTAGATGGTGAAACTGATTGGAAGTTACGTATAGCTGCTCCTATGACACACTCCCTTGAAGATATATCTGTTTTAATATCTGAAGCAAGTGCAACAGCAAAAATTCATGCTGAACCTCCTAGTTTAAGTATACATGAATTTAATGGTGTTATATCATGGAAACAAGATGAACCATTAACAGTAGAAAGTGTCCTATGGTCCGGCACTGTTGTTGCCACTGGTGAAGCTGTATGTTGTGTTGTATATACTGGATCTGATACACGTATGGTTATGAATACAAGTAAACCACGATCGAAAGCAGGTTTACTCGATATTGAAATAAATACATTAACTAAATTATTATTTGCTGCACTTGTTCTTTTGTCTATGGTGATGCTCATATTGAAAGGTTTTCGTGGGCCATGGTATCGATATTTAGTACGATTTTTTCTTTTATTCTCCTATATGATACCCATAAGTCTTCGTGTTAATCTTGATATGGGTAAAACAGTATATGCTTGGTTTATACAACGCGATAAAAATATACCTGGTACTGTTGTACGTACTAGTACAATACCTGAAGAACTGGGACGAATTGGTTATCTTTTATCGGATAAAACAGGAACATTAACACAAAATTTAATGATATTCAAACGTATACATCTGGGAACAGTATCATATACAAATGAAAATCAAGCTGAAGTATCCAATTTACTTAAACAACAATTTAGAACAATAACAACTCCTATACATGAAAATCAACTGTTAATGTCATCAGCAATGTCATCATCAAGTAAAACACGTAGTGTGGTGAAAAAAACTGAAGCAACCAAAGTGCCCGAAGCCGTTAAAGCATTAGCTTTATGTCATAATGTAACACCGGTATTCGAAGAAAAAATATCTCCATCACTAGATACATCCGCTCGTTCAACAGATGACAAAAATGCAAGTACACCAACCACTACTCGAACTTCTATAATACGACGTAGTGGTGATATTAGTTCGCTACCTGATACACCATTGACGGGTGCAACTTCACTGAATACTACTGATGCATCTGATATCGCACAGTTATTACCACCTACAGGTCAGTAAATATAACATAGGTTTATTTGAAATTTCTTTTTTTGTAAGTACAATTTACAAAGAATACCAAACTACTTTTTTTTTTTTTTTGTGAATACTTTCTATTTTCTACCATCTTTTAGAATCATCAAAAGGTGGTCAATAAGTTCTAGCTATAATTTAGTTTTAGTTTCGCTTCCAATTATTTTACTATCTATGTGCTTTAAGCTATGACTTGAAATGATATCGACAAAAAAAAAGATTTTTTTCTTTTTATTAATAACGGAAGTAAATATTTTTGATTATGCATGATGACGAAAGATTTTGAAAAGACAAAAAAAAAGATGCTTCCGCATGATAATAAATTGACAACGAATAGATAACAGCTGACATATTTTGTAATTAACTTTTCGATTCAATTTAGTTGTACATTGAGTTTATCGTGTATTGACTTTAATTTTTAGACAAAGAATTGAATGATTTAATTAACTTGATCATGTGTTGTTTTCTTTTTATTTCATAGACGTAACATATCAAGCATCGAGTCCTGATGAAATAGCTCTTGTCGAATGGACAGAACAAGTCGGTTTAACTCTTGTCCATCGTGATTTACAATCCATGACATTACAATTAAATGCTACTCAACAATTATTCCATTATCAAATCTTACAAATGTTTCCATTTACATCAGAAACAAAACGAATGGGAATAATTATACGTGATGAACAAACTAATGAAATTATATTTTATTTAAAAGGTGCTGATGTTGTTATGCAATCGTTTGTTCAATATAATGATTGGCTACAAGAAGAATGTTCAAATATGGCTCGTGAAGGTTTACGTACATTGGTTGTAGCTAAAAAGACTATAACACCCGAACATTATCAAGATTTTGAACAACGTTTAATGAAAGCAAGATTACAAACAATCGATCGTAATCGTCGTGTTAATGAAGTTATTGAAACACTAGAACGTGACATGGAATTATTATGCGTAACTGGTGTTGAAGATAAACTACAAGAAAATGTAAGACAAACATTAGAAATTTTACGTAATGCTGGAATTAAAGTCTGGATGTTAACTGGTGATAAATTAGAAACAGCAACATGTATTGCTAAAAGTTCGAAATTAATTGGACGTGATCATGATATATATACATTTAAACAAATTACAACTCGAGAAGAATGTTTACAAGAAATAAATATGTTTAGAAGAAAAGCCGATGCATGTTTAATAATAACAGGTGATACATTACAAATATGTCTATCGTTCTACGAACGAGATCTCATGGAATTAATTATTCAATGTCCAGCTGTTGTGGTTTGTCGTTGCTCACCAACACAAAAAGCTAATGTTGTAGAATTATTAAAGAAATATGGAAATCAACGTGTACGAGTTTGTGCTATTGGTGATGGAGGGAATGACGTTAGCATGATACAAAGTGCAGATGTTGGTGTTGGCATTGTTGGAAAAGAAGGTATACAATTTTGTTTTTAATTTTCAATGAAAATTTCGCATAAAAAAACTCTTTTTTATTTTATTTTTAGGTAAACAGGCATCATTAGCTGCTGATTTTTCCATAAATCAATTTTCATATTTATCACGACTATTACTTGTTCATGGTCGTAATAGTTATAAACGTTCGGCAGCTCTATCTCAATTTGTAATGCATCGTGGTTTAATCATCAGTGTTATGCAAGCAATATTTTCGTCAATATTTTATTTTGCTTCTATATCACTCTATCAAGGCTTTTTGCTTGTTGGTTATGGTACTGTCTATACAATGTTTCCTGTTTTCTCACTCGTATTAGATAAAGATGTACGATCCGAAATAGCACTACTTTATCCAGAATTGTATAAAGAATTATCCAAGGGAAGAAGTTTATCATTTAAAACATTTTTTCTTTGGGTTTTTATTTCAATATATCAAGGTGGAGCAATTATGTATGGATCGTTTCTTTTATTCGATGATGATTTTATTCATGTTGTTTCCATTACATTTACTTCATTAATTTTAACAGAATTACTTATGGTTGCACTTACGGTAAGTAGGATAAATAGCTCGAAATAAGTAAAAAAAACAACTTCAAGATTCTATCAAACGAATAAAATTCAAACTGAGTTAGTTTAAATAATTCATGAAATAGAATATGAATGCCAGTGAACTAGACATTTTATAGTGGAAGAAAAAAATAGATTCCTAAGCCGACTGCGACAAACATTTTAATGTGTATTGATCTGCAGGGATTCACATTATCTATCACTTATGGCATTTCGACATGCATACCAACATATTAGCATAACTGTTTTCCTTCTGTTACGAACGTATACTATTTATAGACTATAGTCATTTTTAAAGACTGCCTGAGATATTGTTGAAATGTTTTGGTTTTGTGAGAAAAATAACTCCATAGGAATCATACAAAAGGTTCTGACCTTTTTTATATATCAATATACTATTCATGATTGAAAGTATAGAAGAAATATCTTGCTAAAGAATAATCTAAAATTGCATCTATAGTTTGATCTCATACAAATCTCTAATATAGAGTATTCCAATGCAAATTGAATTCTTAGACGAGTCTATAATTGATGTTTATATTCTCCTAGGGCTTTGTTTTCTTATTAGTAGAATTCTAACTAATATACTAAATTCAACTAGGAAATCCATTAATCACACGAAAGTATTTTCTCCTGGGGCTTACAAGCAATAAAAAGCAAGTATCAAACTTCAGGAATTTTACAGAATGGATATTATCTATTTTCTCTTGGGTAATATATTTCCTTTTTTTTGTTGCTACTCGAAGATGCTTAATTGTCTATAATAGAAATTCCTTATCTTAATGATGTAGAAACAACTGCTAATATTTCCTGACATTTTAATGAGAACGAATGATGACGTTGAAAACATGTATGATGAACTCGAGAATCTTAACAATGTCTAAAGAATAATATCATCTGTTAACGTTCAACGGGTTCAATAAAAACATATTATAAAAAAAAGAATGAAATTCTGTGTTTGTTTGTTGTTGTTGAACATTGAGGATTTATAGAAGATAATTCATTTTCTCTAAAAATTTATCATATGAAAAATATTTTAATTTCAATAGATTCGAACGTGGCATCCACTAATGATTTTGGCCCAATTATTAAGTCTTGCTTGTTATGTTCTTTCATTGATTGTTCTGAAATCCCATTTCGATCCTGAATTTCTTCAATCGTGGGATTTCATATGGCGTGTCCTTCTTGTTACATTGATATCATGTTTACCATTATATGTTCTTAAATTTGTTCAAGTGAAATGTAAGCCACCCATCCAACAAAAACTCATGCAATATGCCACATTGAAATAAATAAATAAATAAATAAATAAATAAATAAATGAATGAATGAACAATCGATTTATCGATAATGTCTTTTTCTTTTTTCTTTTGTTTGTTTTCTTTTCTTCTTTTGTGAGGGATGTGTCGATTTTGTGCGACAGTATTTATTCACTTTTTTTGCGCTTTATCCCGTCTATTCAAAAGCATGTGTGTTACAGTGAAGATAATATAAATATATATATATATATAATGAAGAAGAAGGTTGAGAAAATAAATTCGATCAATCTATTGTTATTTCATATATTCCAGATAAATGGATGATGTATCACCTTTTGATTATCTTTCGTTTATTTCAACAATTATTATTTGTTTAACATTTTCCATCGTTTATGTACTGGGTTTGTATGTTTTATCGCCATCATCACATCGATATCAACGCAATCATCCCAATGTGATTTGTCGAAGATTTTTTGCCGTTTTAATTGTTTGCTCATTAGTTTATTTATTTTTAAAACATACATCTAATCCAAACATCAATATTAATACATGGCTAGGGTTTCGAAGAAATATTGAGTCGAAATGGAAATTATTTTTCTATCCAACTCTATTAACATTACTTTTGTATTTGGGCCCTATTATTCAATGGATAGATTTATTTGAGTGGAGATATTATAGGCATAATTGGAAACATATTCTACCATTTCAAGACACCCATGAACAACTTATATTTATTCGAAATTATATTGTCGCACCATTTACAGAAGGTAAATATACTAAGCAAAATTTTCCATCGAATGAAGAACTATCGGGGCTTATTCTTTTTTAACGGGATTCATCAATTAAAATAATGCTTCAGCAAGTCCACACGCTCGACGTGTATACATCGAGAAACCATATGGGATTAATTCGCCAATGCTTATTAGCTTATTAAAACAAATTCTCTGAAAATAAGTCCCGATAACTACTAATCCATTTAAACTCGAGTTAGTGTCACCGAGACCTATCTGTGGTGAAAATGCTTAAGTCGAACAGCGTCTGGCGATTAAGTACATTTTCTTGTGTTAAGATGCTCGATTGATAATATATGAAATATCATTATATTGGAATTATAGAACGTTCTTCGAGATTTTGTTATGAAATAATAGCTCGTGCATGCAATGAGATAACAGAATATAGTTGTCTATATAAATATAGACCGTTACGTACCTGAAGTTATTTCATGAATGTTAATATGTTGTTGTACTTGACTCAACAAGCACATGCTTGATTCTCGGATAATATCCGTTGCTATTACCATGATTTTAAAACGTTTTGCAAACGACGATTTGAAACCCTAGATTCATTCCAGCAGAGAATATGTCGCTGTTTTGATTAGGAAAGATCATAAGAACTCAGTCTATCCTTTAGAAGAAAAGTAACATAAAACATGGCAAAATGTTTCTTTGTAAATCTCAACCTATTCGAAAGTAATGTGATGAATCCTTTGTAGAAAATTGAATAGCGAATTCTTATATTGAGATTAGTCTATTGAATTTTCCGATCGATTTCATCTTAAAATGTTATCATTTAATTTGCATGGATTATGCCTATTTATTAATTTTTATAGAGTTTGTCTTCCGTTCATCAATTCTATGTTTACTTTATTCTCATGTATCATTATTTTCTGCCATATTTTATTCTCCATTATTTTTTGGTCTCGCTCATTTTCATCATATGCTTGAACATTTCAAACAAAATCATAATGAAAGAGGCCATCGATTATCAGCAATAAATATTATACTTATACACCTTTTTCAATTTTCCTACACATATATATTCGGTGTTTATTCATCGTTTCTGTTTATTCGTACGGGTCATTTTATACCATCGTTCATTATACATACATTATGTAATAGTCTTGGTATACCTGATTTTATGAATCTGGTCGATTTGAACGATGGACACAGACAACGAAAAATCATTTACATGATTTGTTATATCATTGGTTTATGGTTATTTTCAACAAATTTATACGCATTTACTCAATCAAATTTTTATTATTCAAATGATAGTAGCATTATTATTTATCGACATTGGTTTAGTTAAACTGTGATGTTTATTATGCTCAAAGAAAAATAATATATTATTGCAAGAAAACTAATGAATATGAGAAGCAACATTATTTTTAAATTTTCTTTTCTATATTGAAATCTTGTTGTGCATGTCAGGTGCTCTGTCGTTTACCCTCCGTTCATTGTCTTAGTGTGATTTTTAAAAAGATTGGACAAGAAAACTTTTTGAGTGGCATAAAAAATGCATTAACATTATATTAGTCTATTGTAACGAAAAACTAACATGTCTGAATAGTTATATTTATATAGTAACGGTTTTTTTTGTGTGCTTAGTTTTAATAAATCAAAAACTAATAGGAAAGATTAAATTAATATTTTTAGTAGTTCTAGAATTTGTGGATTAGCATTTCATTCATAATTCTATAATCTCTTAATTAATTTCACTGCATTATACGTATGCATGCATTGATGATCAAAACTTTTAAAAATATATCGAATGAAACAATGAAAATATTGTAACAACAACATATAAACTTGAGTTCTGTAGTGATTTTACATCGTTAAAGAAAAATCAATTGTTTGAGTTAAGAAAAAAAAACATAACTTTAAAGGATTGCCATCACATGCTCATGACTCGGCGTACTTTTAATCGGATACCACTCGTTTGCTCTTCATGAATATGATTCTTTGATTGACGTATGGTATGAACTAGAAATAATGTGTTCGAAAGTATAATAATTGCTGCTGATATTAGTATGAAAGCAATAAATGAAACAGCTGCTCGAAAGACTGATCACATAAGAATTGCTATTCTAATCATTACTAATCCACGACCAATTATCAAGGGAATTCCCCAGTATTGCTGACGTGCAACATAATATAGAAATTTAAAGAGAAAGCCAATAAGTGATAAAATACTAGTACAAATACCTCATTGACTTAGAATACCAATCATACTTTGAGATTGAATTTCCCATGCATAACAAATGATCATTTCGGCTGTCACATTTGGAGTTGCTATATGCTCATTGAGTGGGCAATTGACTGGATCCGAATGGAAACTGAAGACAGAGTCGAAATAGAAACATGTAATTGGCCAGTGTTTTTAGGCATATGCTGCTAACTTTTAAGATATTTCTAGATAGAATACATCCGTCAACAAATACAACTGCTATTGGAAAGAAACAGACGAGTGCAATGATTTTCAAAATGATTCGAACTCTTCTGTTCTTTGAAAAATTCACTCGGGCTCCATAGATGTCGATAATAGTTTCTTTGTTATTCTTTGATACACCTTAAATATACCAAAGTTTGCATCGAGAAATGAGAAATAAACTGATCTTAAACGGATCGTAGTAAACATAATTAATAAAATGATTAAAATACTGATATGAAGACCGAATATAATACATGTGTATACTAAATTTGAAGTCATCAATGCGAATACCAAAGTCTTTAACTAATGTTTGTTTCTCGTCGCTAGTAGATATTAACTGTTTAATGTTTTTTTTATAGTGGTTTCAAACTTTAGCCATTTTTTTTTCTCATTGTTCAAACGGAAATGATGTTAGAACTAACACAGATAACTAGACTCTGTCAATTCTATATGACTGATTCCAAGGATCACATTTATCTTCACATATATATTAGACAAATTTTTATTTTATAGCACTTAATTAAAATAAAAAAACAACAAAATATTTCAAGGATCTCACTCGTTTTATGATATACATGACTTCTAAAACCGTCTTTAAATAATAAAAAGGAAAATATTAGGTTCCTGTAAAAGAATGAAACGGTTCTCTAACATTTTATATATTATTAAAGAACTTTGAACTAGTTGAAGGCTGATGATTTCTAATAAAGGAGAAATACTATGTTCAAATCATTGATTAATGTAGCTGATTTATAGTCAGTTCGGGTCGGAACGCTTTTGTGCAGACATCAGTTTTCATTATGTAACTCTGACGGATTCTGATAGTTGTTACAGTATAAAATATTCTTACTCCTTGTTTCCTCCCTTGGCTATCTATCATTCGGATTGTGAACATATACGCATTATTTTTTTTTATTTTCTAATTTTTCTTGAGTCTTATCCTATTACGGCAGGTCACCAGTTTAATCATAACAGACATAAAAAACACACTAATTTTTGCACAATATACGTATTTCTCTTAGAACAAGAATATCATGAATATAAAGAATACTGCTCAGTATATTTCGATACTAACTTCGTCTAACATCATGAATCATGATATCTTCAGCAATCAGTTTCATGTAGAATACATGCGTTAATTTAAAGACAAAAATATCAATCACTGGACAAGTTACGCAATCAATGCAAGCGAGAATAAGAATTATGAAAATGCCACGAATTCATACTATAGCTATGGATTAGAGAATAATGACATAGTAATTCATCATTAAACATTTTTATACGACATTTCTACTCATAAAAACGTCTTTTTTCCTGCCAGTGAAATAGTTATGAGTCTATGTTCTAAAATCAACCACAGATCACGACAGATGTCGATTTCAACCAAATGAAAAAGTAATCTGATATAGCATTGTGATTTTCCAGTGCATCACTAACGGATTTCTCAATCGTAATTAATGTAATACGAGCGTTTTCATATTTCAAGATTTAGACTCGATCATATTAAACCCATTTTTAGTGATGAAACCAATGCTATTTATTTTATTATTTTTGAAAAATTTGATAATTGCATACTTGAAAATTGCTTTGCATCTCTTATCCTTTTATATGTTGGCATGTTTGCGTGTAAATAGATTGAAAATATTGAGTATCAATAATTTTGAATGCAGTTGTGACATGAAAGTATACCAAGTAAATCATAGAGACCATAAATAGTTGCGATATTCAAGAACAATATCAACTTGCAATAGTATCAGAATCTCATGTGATTGGTAAAACAATTTCCATGCCGAATTTATAGATTACATCGATTTTCTTCGATGGAATGTGTTTGCTAAGTTTTTCGATGTTTTCAAGACATTTCTCATGTCTATATTTTATCACCCTTAAAGTTAATTATAGATTCTCAGAAAATATTCATATTGACTTTTCGTTTATGATAAATAGCAATCGTTATCTAGACGGATATAAGCAACTCCAAAGTTATTACAGTACCGTTACTGACTAAAACATTTTTTATTTTTATTCATGATCATCAATCAAATATATTCAACTGTATTCTAATCATTGTGACTTCTATACTAGAAATTCAATTCAAAGTAGTTACTTATAAAATCTGTCAAAGAAAGAGGGGCTATCCCCGATTCGGTCCTTTTTCTTTTTGGTCCCATTCAATGATCTCTCACTTCGGTCCTATCTCAATTCGATCCCTCTTACTTGATTCCCATTTCGGCCCCTCTTCTGTTCAGTTCTATTTCATAAAATAAAAACAAAAGGAGGAATATTTATTTATCATCATCATCATCATGGCTCATTGGCTAAGAAACTATAGCATACTCCAGCTTAAACCAAACCATGTGTCAGAGATTATTGCTTAGTCACCTATTATATTAGAAAAATGAACAGCAAGTTGGAATTCACAACTACTAATCGAAATGCACTTGTACTTAACTATCAAGGTTATCAATGTACAATTAAAAGGCAATATAAAGATAAGAACGAATGGCGGTGCCGACAAAGACCATGTACAACTTCGTTATCATTATGTCGTGCTAACATATCTATGACTCGCGAACCTAGTCATCATACCTGTATACAATCTTCGCCAAAAAAGCTCGTTCTTGAGGAAGTAATATCTCGTATGAAGAAAAGAGCAGGTGAAGAAACTTTACCAATCCCCCAAATATACTCACAAGAAATAATAAAAGTTCATGTCAATAATCCTGATATGAACACTGGTACATTTTTCCAATGTTGGATAGCATTGATTCAAGTTTATATCGTAAACGTGCTCAAAATTATCCGAAAATACCGACAACTATAAGTTATTCTTTTCTATGTTACATAAAAATATGAACCACTATAATTGATTATATTAGGACCGAATTGAGATAGAACCGAAGTGAGAGATCATCGAATGGGACCGAAAAGAAAAAGGATCGACTCGGACCGAATAGGGGTAAACCAAGAAAGAGAGTTATAATATTATTAAATAAATATCATACATGACGTTCAGAACAATATGCTTTTCTTTTAATCAATAAATAAACTTATCGATTGGCAATATTTTATTTACTCAGTAAGCATCACATATGAAATACAAAATGATAAAATGAAAAGTATTAGCAAATCATATCATTATTTCATAGTTGATTATTGTAATTCAATATGGAAAATGTGTACAATGATGCAAGCAATCCTAGTAGAAACAATTTAGACATCGACCGATCTCAACTCAGTATTTCAAGATATCACTTTGACATAGTTCGGATGTCATAGTTACTTGAACAGTTATTTAATATTTATATCGGAAAGTAATTATAAAAGTCTAAATACACGACGTGTATCTTAGAAAAAAAGGTGCTTCTAATGAACTCTATTTTGTTGTTTTCCTCTTGAATTTGATTTAATGGCTTGTACTAATGAATTCATTTTCTCTCTCATCAAGATATAATTATCGAAAATGTCTTATCATTTTTTTGTTATCTCAAGAAAAATTCGTAAGCATATATTCAGACAAAGTTTTCTAAGATAGAACGAAACTCAATATTTTGTGCGTCTGAGCAAATATTTTGAATTTTTCATTAAATTCTATCTATCTAATTTATTACATAGAGAAGAAAACATGGTTCAATTCGAAATCATTGATGTTAGTGTCGTCATTATCAAAGATTCTTATAGGCTAGCTAATATTATACGTGAATCAGACAAAGTTAATGGTGAACTTAGACAAGCTGTGATGCACAAGGCAAATGAGTTGAATATTGTTTGTACGATATTAGAACATTTACGAACTTTCGCACATCGAGTTACTGTAGCTGACGAAGCTTTTATAATTGCAAATATAAATTCGATAACACCCATAATTGAAAATATTAGAAAGACTTTACAAGATGTGGACCGTGATCGAAATTTGTTCGGACGTTTACTCATGAAAGACGATGAACATCGACGATAATTTCGGGAAATCAGTTCACATTTACACGAGTTATGTGCGCTCTTACAAAGATCAGTATCTGCTGTAACGAAAACTGTTGTTCCTGATCATTTATGATTTTTCAATCACAAAAAATGTTCCTCACTCGACAGTCACAACGATTATTGAAGTATTTAATACTTCGACATTTTCGTGTTATATGAAAATAAATGATGAACAAATCATGTTAAGTTATTATTTAAGAACATAATGAGCTGAAAATCCTAAATCAGCAGCTCTGACTGACCGTCGAAAAAGATTTCGTAAGAGTTGGCAAGTAGCATCTACTACTGAAGAACTTATTAATAGTTCAAGTCTTGCTCTGATCAGTTCAAGAGATTTATTACCACCTATGCCAGATGAACTCCAGTAGACTTTTCGGAGGTTTTATTTATGTTCCATGTTGATATTTGTGGTATGACATTAACAAAGTAAGTTACTTACATAACAACAAAATTTGAAATAAATGTTGTATCATTAGAAGAAAAGAAATGTATTGTTAAATATGGTACACATGGTTATGGACCTAATAAATTTAATCGTATATCATATCTTTTTATTGCACCAAATGATGCAACTAGCCTGTATATTGTTGATTGTGCTCAATATTTTGTTCATCAATGCAGAATAGATGATACTGGTCTTTGTTTCGGATATGTTCGTAAATATGTTGTTATTGCAAATGTTCTTCAGCGACATATTTCGGTATCATGTGTTATTCTTAATGGAAACCTTTTGTCAGTGCCCATGCCAATAATTGTTTACATATCTTCCCTCTGAAAGGAGAGCGTCAATCATTATATTTAGTTGATAGATCACCAATATCATTTTCACCTGGACTATTATGTGCTCATGATAAATATTTATATGTTGCTAATCGTTCATCGGAAAGCTCTAGCATATTGGTATTTAATGAGCAATATGAAATAGTGGATTGGTTTCGTAATCCTCTATTAAATGAAAATTTAAGCTATGGATATCGATCCAGTTATCAACGATTTATACATTTTAATAATCACGCATGATGAAAATCATAAAAACAAAAAAAATGACCATTGGTTGTATCAATGGATCTAGAGGTGTAAGCCGCCGCCACCGCCGATGAACCAAAAAAATTTTAATTTTCGAGTCGCCGTCATATAAGCAGAAATACTAAATTTTTGAATATTTTCGATACTCTGAAACAGTATTTTTGATTCTTCTGATCTAACTGTTAATAAGAACGTTCTATATTATCACTTTTCTCTTTTTTGTTACATAATTCTCAAAACGACGAAAATGTTTTTTTAAATAGCATCTAAAAATTTTGAGCCGCCGCCGATGAGCCAAAAACAAATTTCACTTTCGAGCGGCCGCCGCCGCCCCTGCCGGCAACCTAGGCGTCGGCTTACACCTCTAAATGATCCTGTTGTTCGTTCGCGAAAATAGCAATTTGATTTGTTTCAATACATAAGCATTGATCTATGAATTTTCATGAAATTATTGACATATGACTAGCAAGAAAATAATAATTATATTTTTTTGTTCTTTAAATAACTTCGTCAAATAAACATACTGTTGACAACAACTTAAAGTACATATTTTGAAAACAGTTTGTTTTTGTATCCTACAGTTTCTTGCGTTTTAATTTAATTTTCTCTATCAAATTTCTAGATCTTCTATGGATTCAAGAAAAACAGCTCAATGACTTCTTGTTCTACTGATGCATATGTATACTAGATATCTCTATTGTTTTAAATTGAATCAATTGTTGAACAAAATTGAAAACTTTTTGTATTATTTCTTTAAACAATCTTAAATATCAAGTTGACTTGTCATAAATATTCTACATCAAGACAGAATCATCATACACGAGAACTTTTTTGTTTTGTTCTAAAATGAGCATCAAGAAAACAACTGCTCTACAGCGAAATTCAAAAGGTTTCATATTTTGTTGATAGTAGTAGAACAAAAAAATTTGCCTTCTGTTTTTCTTTCGTTGTTTAAACATCACATACATATTTACATAGAACGATTTCTTTTCAGTTCAAAGTACTGTCCTTTTCGAGAGGCAGAATTATAAAAGCGAACATTAACCAATCAACATCTACAAGAAGAATATTCAAAAGGTTTTTATAAAGTGGCATTACCTATTCTTCTTTCTCTTCCACTTTCCACTTGTCTGTTTTATATAGTCACCATCTATTTATTTGCTCGGATACTCTTAGTAACTCATAACGATTTTCTTCTTTTTTTCGCTCTGCCACAAAAAAGCATTCAAGCAAGCAAGCTACATATACAAAAAGAAAGAAAAGACCAGAAAAAGACTTTCTTATTCATTATAGTTAATAGGAAAAAGGATCAAAAACACGTGTACGTCAACAATGGTCCGTACTTCATATATATAGCCAACAGGAATCAAAGATCTTTTGTTTTAGGTGTGGTAGTTAACTCATAATTGAACGTTGAAAGAAAAACTTCCGAGCATAAATGGTAAAAACATCGATAATTGTTTCTTTGTTTTTTTATATAATTGGTTTTCAGCCGCCAAAAAAAGGAGCCGATAAAGAACATGTCGATAAAAAACCGGCTAAAACAGATAAACAAAAAAAGGGAGAAGCAGAAATGATGAAAGCTTTGACTACTCAATATGTAAGTGAAGAGAATCTTCTTTGTTTAAACATTCATTTTATTTATCATAGAATGGCGTTTTATCCCCCGACGATTTAAAAGGTATGATCATTGATATGACATTTTGTTTCTTCTCTCTCTCTCTATATACATGTATATAAGTAGCTTTGATGAAAATAGCTATTACGGAAACTAAATGAAATTGTTCATGTCACAGAAGTAGAAGTAAACATGATCTATGAAGCATAATTTACGAATGTCTGTCAACATTTACTTTGAAAGTGTTTAACAATCATATTCTATAGTATAACTGAGAAGATAAAGCAGCTGACATTATCCATTTACAGTCAGAAGAAAGTTGTTCTGATAAGTCGATCAACGAGAGACAGGATTCTTTATCATTGTATCCGGAGATATACACAGTAGTCTGAGAACGCGAATATTTCAATGTCAATAGTTTGAAACTGATGCAACATTTTCACTTTTAAAATTCCATTTCTCTTTATCCACTCAATTTTAATACATTTCATGTAGACGTTTTGAAAATGTAATAAGTGTCAGAATATAAAACATGTTCGGTTTCTCATTCAAATTTATTAATGAAATTTTAATATTTCCATGAACATATCACTTTTGAAAACATGCATGAAGTACACACTTGATCTAATAGATTTTGAATAATATGTTAAGAACTCACTTGAATAATAACAATGAAAAATAAACATGTGAACAGAAAGTAAATTATTTAGGAATGAAAGATATATTTGACTCATATGACAAGAAAAATGAAGGCTTTATTAAACTAAGTTTACTTGGCAATATTCTTCGTACTATTGGTTTTAATCCAGTTGAAAGTGATGTGCAACGAGCAATACGAGATTTTGATCCACAAAGTAAAAACAAATAGAATTTATAATGGTCTAATTTCTATAGATTTATGTGTTTTTTTCAAGAGACGGATCAGATCAAATTTCCTGACTATGTTGCTGCTGTTTTAAGTATTCCAACGAGTGTCACTGACAAAGATATAATTCCTGCATTTCAAAAATTTGATCCAGACAACCGTGGTTTATTAGAAGCTGATGAAATTTTAAAAAGTTTAACAAATGTTGGCGAGAAATTAGATGAAACGGAAGCAACTGCATTCAAAGAAAGTCTTACAGTAAATGAACATGGTCTATTTGATTATAACGGTAAAAGCAATTCTTTTATTTTAATTCATTACATATTCATTACATTAAATTTTAGAATTTTTTCTTAAATTCACTCAACCACCAGAAACCAAAACAAAGAAAAAAGGAAAGAAGAAGAAGAAGAAAAAATAAATTCGAATATAAACTTAAGAAGGTTGTTTTTCAAAACCTTTGTTGTCACAAGAAAATATTTTTATAAAAAGATGTCAATTAAAGAATTTAAATTGAATTAACTACAACCAATAACTTCATGCATTATAGTACGATATTGTTCTTGAGTTACATTTAATTCACCACCCGTAGTATAACCAGGTAGATAAAGTTCTGCTGCCAAATGCCGATCGTTTGTAAGAGACTAAAAGATAAATAATTTTAAATCAAAAAAATTCTTAACAAAATCCGTAAAAAATTAAAATGTGAAACACAATATAGTTGCGGGTTGTTAATGACATGGCGATTGTTTCTGTTTCTAACGTCGATTGTTTTTCTTTAACTATCACGAGAATATGCTGATGAAGCAATTCATGTGTCACGAACAGATAGAGTCACTAACACGTCTACGATACACATAGGTAAAGGGTTGCTAGGGCGTCGCTCATGTTTTGTGAAGTTTCCGTGATTGCCTTTGCCATTGTGGGTGATTAGCTGTTTCTTATCTGTTCTTCGAAGGAACATAAATTTCTCGGAATCTTTTTAGATCATGATTCACAAATTTGTTTTTTGTTTTGAATACAAACTTTTGAAAATTGTGGATTCGAAAATGTATTCATGGTTGTTTGAATTGTTGAACCAGGAAGAATATTATTTTGACATTGATTAAGACGATTATTAAGCTAAAACAAAAGCTATTATAAAGAATGGAAAAGAATCATAAGAGAATGTTTTACATTAAATGCTGTTTGATCAACTAATTTCATTTTCGAACGCATCAATTCTTGTTTTACAGCAACATTTTCTCCGGTAATTTTATAATTAGCAATTGTAGTAAACAAGTCCTAGGAAAAGATGAAGTTTTGCTGTCTAAATTCTTCTATTCTCAATTTAACATACATTTAAAAGTAATGTTGAACTTTTATAAATATCAGCTATTTCATTAACTTTTGTATCTTTTAGTGGCGTTTGTAGTTTTGATAATTCACTTGATGAACGAGCTATTTTTAATTGCCACATTTCATCTTTCAATAAACGAACTGTATTTCGAAGTGCTATAACCTGTAATATATAGATATATACATTTGTAAAGGTACAATTTCTTTGTCATTAAATAGAATCAAATATTACTTCTTGTTCATTAACTGTTGATCCTATCATGCCTTCATTGACATGCGATGATGATAATTGTCTTTGTGGCGGAAGTCCACCATCATTTGTCGAACCTGAATCGAGAACATGTTTACCAGTAAAAAAAAATAGTGAATTATTCAACAGACCTGAAGTTCTTTGTGTTGCACCGGCATTTTTGTGTATGAGATCGTCGACAAGTTTGGTTTTTGTTAATTGTTTAAGACGTTCTTTCAATGTACTTTTCTCTTGTTCAAGTTGTTCATTATCATTTTGCAATACAGCTATTGCATCTTCGCATTGTCTATATAGAATATTCGATATTATTAACGAACAATCAAATCCTATACTATTATGTTTGTGAGAAAAAAAAATGGTACCTTTGAAAATGTCAAAATAGAATAATCATATTACACGCTTATCCAAGGTATTACTGAATAATTGAGTCGACTGGAGAACTAATACAATAAGTTAATTTTGTTTCTCATCCATTTTTCAAATATTTAAAATTTCCTATTTGACTTCTCAATTTCACCTTCAAAAAGTCTGGAGCAAAACATTAAAAGTATTCCTACAGAGTTCATTTAGGTTTGAATTAAGAACGGCCATTTTTTTCCAGTGACAAATTTCGACAGACTTCGGAAGCGCAGATCGTATCCCCTTCGAGAATAATTTCTTGCTATTTTAGCATGTTGCGTTTACGGTTTCCTTCAAAAATTGCTTTATCTGCCACTTCTTATTTCTTTTGATTGCATTTTCCACTCTCCCTTTACAAAACAGAAATTCAAGCTACAAACATTTTCAGAATACGTGCAAAACGAATTCCTTCTGTTCTGTAGTACACAGTATAATTCGATAGTTGTTAATAAAAAAAACTGACCGAATAAAATTTAACGGTGACTAAAAAAATTGACATTTCTTACTTGATTTTTTTCTCTGCATCGATTCGAGCTTCTTCCAAAACTTGTTTAAGTTTATTTGTTTTTTCGTCAGATTCTTTTTGTAAACTTTCCACTTTTCTCTCATTCAATGATAAGCGTATATTTAATTCACTTAGTTCATCATGTTTCAATTTAAACATTTTTTTAAGATCTAATAATTCTTCTTCTTTTAATTCCAATCGACTACGAATTAAATTGGCTTCATTCATGGATGTTTTTAATTGTTCAGCAACTAAATAAATTGCTTGTTTAGGCTAAAAAATAATAATCAATTAACACATGCTATTACTTTTTTAGTTTCTTACTTTATCATTAGTTTCGTTTGCATTCGAATCAAATAAACCATTTTCAAGTGAATTGCCAATGGTTTTCAATGTTGAAACAGTTTGATGCATAGAATCCCTTTTACAATGATTATGATTAGATTGTATACACTATTTTGTTTTCTACTTACCAAAGACTGTCATAGGGACCACTATCTTCTTTTTTATAGACTTTATCGCATGCTTGATACGCAATACTTTCAATTTCCTGCATACTTATACGTTCGGTTGCATCTAAATAGTAATGAAGATATTGCTTTTACTAAGAATAAAAAAAATTAATTTTACCAGAAAGTAAAAGTATTTGAGTTCCTAAATCGGTACATATTTCATGAAATGTTTTTGCTAAACGATCTAAATGTCTAACAGCTAATTCAATGGAAGATATTGTGTCATTATCAAGTTTCAATGAACGATTCATATCGTCTTCTTGTGGTACAAGACGATTAATCTATTGACAAGAAATTTATCTGATTTGCCAAACAAAAAAAATAATTACTTTAGCTGCTTGTGCTCGCATTTGTTCATTACTTTCAACTAGACGCTTAACAAGAAGAGCGAATGGACTTTGATCACTACCAGGCTATGAAAAATTAAAGAAGATATGATTTATAAAACCGAATATTTATTTTCATAAGATTTTGTTTAAGCATTAAATAAACAAATGAATAATAATGTAAATATACCACCATTAAACACTGTATCATTATTTATAATAATAAAAAACATGCTTCTTAAATCAAATTAAGTAATGTCATGATGATTTAAATTTCCGCTTCGTATGCAATTCTCACTAATGGATATATCGATAGAATATAAAAATCTGAATTTAACTTCCATAGAAAACATTAGAACGCACATAAATGAAATACTGACAGAATAGCATCTCTTCCTGATATAAAAATCCCTAGTGATGGGTCGTTTAAGATAGATTTCAATTTATGCTCAAAAGACAACTGCTACTGAAATATTCATTCTTCTCTTATAATTTGACTCAAAATACATCGTGTAAATAACATTCTATTCTTTAGCACTGAATCATCTAAAGTAATATCCGATAGTATACCGAATTTTGATTCCGATTGTTCAATGTTAATCTACATGTATTATCTAGTGATGTGAGTTTTACCTGGGAATATTATTAAGAACGATCCTATCTGAAAGTGTTTTTCACATCAATTTTGATATCAATAAAATGGCTGTGCAACTAAATACGAAATTTAGAAATAACATAAAATCAACAGTTGAAATCAAGATCTAATACGGAATGCAAAAATCAAGTAGCGATACAATGTTCATGCAATGCACCTTACTAATAAAAAATATTTCTCATGCATTTATAATTTTTACCTGTCCGAGTTGCTATATATTATTTCAATATAAAATCTTTATTACATTGTGCTCAGAAAGAAATCTTTCGTTTTACCTTTTGTAAAAGTTGTATACGTTGCGTGTCTGCTTGAAGTGCATCACTACTGAACAAAACAATTCGTGCTAAATCGCGCATATAAGTCGACATTGAAAAATTTTCTTGATTTAAATAACTTTTGTAAATATGCTAAAATGAAATTGCCATTAGAAAGGAAACACCAATAGAGAATTTAATTACTTCATAAAATGCTATTGTTTTATCTAAAGCACCCAACGATATTGAATCATGTATTTGATCTTTTTGTAAAAGTTCAATAAGAAAGTCAAGTGATTTTTCATATGGTAATAAATCGTGATAAGTGCCTGCTATAACGCGAAGTATATCGGTATTACATATTTCCATTGCTCTATAATTTTCAAATACAAGATAAAAAATGTTCGTTGAGCGAAACAAAAGTATTTACTTGAGATATTTGCTAAGAAGCATTCGAAAGATTGATAAAGATAAACAAAGTTTACAAGTAAAACTCCATTGTTCGGCTCGATGTGATTTAACAACATCATCGAAATTTAATTGTTGTATACGTTCAACTTTTTTTTCAATTTGATTGGTTAATAAATCACATTTTGATATCAATCGTTGTATCAGTAAAAATACAAGTATACAATCATGATCGGCTCCACGTTTAACAAATTGTTCGGGTAAAAATAATGTTAAAAGTTGAACATGTCGTGATAAATTATATACATCAATTTTTTTCAATTCGCCCTCAATAACTTCACCATAGGTTTTTGTTTCGACAATTTTTGCTTTAAATTCACTAGATTGTGCCGAACCAGCTAATTTAAGTTGTTCACCATATTTCTCAATCTGTTTTTTAGTTTGTTCATCTTGATGCTATTGAAAATGAGATGAACATATAGTCAAGGGGCGAACAAAAGAACAAGAACTCCTTACTTGCATAGCCTTGACAGTTTCACGAAATTTTAATATGGTTCGTTCATGATCTCCAATTGTATATTGAAGTTGTTCAACTTGTCGTTCTTTCTAAAGATGTCAAATCTTTGATCAGTCAAAACAATCCAAACAAAAATATCCAAACCTCGCGAATTTGATTCTGTAATAGATCAAGATTTTGACGTAGTTCATGTTCAACGTCTTTAGCATGTTCCTCCATTTCTATTTTGAATCAAAAAAAAAATAGATTTGAGTTTTACACGACTATTTCATTTTTTTACCTTTATCCATTTCACACAGTGATTCCTTTGAAAAGCAAAACGAATTTTGATACGAAAAACAAAGTGAAAGTTAACTTACAAGATTATCAACGTTGTCTTGTAATTCTCGAACTTGATCTTCAAGGGATATATTTTTATTTGTTAAAATATCAACCATTTGTTGAGCACCCAAACATGTATCAACCTAGAGATGAATACAACTCTCTTTACTTTAATCAAGTAATCATGAATGTTACGAGTCTAACCACTCAATAAGTTTTAATATATTTTTATTATTAGAATAAAGTTATGCGGTAGTCGTGATTTTATTTTTATCTTCTCATAGTGATATTCAAAATCATTGCTACCCATCAGTGTTAATATTTCCAAAGAGAAGTTTCACATTCTATGTAACAATACTTTTCGCGCGGCTATCTTCTAATTTTTAAGTAAACTGGTAAAAATCTTAATATTAAACCTGTTCTTTTAAATCAGCAATTGTTGCCTGCATTGTTACAACATCAGTTTTTGCATTTTCATTTTCTTTTGTTAATGCTTTAACTCTATGTTCGAATGTTTCAATTTGTTTTTTTAACGTCTCGTTTTCAGCTTGTTTTGTTAATGACAAATCACGTAATCTGAATAGAAAAATGAATTCCAAAACTTCTAAAAATAAGTAGATCGTTTACTTGATTAATGCTTGCTCCATTTTAATTGTTCGCTCATCATCGATTTTTTGTTGTATTCCACTTGCAACATAACCAGATCCATTTAATTGTATTTCACCTTTAATGATATCTAATTCTAATTGAACTTCTTCTAATTTTTGTTTTAGTGTTGTATTTTCTGTTGTGAAAGTTTCAAGCTACGAAATTAACGACATATTATGATTTGATAAAATTTCGATCAAAACAAAAGTTACTTTTTCTTCAGCCATTTCAAGATCAAGTGCAAGCGATTCAATTCGTACTTCAGTATCATTCATGTCATCACGATATGCAGCAAATTTGTCTCGTGTATCTTTAAGTTCATTTTCTTGTTGTTGAATTTTATCATTTAATTCTTTCATACGTTCTTGTGCTTCACGTTTATATGTTTGTAACTAAATAGAAAAGTTTATTTCTCAATAGGCAAATCTTTCTTTTTTCTTATCAATATACTTGATCAAGTTGAATTTTGGTACGTTCAAAATCTTTTACTTTGTCCAAATCATCACGACGTTTCTTGATTAATGTTTGAATTTGTTCCTCTTGGTCTGTTATTTTACTTTTGAGACTAGCCACTAATTGTTGAGATTCATTTGAACTTGCTTGTGTACTAGATGCAATTTGTTGCGTTGTAGTTGGTAGAGTAGGAGGTACAATGGGTGGCTAAATTGTACATGATCAATATGTTTTTTTAAATGCTTTTGATATGAGTACATGAGAAAAATAACTACGTTGAGTTCAATTAAGAAGTTTAGCTATAGATTCAACTACAGTAGGTTAACTGTTCATTTCTCATGTTTAGTTGTTACTACTATTGTGTTATTTTTTAATGAATCTCCAACTGAAATAGAAAGTCTTTTTTTTATTGAACAATATCTAATGAAGATGAAGTAACCGTAAGCATGTCCATAGAATCTTAGTTTATTAGAAGTTTCTTGTCCGAGTCTTACAGTTAATCGATACAAGGTATGAGTCATCATTATTGCTGTTGGTTACAATTAACTCTTTCGTTTTACCTTTCTTTTCAGAAATAGAAATAAAATAATATATATTCTTTACCGCAGATATTACTGGTTTTGGTTGAGGTGCAGGTACTGGTGCTATTGTTGCAGGTGGAGGTAGAGTTTGTTTAACTACTTCTTTAGGTGGAGGTGGAACTTGTTTAGCTACTTCTTTAGGTGGTGATACTCGTTCACTAGGGATTGTTGCCGCAATTTCATTGGCCGATTGAGCTGATCGAGTAAGACCTTAAAATAAAATACAAATGCAATAATAATAATAATCATAGTAATATATTATATTTATTTCAGAATAGATGTTTAAAAAATTAATTTAACCATAACCGTGAATTAATCAAAATCAAGAGATATAACATCAATAAGACAAGAAAGTTGTTCTCGAAAGAAGTTATTCATACAGTCGAAATGTTTAAAAGAATTTTCTAAAATAAATTCCATGTTTTCGTCTACATTATTATTTAGAAAATCTGAATTTCTCAACACCAATCACGAAGAGAAAAATGTATCATGCATCAAGTGAATACTAGCTGTTGTTCTTTATTACCTGCCGAGTAGAGGTCAATTTCACTTCCTAATTTATGATAAAGCAGATGTCAAAGTTTCTATCATTTGTTTACGAACGAACTGTTTTCTCTTTGTTTGATTATAGTATACCTGAAGATCGTATAGATGTTTGTGATCCAGGTGCTCGGAGTCCGATTTGTTTTGCTGGTAAGCCAGATGATTTCACTGGAGTTCCTGATGTTGCCGGTGCTGGAATACTTCCTGAACTACTTCCTTGAGATTTAACTGAATGATTAGAAGCCGATCGAGATAGATTTGTTTGAGAATCGCTGACAATAGATTCAATTTGCGCAGCTCGAACATAGAGACCATGATTATCAGAACATGAAAAATATCTGACAATTGTTCCATCTAAAATAAATTTTAATCCATTAGTTTAATCAGATATAGAACAGTTCAACACAAAAATACCTTTCTTTTGTACAGTGCCATTATTTTTACCCTTGGACTCATCGAGAACAATACCAATCCACTCGCCTATAAAAATATGAATGTTAAAAGTAGAAGATGAAAACTAACATGGAGTTTATTCACCGTCGGCAAATTCGGTTTTCCCAATAAATGCGATTGTACCGATGCCTTTGCCAGCAATAGATACTCTTTGATCGAGATGGTACGGATTAGCGGAAGCCATCTTTTTGAGAAAAAATTGACAAATGAAGGATGACTGTTCTCGATCGCGAAAAAAAAATAGAATGACTCATTGATCATTTTTCCTCCCAATCATATTTGAAACAGATGTCATTAACATCAATTTTTTAGTTATAATTAAAGTAAAAAATAAAATAATATATTGATTAATCTATTCTAATTAGTGGATAATTTAGAAAAATAGTAATCGTTGATAATCTCTGTGACTAATAAAGGTCATTGCTAACCATCGGGATCATATAATGGTTAATTTTTGACTGCACTTTTAAAGAATATTATTCAATATTGAACGAAAACGATGGTACTTTTACATGGAAAATTAGTTATAGCTGGTTAGTTACTTAGTAATTTTGATGATAAAACTAAATATATTATCGATATTTTAGGTGATATGACTGTTGGCAAAACAGCTATTTGCCATGTCGCTGCAAATGATGCAAATGCATTTCCTAAATCATATAATTGTGTAAGTTGTTCGCACGAATATATCTATGCAAAACCAAGCTGTGTGTTAATTATTTACTTCTATAAATAAGACTATATGATAGAAAGAGCAACAAAAACATATGAGAAGGCTGTGTTGTAACGAAGGCATTTCCTGCAAAATTTCAAGTGACTTCAAGATTTTTTCTTTTCATTATAGGATAATGTCGTTCTAGAGAGTGAATCAAAAAGAGATTCACTCTTTTTCTAAATCCTGCATTTACTATAAAATAGAATTTTCGAATCTATTTCCCACAGCATCAAGAATTCGCGAAAACCATACTAAAATTGATCTGGCTCTATTATGACCAGGGGCGGCGGAGCGTCATTAAGCTAGGTGAGGCTCATAATATTTTTGTTTTCTACCGTGGAATTTTATGAACGCATCAAGCAAAAAATAAGTCTTCTTTTTATTGAACTGCAGTAAAAATAAAATTGGTCAGTATAAAAAGGATGATTGGAAAATACCAAAAAATACTTTTTTTGCTCCTGCTTTGATGCACGAATAAAAAATAACAATATTCAGTACAAAAGTAAGTGAGGCTGAACCTCATCTTGTGAAATCTAGGTGAGACTCAAGCCTCATGGGTCTCAGTCGCTCCACCGCCACTGATTATGACAGTATTTCTCGACATCTGAAAGTAATTTCATTTCGGGATAGACTTCCTGCTTTAAAATTAGTTACTGTCTGTTTCTTAAGACTAGAGGCAAGGAACCGTATTATAATCGAAAACCATCCAATAGAATTTTTACATATTTAAAGTTTTATTAAATATGTCAGTCATATGAAAAATGAATTGAAGCTTTTTTTTTGATTAAGCTACCATGATAAATCAGCAAAAATTAGCTAAAACCTCTTGAAAAATAGAAAGTTACATGCTACGCTTGATTCAATCAGAGAATATAATGAATTTATTTTGTTTATAGACAAATATGGCCGATCTTGTTCCGAAACAAATTCGAGTACCAGATAGTGATGATACTGTGGTTCGTAAATACTGTATATTCGATTTTGATCGTCTCTTTTTAATGAAATATTTATTTGTGCTTCTAGGAATTTTTCTTAATTGATAGCGCTGGAAATTCAATTTATCTTGATTCTTTAAGAGATATTGTATGTTTTTACAAAAAACGCCATAATCTACTGAAAATCTATAGTTTAATATGAATTTAGTGGGTTACTATGGATATGTATTGTATTGTGTACGACATAACTAATCGGAATTCTTTTAAAAATTGTGGCATGTGGCTCGAACAATTAAGTCAATCACGTGGTGATCACAATGTATTTGGTAAAAAGTTCTCTTTTTCTTTCAATATATATTGCTATTTGTTTTATTGTCCAGGCGTTTTAATTGGCAATAAAAAAGATAAAGAAAACTACCGAGTAGTTTCAACGCAAGAAGGTAAACAATTGGCTACGAGTCGAAAATTGGAGTTTTTTGAATGTTCAGCTGTAAGTGATAGTCATTCAATGATTTATATATGCATTTTTGTTGAATTTTTAGAAAGACAATAAGGGTATTGCAGAGATTTTTAAATATCTAGCCAGTGAATTCGTTGGTCGCTATCGAAAACGTATAAAAACATTGGAAAAAATGGGGCGTGATAACTATTAGAAACACTGTTTTCTCTTTTTTTCTTCGTTCTTGTTTCAATTATTATTGTTTAATATCAATGAATGTATGAATAATAAAATCTTGTGAACTCAATTGAAGTTTATTGTTCATTTACAAAAGGTTATCGATGCACATGACCTTTTATGTTGTATACAGGTGATTAGTTTTTATTATCGTTGGCGTAAATCAATCGATTGTATTGGAGTATGAACAAAAGAAAAAAGGTCAATATGTAACGAGAGAAGAAGAGAACGGGAATTCGAACTCAAATAGCATCTTTTTCTTCTCTGATGACTATTCTTCTTCTTTTTTTTTCACTATTGCTGACAGATGCCATGTAGTACAGACAGAATGGTGCCAGTGTTGAACAACTGTTTGAATCTATGGTAAGAGGCAAATTATTTGAAGTCTATATACTATTCGACTGTAATATTTTAGAATACAAAATGAAATGATGATTAACTTGTACAATTATTTTAACGCATACATCCTTATGCATTCCAATCGATGAATATTCATAAACGAATTTCATATGTTGTTTATATAGAAATGTAAATGAAATCTTTTTTTTAAATAAAACTTGTATAATACATCAATTCACGAAAAGAGAAGATAGCCAAAGTTGTTGCTGCTTATAATACGGTTGTGAAATAATATTGATTCTACAAATACGAGAAAAAAGACTTAAAACAATACGTAGTAAAACCAAAGGGAAATGATGAGATGTGAGTTCATACGAGTTTGGGTGATTAAAAACAATGTCAATCACTCTCTCTATCTCTCTCGTTATTAAAAATTTTATCTTTTTTATGACAAAATAATTAAATTCTACAAAATTTGTATTTACTTTACTCAGATTGTTTTCTATACTGAGGAGAGGTCCTTGATAACTTCATTGTTGACATGTTGAGGTAGAATAGAAAAAAAAGATAGAGATATATTTGAAAGTAAGTTGGCTTAGTTTATTGTCAATATTTAATATTATCGTACAAATAAATTGTAATCTTTCTTCGTCTGCCTATTTTTTTTAACCAAGTACATCGACTGGAAGTATACAGGCATCGTGGATAACGGAACATCGTAATTCTATCTGGTAGAGAGATGAAAGACATGTTATAGCCAGGAGCAGCGCAAGCAGTTGGTAAGGTGTTTCTTCCTACTTTGAGAAGTTTTGATTAAGACTCTCTTCCGGTTCACTCGATTCGAAAGAAATTAATCACAGCTAACTTTCGCCGAACTCAACATTATTAAGCTGAAAATTTTTCGAATTTGAAGACAGTATATATTGGACTACCTGTGATTTTTGTGAACAGTCTTGGTACATTGTCTTTTTTTTTTTATAGAAAAGTCGTAGAAAACAATGTTCTGTATTTTAGACTTTTTGGTCACAAATTGAAGTTTCTCTTTCTTGAAGTTGTACGATCTAGTGGAACTTCTAGTTAACCTCGAAAGGTTTTGATTTGTAGTTTCTTTCAATTTGTAAATATTTCATCTAATGTAACCATGTTTTCAATGACGTAGCACGAGAAGTTAGCGAAAGTTGACCATTACGTAAGTTGAATCTAAAATTCTTCAGAAAAACTTTAACGTTTTTAACAATAAAGTTCAATATTGTTTACTTAAATTTTCCGACAGTGAAGCACAACTTGATTGCATTTGCTGATGATCAGTAAAGACACAGATGGCGTTGTGACTTAAACTTAGAATATCCGAAAAATCTTGGCCATCATAGGTAGCCAGATGAATTTGAATTTGATTCAGAAAAATGTCATAGTAGCTTAATAGTGGCCTATCGATTCTGATTATAATTGAACTTGATTAACAATAGAACTAGGTACCTTTGACAGCAAAAAAGAGATTTTATGAACTGAATCGGAAATCGTTTCTAACAAGGGAGCAACAGTGATTTATGCATTTGGCTGAGGTAGGTTAAATTTGAAAAAATGAAAAGTCACCGAACATACGTGAAAATCATTCAAACTCGTCAAAATTCTCTAAAAATCAACTGATTTATGCTGAGTTTTGGTTGATTTAATTCAGTTGTTTCGCCCTTGTTTGTAAGTGTATATTGATCAAAGGGGAAAGCTGATTCCGTGATTCCATTGATTCTGTGTGATTCCAGTACTATAAAATCAATTGTTTTCTCTTTGATTTTTTATGACCAAACAAAAACCAATATCAGATTCGTGTTCAGAATGAACAACTAATTGTAATCAACATGAAAACAGCTGAATCCAGAGCATTGGAATCACCAGAATCATTCGGAATCAGTAGAATCATCCCGGAATCACTAGAACTCATTGAAGAACCTCAGTGATTCCGAGTGATTCTGTTGATTCTACATGATTCCAATGATTCTATCACCACAGAATCAGCTTTTCCCTCCTTGACATTGATTGATTTTGTAAAGACATGTAAATGTGCAGAAACAACAATATTTTTCTTTGGTTCTAGAATCAAAGATAAAGATTACAGCAACATGGTTCGCTCACGCTTGCAGTTATTTTTTTCTGCATGTCTTTATCTCAGTCGATCTTCAGTACAAGCAGTTATATTTTCATGTAGACATGCCGCTCCATGTGGTCGCTCTCGATATAATGCAAATATTAATGCGAGAATCGTTGGAGGTGAAAAAGCTCCCAGTCATAGTTGGGGTTGGATGGCTTCGTTACGTCTTAATTTTACAAGTCATCACTGTGGCGCCATTATTTTCTCTCACAATTTTGTACTTACAGCAGCGCATAGTGTTCGACTGTTCGTTTCTGCACCAAGTATTTTATCCATCGTCATAGATGCAGATACACTAAATACTCAAGAAGGACAAAGATTATCATTATCGACAATTTCGATTCATCCCTCTTTCAATTTTTCTACGAGGGAAAACGATATAGCTATTTTACGTCTCGGCAAGTCAATCGATTTTAACGATGTTAATATTGCCAAAATTTGTCTACCGTATGTATCGAAATCTGAAGAACATCAATATCCGATTATCAATAGATCTCTGGTAGCCATAGGTTGGGGACATATGTCTTTCAATGGTAGTATGTCTTATGCCCTCAGACAGGTGACAGTTAAAACAATTGGAGAGAAGGAAAACATGTGCAAGAATTCAATATATAATGTCAAACTTCAATTTTGTGCTGCAGTGAATGATAGAAAGAAAGGTAAGCGAAATTTTTTCCTAATTGAACAGAATCGAACGTTACTTCTTATTTTAAGATGCATGTCAAGGTGATTCAGGTGGTCCACTGATGTATTATTCAACAGAAGAGCAATTATGGGTTCTTGCAGGAATAACTTCGTAAGCCCGTGGGTGTGCATTATCTAACTATGCTGGTATCTATACGCGTGTAAGCGCCTACACTAATTGGATTCAATCGATTGTAGGTGACGATGGTATGGTGACTATTCCGCAAAGTAAAGCAAATATTCATATTTTATCAATATTAACGATCTTCATGATCGTTGTATTTTAAATCGTAAAACGCATTAATAGTCAAGAGATGAACGATCATTTTTTTCCTTTACGTATATTAGTGACAAGTAAGAATATATGTTGGATGCTTCTATAACTTTCTTAGTGAGGGTGTGATTTTTGATAAAGAACGTCATGATTAGAATAGAATTATTGTGTACTCATTATACCCATCAATAGGATGTTTCTGTGTAATCTATCACCTTCAATAAAAATAAAATAAAGCACATATGGTAAAAGATGAGAGTATAAACAGAACTCAGGTGGTTGTAAAGCATTGAGAAGAATACAAATTTAGAAACCAATCAGAGTCAAAAACCAGACACCGTAAACGGCTTAAAAGAAAGAAAATCGGCACGGTTACATCACTGTTTCTACCGGAACGTAAAAAACTGAAACTAATAAAGAGAAACAGTGGTCTTTTACCAGTGAACAAACATGGGCCCGTGAAGTCGAAGAATGGGGTACGTAGGCATGACTCAGTTTTGTACATTAATATGGTATTTTATTACGTTTTCCATTCATTAGGATAATCACTCTGTACAAGTCATGTATCATTATCAGCAGACGGTAATACGCAATCAAAAGATCTTGGTTAATAGCAGGATAATGACAGTTAGAGATTTGTTTTAAACATAATTGAAAAAAAGGATAATATCCGTATGAATATTTTTTTTTTGAAAACATAGTGATAAAAATATATCATGCACATGACATCTATTTATTCTGTACAACATTGTAGTTGTTGCTAACAATTCAAGTTATACAAGCAAATATATAATTCGGAAATATCTCGTCAATCGAATAGGTTCTTCATAAATAGAACGCAAGAACACTTGTTCCTTTCTATCTTCTACATCAGTAGCTATATAAATACTTAATACTATCTGATGTTCTGATCTAGTTAACTGACAAAGAATGACAACAAAAAAGTACATTCTTGCTATAATTTAGTTTGTTTACATTTACACGAATCTTTCTCGACATCACGCGTTATGATGAGAATCATTTCTAATTAGTATATGAAAATTTTATGGAATACATGATAAAATGAATAGATGTTATGATGTAAGATTAGTGTAAAATCGGATTCAAAGACAATCATTTATTTCGAAGCCGACATAGAAAAAAATTAACAAAAAGCTCAACTTTCTCAATGTCATCGAATTCTTATTAAACTAGAATTTCTATTTGAAAAAGAGATATAGGTTTATAATCTCTGGATTCATCTTAGAAAATCAGTGGATCAAAGCTGAAACTTAAATAATTTAGTACAACCACGAAATAAATGAGACAATTCGATGAGCTTTGTTCGCTGTAATTTCAGCCATGAAACTGGACTCCAATCTTTTTGATAACTCCTTATTTATTATGTTGTTCGCATGTGTAAATCGTACCAGAAAGGCTTTAGCCTCTTTGCACTGCTTGGAGATAATATAGGAATTACAAAGCCCTATTTATATCGGCTTCTCTTGAAAAATATAGGACACTGATTTCCACTAACGTAAGAAAGTTTTAGGAGCATCGTAATAAAATCTGTGAAAATATTGCAGATTATGCACAGCTTTTTGCTTAATGTATTGTACGAATTAAATAAAAGAATATTTTTGAGTTGTAGAAAATATTGAAATCAACTTTTTTTCTAAAAATAACAAAAATTACCATTTATCAAGCATGAAGTATTGCTTTTGTCAATATTATTTTAGTATTTAACTCACACACATTGAAATAATCGAATTATTGCCGTTATAATTCACATCAAAGTGTATTCACGCTTCAAATTCAAGAAATCAAAAATCGAAACTTGTTTTTATCAACGGAGCACGGTCAACTCTAGCAAAACCAAGTATCAGTAGATGCTATTCGTCAAACGAAAAACGCTTTATGCGAATCAGTCAAAGTTGCAATTTTGACCGAACAAATTATAAATGTAGAATTCAGCTTCAAGAACAACAGATAGTAGTTTATTATTGACATGTTTTCGTATTCAATATACATTTTATTTTATACTATGTTCTTAAAGGTCAGTGCATGCATCCAAAGAATCACTCGTATCATTGGCATATAATATGAATAGAAAAGTAAATCAACATGCAAAAAATCTTGGTAATTCTGTCAACGAAAGAACAGTTTTATCACGACACTTATTTACACATACATTTGTTTTCCAGCAAATAAAAATTGGGGAAAAATTCATATCTATTAGTAATCCAAGAAAAAGTAAATAGAACTTCAGACATATACCTTTTTATATGAGGATAATGAAAAATACGATATATCGTAAATATTAGCGTAATTTCCAATTTGTCCTTCGTTATTATTAGTTTAAAAAACATAATTTGTCGCATAGACCAAAACATAATATAACAACACAAGATGTTTATGTATATATTAGAAATTACTGATTCGACAAATATGTCCTATAACAAAAGAATACAACCAAACAAGAACATACTCGTCCATACAGATAAATATTCCTTATCATCAAGTAGATACAGATATACTAATATAGAATATGCTTTGTTTTATCATATTCATATTCAAACGCAGAATGAACGAAATTTTGTAACTGATCTATGCCGATAGTCTAATGTCTTAAAAATACAGACAATACGTTTCGCATCTGAAATAACAGATTGATGCGAGATCGAAGTATATTGTTCTCATAGCGTTTAATTGTTCTTGAGGAGATTCGAAAACAACTGTTTTACCTCGTTCAATCAGTAGCTATGAGTATCGATTGAGTAAAGTTTGTCAAAAACGAACAGAAAATCTCACACTTGTTTTATTCGTTGAACATGTAAGCTCTTGTTAGATTGAAGTTAGATGGATCTATTACGATGAAGAACATTAATATAGCTCAAATTTATTTGCCAGATATGATGAAATTACAAAAAATGCGATATCCAGAATCACATTCTTCATTGGTAATATTCGGTTGGGATATTACAACACGAGTTGATTTCATATCTCTCTTATGTATCTTAGGCAAATGACACTTGAAGAAATCGATAGTATGGAGTCGGAATCATATATAGATAATAGCAACTGTCAGTTTACAAAATAGTGCTTCTGTTGAACACGGAGGTTAAAGTAATGGAGTTAATCGTAATATGTTCGTAGAGTTCGTTTATAAATTCGTATTATTCTCTCATTCTAGTAGTCTTTTAATACACTTTTTGAATACGCAAACGACATTAGATATGAGTAGGGATGATATCCTACGGCTATAAATGTGCTTTGCGTTACAATGCCGGCGCATATTTATTGATAGGATTAAATCAATCGTAAATAATAATCATATTATCACTGTCGAAGAAAGTAACAACATCATTACTTATACGTCTCATAGAATTATAATTATTGAATTATTATCAATATCCTATTTGATTCGTGTAGGCATACTTCTTAAAGCCGACCGATTCATTCATGAGAATTTATAAAGACTTTATTTTCAAAATCATTATTTCTATCAAAGAGAAACAAACAACTAACTAGTTATAAAACATCTGTAATTTATTTATAATATGAGTACATTTCATTCATAAATCATATATATTTATATTGAAATTCGTTTTTGTCACACCTGACTAGTTATCAAAAACAAAACAAAACAGTCAATTAATTTGAAAAAAAAAGAAAAAATAATATTAAACTGAACTACATTGTTGTTTAATTCTCTTAACTACATTCATAATCATTTGTGTGTCGTGTTGAAATTTTTCTCTATTTGTACAATTTTGATTACTGAATTGTTTCAGTGAACAAATACAAGTTGTTAGTACTTCGGATAATTGTCCTGTGAGTTGCATCAATGGTGTTTTTATTTGTTGATTTTTAGTTGAACTCTGCATATGATCGTGTAGTGTTTCAAGTACAAATACAAGTTTATGTCCCGCTACAATAAGTCCTTTGCCTTCATTAACCAGCGATGAAGTTGTATTAAGTTCATTTTTTGTTTGATTCAATTGACTTAAACGTGTGTAACGCATAAACATCGATGAAATATGCTCACGAATGTGACGATGATAACATTTAATAAGTGGATCTTTCAGGGATATCGAAGGAGAACTCGAATAATCATCGTCGATGTAATCATAACTATCCGATTTGTTCTTATTTAGTTCAGTAAAAAAATTTGAATGGCACGTTTTTGAAGTTGGCAGTTGCGACGAACGAAAACGATTTGCTATACAAAAGAGAACAAAAAGAATATTTTAATTTATGTTTAATGTAAACATTTTAAGGGTATTCAATATTCAACGAATAGAAATAATAGAATCAATCAAATGATTACGTAAGAGGATTTCATTGCTGTGTTATTTTTTTTCGATTTGTTAAGTAATTGATTTATTTATTTTCGAGAAATTTCTCTTAGTATGAAGAATTATCTTACCTGATTTATTATTTCTAAAAGTTCCATAGATTTGTGTTGTTGACATTGATGTGGTCATTTTCTTATTATCGTTTTCATTTTGTAGTTCTTCAATTGGTTCGAGATTAAGTTTTTTAAATACATCGATTGGTATGGATGTAAAATTTGTATGTTTTTGTTTAAGACGCAATTCAATAAATGGCTTTATTAATTGTATTATTTGTGTTGCCAATTGAATTATTCTTTGATTATTATTTATACGCTCTAATTCATGCAGCAAATTTTGTTTAAATACTTTATATGTATGTCGATCTAGTAGACAACCGTAATCGTGAAGAAATAATCGACATTCATTAATAAATAAACGATTTATTGAATCAGTATTTGAATTTGAGAGCAGCTGACGGTATTTATCAAGAAGTAATGAGTTTATGGATAATTTTCGAAATGAATCCTGTAATTCATCAATATTAACTAGAAAATACCAATAAACAGTCAATATAGGTTTTTCTTTTGTTTGCGATAACAACTTGACAATCAATGATACGTGACTAACGAGAAAAATATGAACTCAACAAGCCGCATGTTCTGTTCTCTTACATCATTGATTTTTTTATGTAACACGTATTCCTACTCCGTATATAACATCATTTTCATCTAATGCCTATAGGCAATCGGCAGAGAAAACTACTGTAAAAATCGTAATAGTTCCTGTTTTTTTTCTTTTTTTTTATAGCGTAGACATAAATACAGATGCGTTGTTAGCACTTTAATTCATAAATATATGGTTATAGACACACCAGGCTATGTTTATTTTAATGAATGAGTATGCATATTCTCAATAATCATCAGCACGGCAGATGCTAATGTGTGAAGGTCATGACCGTAGAAATCAAACTTACTTGATGATACTAAATGCGAACGATTGTTACCGTTTATGGAAGATGTGTGAACGTCAGACGATAATGATGATGAAGATAAATCGGATAGACGTAGATCAACTGTAGAATAAATTCCAGATGAACGTGATGAAGATTCAGGAGAAGAATCAATTGGTGTTGGCGTACATGAATTGGAAATGAAATCTAAAAGATATAAATAGAATTTTTCGTTTCTATTTCTTCTTCAACAGATGTTTCTCCGTCTCGATTATCATTGTAACTTCAATGATACATATAGCGAGAGAAAAAAGATTGTCGGTTGCAACAGCTGAATATTCCTTTCTTTCTTTTTGTTTGACTTAAAAATTAATTCTTTTATTCTCACCTGATCCTTGTGGTATGTCATAATCGTGGTTAGATGGCGATGCTGTTATTGGAATATCATAATCATTTGATAAACTATCGTAGATCTAATCGAATGAGATTGAATGTGTTCATTATCTCAATATTGATTCTATTCAAAACTTACTGATGTTGTCGATAGAGAAGAACGTATTGGTTCATTAGATTTAATCGTTGATGATACTGTACTTGAGATAAGTTTTAATCGATTTCCTGGACATAAACCACATTTTCCATTACGTTCACATAACCACCAACCATCGAGGCCATTTGGATTTTCAATAAGAACAGTTAATATATCGCCTTTACGAAATTCTAATTCATCTTCATCATCTACATCATTATTGTAAAGTGCAATAGCTAACTGCATTTTCTAATAGAAAAAAAAAAGAAAAGAAAAGAAAATGATCAATACTAATGTACACATAGTGCATGTCTTTTACAACAGCAGATGTGATCATGATAACATGAAAGATATGAGAGACTATCCAATTTAATTATGATATCTCTTACTGTATCCTTCTGTTGTCGTAAGTATGTACTCTAACACAAATTGAATGTGACAAAAGTGTAATAACTCTTGTGAATGCTCGTCTCTCATTGCAAAGACTGACTATTCCCATACGTATACTTATATGAAAATAGTCTCTTATTATTTGTATATAAACAAAAAGTAGACATTTCTCTCTGTCTTGAAAGTGTTTGTATATTATTTTACTCAATAGGAAAATATTTAAAAATGATATTTGATATTGAAAGATAATTGATGAAGAACATCCGATCGTCATTGAGTAGTATTAGAAAACACGAAGAAAAAACACCGTCGAGCTGTTTAGAAATTTAGCGTTTGCTTGTTACCGAATAGAATAGAGAGAATAGTATGGGTAATGTAAATTTCATTATGCGGTAAATACTATGAAGACTGTTCTTTCATATTTCTCATTCTTCGAAAAGCGTTGTTCCGAATAATAATATTCATTGGATTCCATTTTTAGAATGTAAAACGCATGTCGATCAAAACAATATTGACTCACCAACTGTTAATTTCGTGGCAATAATTCGAACAACAATTTTCTATGCATTACATACATACACATATGCAAAAGTGAAATCGGTGTCTCGATTAGAGCGAGAAGAGAGAAAAAAGTCGATAGCGTTATGGCCACCATCTATTCCGTTCTGCCATCACTCTCTTGATTCTCCCGTTCTCTCCATACACAGAAAAGCAAGACGCTTACGCATACGGGACGTCGAATAATAAAATGACTACCATATAAATGAGAGAGTGACGAGTCACAATAGACTATCGCTTGGATATCTTATAAATATATGGCAGAAGCTTTAGTTTGTTTTTGTTCGTATATACTTTCACTATTCGTTTATTATAATCTGAATTTTGGCTTTTATGATTGACCTTCACCCGGTCTCATCTTAGATGGAAGATGATGCAATATCTAGTTAGTTCTTCCGAGAAGAGAGCGCGAGTGGCGACCGAGCGATTCAATCAACACAATGTACAGATGACGAAAGATGTAGAGTAGAGTTTGTTAAATAAACACAAAAATGAATACTAAGACGTTCCATATTAATCTATCTCTAAATAGATCAACGATCGACAACTAAACAACGCTTACTGAGATTAGTAGCAAACTATGCTTGATCAACAGCCATTATGATTATACAAGCAGCACTTTAAAAGGATATGTTTCGTTGTTTCAGGTTGGCAAACAGAAAACAATCTTGAGCAAAAAAAAACTTCATTTCTTCTCTCTCAAAGAAGAAGGTTGAAGTCACACATACATGTGCATGTACGTACATTTTCAAGTGTCAGGTATCTGTAAAAGACATACAAATATAAGCGACAGTAAGAAAAGAAAAAAATCCCGAAAGACATTGATGTGAGTAAAAATCAATTTTATAATAATCTTGTTTTACCTTGCAACATAAGGAGAAATTTCACACAAAACCTAATTGTGTTTTAATGCGTAATCAAATAACACGATGGTTTTATTTCTTCGCCGTTTATCATCACTTTATAGTAGAAATTTATAGTTATTAAATGTTCAATGCACAATTCTATATGAATCGTTCATTTAGTGTAACATTGTATTGACATTGGTGAAAAATCATCCTTGGATATTCTTGTACAAATATATCCTTGACAATGATATTGAGATATGTGACCCTCAATTCATATTCAGTAACCAAGAGAAAATAGTATAGGAAATTGCCAATTTGTTGGTTTCTTATTTCTTTGTACTACCTTATACCATTTGTATTTCCAAAGGTCAATTGACACAAGCATTTTGTATGACACTCGATCAACCGACTAACTATCATGATAAGAAATACAACATCCTAAACTCTTATCATGACATACCAAAGAGACTATATGGTACAATAATGAGGCACCATAAAACATGGTTTCAAGTGTTGACTAGTTTGTGGCCTTCAATCAATCATTATTGTGGTTAAAATGTTTGAGTTAGAATGAAAAAAACAGTACACAGCCATAAATTTATATTTTTCGTAAAACAAGAATGTCTCGTATAGATAATTAGATCAATGAATCATAAACATATTCTTTCTATAATTATATTAGACTTGATTTTAATCGTCGAGGATTAGCTTAAGAAAGTATTTGGTAATATATTTGCACATCATTTCTTTATTTAATCCTTTAAACGTCAAACTTAATCACTGATGTAAAATGTTGCAGAGGATTTAAAAAAGAGATTATATACTATAGTGTATTAAAACAAAATAGAATAAATAGTCATTGATCAGTTATTTATATTGAAATAATACTCTAGTAGACTTTTCACTAGTAAAAATGTATGAAATCTTATAAAAAATAAAAAAAACTTGATTTAGTTTTGACTAATTGAATTTTCAAGTACGATGACATGAATTCAAGGAAACGAAAATTACATTTTGATATAAAACAATGACAAATAGAAACTCTAAAATCAAGTTTAAGATAACAATACCTAACCTTCAATAATACTAGTATTGAATTTTTCTAAGACACGTGATAAAGAACATCATATGATAACAATAGGATTATAAATAACAGATATTTTTCATACCTTTGTTAATCGTTTTATGATACTCGTAAGTACAGTCCATAGAGCATAAATGATAACGTATCGAATTCTTCGATTGTTACTTGCTCGGCCTAGTTTGAAAACAAGTAAATGACAATGAAAACAGGTGATGGATATTGATAAAAATAAAACTTCAAATGAATCAAATACCAAAAGGTCTCCTTCGTTGATCTATCAAGTTATATCAATATCGTTTTGCATCACTTCGCTTCTTTCTTGTTGCCTTTTGCGAACATAAATCATGTTGAACAGAAGGTCAATATACTAATGCCTGCTGTGCTTAGTGATGATCGTATAGACGTTGAACGATTATTATTATACTAACAAAATCTGATACGATCCTATTACCATTGAATGCATCCGATCGCCTTCTAATTACTGCTAGATGTTGTTATCTATGTGTTATTCGATAAATTATCTTGTATACAAAGAAAAAGAACAACAAAGAATTCTTCTTTTAGTTCTACTATTGAATCAAGGTCAGTCACTAAATATATTCAAAACAAAAAAAGAAATAATTTGCAAGACACTTGATTGACACCGTTTGTTTCGGACAACACAGTGTCATTATAAACGAATAGAAATAAACGTTCTTTTTTGCTATCATAGATAATATTGACCAGATATTTTCTTATTTACAGATAATCAATAATTTATATAAATTTAAAACTGAGACATGAATAAAGAAATGAATGAATGATTGATATGTTATAATGCAAATTTGCCTTTGCAAACATTGCGTAGATCATTGACATTGAATTCTATTAAAATTATCGTTGAGAGTCAAAATCAGAGAAATAGTTTTGATGAAAAGAAAATGTAATCTTCATTGGAATATAATTGAAGGAGGCACATTACCCCCCTACAGACTAATTACATTACTAAATGAGCTTTGTATATTCTGAAACGAGTTCATATCTTAGCTGATTGTTTCGTAGAAAACCTTCAAGTTTGCATTAGATTTCAAATGAATGCTAAAATATCTTTTAGAGAAACAGTCATTTTCGAAATATTCATTGGTACAGAGGCTACTGTCGATCATTAACGAATAATCAATCTTGCAATTCAAATAACATCATTGAAAGAAAGCCAAATAAACCTATATTTGTATTAATATAAAATTCAATTTCAAACATGATCAACGTTTGCCTGTAGTATCTTGTATTTATCTATGATCTATTGAGCTTCAATAGAATATTCTATCTGATGAAGTTTAATTGATCCTTCGAATTTTACAAAAATACAGTGGACCAAAATTATTCGAAATATGTGGTAAAACAAGACTACCATAATGTGTTTTAGCATGAAAATCAAAAAAGTACGCATAATGTTTTTCTAATGATTTCGTTGAAACAATTTCACAATTGATTGGATCAGATCCTTTATGACCGCCGTGATATCTTTTATTTGATGGTCTCAAGGCTAAATTCTCAATTGCTTGTTCAACTACGCCTTCATTCTGAACAGGTGCCAATGTACACGTTGAATAAACAACAATGCCACCCGGTTTGCAAGCTCGAATAGCCGATCTTAATTAACAAATACTTCATATGTAATTTATAATGCAAAAGAAAAGCCTACTCAAGTAATTTTCGTTGGTATGTCGGCAATTCAACTCGTTCTTGAATACGTTTTCTCGAGAATACATTGAAAGCAGTTGCTAAAGCATGACGATCACTTGTACATGGAACATCAACAAGAACCTAGATTTACATTTATAGTGAATGAATTCATACAGAAAAAAACAACAACATCATACTCGATCAAAACTTGCTGGTTCTCTTTCGCCAAATAAACAACCATCTCCTCTAACTAGTCTTACAGATTTAGCTAATGTATCTTTTGGTATTGTTCGAGTAAACACTTCAGTTAAACGTTTTGAACGTGAATGATCACTATCATTACATGTTAATTGAACTATTTTCAAGAGAAGACAGAAAAAAAGATTGTTAAAATAAAAAATTAATCTTTTTACTGAAAGGACAATTATGAAAAATATTCAATGCTTTTCCGCCTGGCGCTGAACATAAATCAAGTACCGTATGATACGGTTGAACATCGAGTGCAATTACAGGAAGAACGCAAGCCCCATCCATGCAGTAATAATCTAAACTAAATAGAAGATGAATATAAATAATATGAAATGATTTTAAAGTAACGAAATGATTTTTACCCAATAAACCTAATTCATCGATTTTAGCTGATGCAAATCTGGACATGTTACTACGTGGAAATGTATAAACATTCCATGATGGAGGCATTTTCTTATAATCTCGTTCTTTATCATCATCAACAATGGGAACAATATTTCCTTTAATCACCGATTGAACCTAATGCGAATGAAAAATTACGAATAGAATTTTGATTAATCAGAAGACCAAATGTAACCTGTTGTTCAAGTGCCTGTTTATAAATCTCATCAAGTCGTTTAACAGGTTCTGGTTGATTAAATGTATTCACATCATCATCTTCATCATCGTCGTCTCCATCATCAATTTCTTCTTGTTGTTCATTAACTAAATCACTTGTGCCTAGTAGTCTACGATTTTCTTTTTGCTCCAGTAATCTTTTAATTCCAAATTCATGATCACTTTTCGAAATATTTTCTTGTATTAAAGCATAATCTTCACGTAATTTTTCATTATCAAATCTTAACATATCTACAGCACCTTGTTGAAGTAGTTTTTCTTGAGTATTTTTATTTGAAAGCGAATGCGGATTAATCAATGCAATAGGTTTAGGTAAACTAAGTAATGCAAGACGTATAGATGGCCAATGACGATGAAATATAAGTGGATAAGCAAAATCAAAGTATTCTAAAGCAAGTTCATTTGAATGTGAACCATGATGCGAGGAAAACATCTTAATGGGGAGAAAAGACTTTTCTAAGAAATTCAATATTTCAATTCATCGTACCCATTTCTTTTTAAATGGCCGTGCATGCCGTATAAATGATAAGTTTATTTGAATCGAACGTTTTTTTAATAGATGAATGAAACAGTTTTGATAAATCATCTGCAAATAATGTATGGATTGCGTTGACTTTTGCTCATCTTTTATGTTTATAAAAAAATAAATAAATGTTCACAGAAAAGGAAAACAAAACAAAAACAAAAAACTATTCGATATACGAAGTAAATTAACCTATGGTATAACGAAAGACGACTCCTTCTAATTACTGTTTTTCATTTGAAAGCGTTTTTAAAATTGTTTCATAAACTAAATACGATATGGAAACAGCTGGAACTACTTTTAACATATTAGGTATAAGACCACGATAGAAACCAACAAGTCCTTCGTTATGCCAAATTCCTTTTATCATAGCTTGCACTGGTAATAATGGATGAGCTTTACTTTGATCAAATTGCGGTAATGGTACAATTTGTCCCTGACGACGAATTCGTAATAGAGATATAGGATAAGTTACCATTTGACCGGTAAAAGATGAAATAGCACCGCAGCTAAGCACAATATATATTGGTGCTTCGCAATTATTATGTTTGGTTACATAGAGACGTTTAAGACTCTAAAAATCGAATATAGAATTTGTTTTTAGAAAATGAAATATTCAAAATGTTCACTTCATAACATGCTAAATCAAAGCCAGCATAAGGCACTATACCAATTTGATTGAGCATATAGCCACGCCAAAACGCTTTTCGGCCTTCGAGTCTGTATATACGTTTGACAGCATCTATCCAATGTTCGAATTCACCTGTTCGTCTTAAACATAATCGTACTTTCAAGACCTATATTGAGAAAATGAAAAAAAGGATTCACCAAAATTAAAAAGACAAAAAAAATTAGAAACATTTACATCCAATGGATAAATAACCGTCTGAGATAGAAAACCAGCAACAGCTCCCGATATAAATCTTTCTAGAATTGTTGTTTCAGTGCTTAGATCTTTACCTTGAATACGCTTGACAAGTTTCTTTGTCTAAAAAAACGAAAAGAAAATCAAACTAATAAAAAATAAATTATTAAATTACTTCTTCGAAAAAGGCAAATCGAAGAGCTGTTTCCGGTATGATTTTCAGAACATTCATTCCATTTCCACGCCATAGACTTCGAAAGCCACCTTCTTTGATTAAATACCGATATCCATTTATCACAGACATGCGTTGCCTTGAACCCAAATACTAAGAAACCTAATGATATTCACCGATCTTTTATAATCATAGCGGGTGAACAAGGAAATGCGCATGTGAGAAAGTTAATCAAGCTATATACCTGCATAATAATTTTTAATCGATCAAAAGGAGCCGTAAATGTTCGTGAGACAGCACCCGCACAACCACCAGCTATTAGATGTTTCCACCAATGGTTTGTTTCAGTTTCTAAATCTTCTGGCGCAGCATAAGGCGATTCACCTAAGTCGAGATGCTAAAAAAACTGGCATGGTAGAGATTTGCGTTCGAAATAAATCAAACAACTAACTGTGGCTCCACGCCAATATCTTAACATTTCATTTGGATCGCCAGTAATAGTTTCAAGTATTGCAGGATGAAACATAAAAAAAGAACGCCATTCATCATACGAAATTTCTAAAGAATTATTCTGATCCATTCTAAACAATAGATTTTATTCTAATTTTAATATGATACTAAAAATCATTTTTATTCACTTTTTAACTAATTTTTCTGCTTCTTCTAATTCAAGTACAATGCCAAGTTTTCGAAAATAATATACTAGATCTGTGGCATCAAATTTACCTATATAGAGAAGAAATTTCATAATGAATAAAACTTTCATTTTTCGACATCACTTACCCTGATGGCTAGCATCTAATTTTCTAAAAACGAGACAAAGTTTTTTTTCTTGTTGTAAAACGTAATATGCAAATTGTTTAAATGAAATAGATGATGTAGTTGGTGATCCGCCAGCTTGATCAATAATACGCTATAAAAACAAAACGAAAAACAGACTGAAATTCTTCATTCTCGAATGAAGAATAAAATAAAACTTACGCGTGCAATAGCCCAACGATTTTTTGATGAAGTTTCAAAACCAGCTTTGTCCAAGAATTCAATAAGTTCATCAACTTCAATTTGGCCCTCTTGACTTTTATCAAGACGATGAAAAAGTTCTCTATAAGAAAGGTGACTTTGATTTAACTTATGATGAATATTTGCATCTTTTATTAGATCAGGAGAAGGATCGTTCATCGCATTAAATTCTGTTTTCACACTATTGACATAATTAATTGTCTGAAGTGGAAACAAAACAAAAGAGAAAAAAACAAGATTGTTTCTTTTTTTTTAGGTGTCTTGATCTTTCAATTCTTTTCTTCGTTTATTGTGTAACGCGCGTATTAATAAACACACAAAAAAACAATGTGACTTTGATAATAATAAAAACAAGCGCACGTTGTACGTTTAAGCTTCATCGGCGGATAATTTTTCGCTGACATAGATACCGTCAAGAAATTTACGTATATCTTTATTTTTAACTGCTGTTGACATTTGAATAAGTGCAGCTAAAAAAGAATTTCAAATAGGAAAAACGTTGACTTGCTTTTTTATACAATGATTTTCTTAGAACAAGAGTTCTTACCGGATCGTGATACAAGTTCAATATCATTTCCTTCTAGGATAAGTTCATCTTTTTGTTTTGTACTAGACGATATTTTGACACCTGGTTGCATTCTAACACGGCGAACAAATTTTTCACCTAAAAAGTTACGAATTTCAACTGCTTGTCCATTTTCCGTAACGACAGTGTTGATTGGAAAGTGAGCGTATACTGAACGCATTTTATAACAATAACCCTAGAAACAAAAGCAAAATGGTCACAATTATTCATCTGTAATCGATTATTTAAAATTGCTCTTTGTAACTGACTTTAGTGACACCTTTAACCATATTGTTGATATGCGAACAGATCGTACGCACAACGGCATTTTCCTTATTTGTACCAAACCATTTTTCGACAACGATTAAATTCTTTTTTGGCATAGATATATCAACACGAGAGTGACGGAAACTTCGTACAAGTCTGCCTCGTTTACCTTGCACTTGAACAACACGACTTTTCACGCTGACTTTAACTAATTCAAGCGTGAAAAAAACACATGAATATCTATATATTGTAAATAATTTTAGAAGAAAAATTACCATCTTCTGGTATAATAAGTTGTTCACGAGCTTTGATGGGACGCATGATCGAATAGTATCGAGATGGAAATAAAAATCGATCTAAAACACAACAATATTCAGGTCCGAGCACTTCGTTCTACTGATATTCGTAAATGAAATTGGTGATTGGCTAATAATGGTAAAATATGGAATAAGTTTATATTGAGTCTTTTTTTATCGAACAATTCATACAATATAATTCTTATATTTGAAATCAAAAATGATTTACTTTTATTTATCTCATTCAGTTGAGATGTTCATAAATTAAGTAAATGCATTAATGTGATGATCATTTTATATGAGTCATTTCAGACGTAGTTGCTAGGCAACTCTCAAACTCAATGCTTGTCAATTGGAAGAAGTTTATGTTTCTTTTTTTTTCTTGGTGTTTTTGAATAGTTCTCACGCGAACAATATTTAACAATGGCATCAACTTATCGTCCAAATGAATCGAAACGAGAAGAATTTCGTCGTTATCTCGAAAAAGGAGGTGTTGTTGATGCTGTAACAAGTTTGTTTATTCATAAATTGCTTTCATATTTCCTTATGGTTTTTCATTGTCCATTTAGGAGCATTGGTTGCTTTATATGAAGAAGCTGAAAAGCCAAATAATGCAACAGAATTCGTTCGACGATTTATGGGCGCTAGTGGGCCTGATTCAGCTGAGATAGAGACAATAAAAGCGGAGTTAATGGCTGTACGAGAAAAATTTGATGAATTAGTACGAGAAAATGAAATCTTAAAAGAAAAATTACAAAAATATGAAAATAGTGAACGAGGACAATAGATAAACAATAATAAAGAAAAAATATTCTTTTTTTATAAATATAATTGAATCCATTTTTTTTCTTTAACCATACATTTTTTTGTCTTATTTTTAAATAAACTTGTAGATGAAATGAAAATGCTTGCTAACGAATCTGAATTTCGTGTTAAAGTAGCTGTTCGTGTAAGTTAAATCAAATGAACTTTTTTTTTCCATGCTATTGTCTCACAAAAACTTCATTTAGGTTCGGCCATTTCTACAACGAGAAAAAAATCATGAACAAAAAAGTTGTATTGCTATTCATCCACAAACTAATCAAATTGTATTAGGAGAGAGAAGAACATTTAAATATGATTTCGTCTTTGGACCAAAAACTCTACAGGTAAGAATAGATTGACTTAAAAGCTCGGAAAGTTAACAATAGTGAATGAGTCCTTTAGAAAATTTTCTGATTATTTATCAAAGTCTGACATAGATCTTCTATAAAATTTTGTTCGTAATCAAATAAAGTAAACAAAAAGAATATGCTTTTCTTATGAAAACCACAAGAAATTTATGACTAATGATTTTACTCGTTTTTTTTCTTTTATAGGAAGAGTTGTATCGAACAAGTGTTGAACCAATGCTCAATAATGTATTTGATGGATATAATGTTACCATTTTTGCTTATGGTCAAACTGTAATAAAATATCTTTTGTTGAAATATTTATAAAAATCTGTATTAAATTGATTTATTAGGGTTCCGGAAAAACCTATACAATGACAGGTGGAAATATTTTGTCCATAGGAGAAAAAGATTATGGTATTGTTCCACGTGCTGTTAAAACAATATTTGATACTGTTCATGTTAGTAAATTATTTTGAACAAGATACACAAAAAAACAACGAGAAATAATTCATTTTTAGAATCGACATGATTGTCAAGTAACAATATCGGCGTCTTATTTAGAAATCTATAAAGATGATATTATTGATTTACTTGATGTTAATGATAAAGATTTAGATGTTCGAGATGATGCAGCCGGTAACACAGGTAAATATTCTTAATCTAATATTTTTATTCAGTTTTATGTTTTTTGAATAGAATAACAAATAATTAGTTTTAATTTTAGTTGTTGTCGGTGCAAGTGAACATAGATGCCATTCCATTGATGATGTTGTTAGTTTATTAAAAAAGGGTTCGAATGTTAGACATACTGGTGCAACACAAATGAATGATGAGTCATCTAGGTCTCATGCTATTTTCACTTTATATATTGGTATGCATCTGGTTTTTTTTCAATAAGAATTTCTTTTTCCTATAATTAACATGAAAGAAAAAAAAATATTCTGGTTGTTTTTCGTAGAACAACGTGTTCGTGATAAAAATTCTAATGCAAATCTTGTACAAGCTTCATTTGATGGATTGGTTAAACCAATACAAAGTACATTTGATGGTAAAAAGAAACAACAGAACATTGACAAAATCGAATTAGACTTTATGTATATTATTTGCTATTTGTAGAAAGTTTTCTTTCTGCTAAACTTCATTTTGTTGATTTGGCGGGTTCTGAGCGTGTTGCACGTACGCAAAATACAGGTGAACGTTTTCAAGAATCTATACGTATTAATTCGGGTCTATTGGCTCTGGGAAATGTTGTCAGTGCCTTATCCGATCCAAAGAAACGTACCGGTGGTCATATACCTTATCGTGATTCAAAAATCACTCGCCTACTCAAAGATTCACTTGGTGGAAATGCCAAAACATTAATGATTACGTGTAATTAAGCATTTTTTTTTGTGTAAAGAATCATCGTTTCAATATCTACGTATATTTTAGGTGTAAGCCCATGTACTGCAGATCTTGATGAATCTCTTAATGCTCTTAAATATGCACATCGAGTATGAACGAAAGGAGTTTATATGAAGTGATCTACACCTTTTGTTTTTCTTTTTAAAGGCCAGTCAAATTCGAAATAAACCTATAAAAAATGTCGATCCAAATGCTCAACGTTTTATTGAAATGCAAAGTGAAATAACTGTAAAAAAAATTGAAATAAAAATGTTTCCACTCGTTTAAATATATTTTTTTTAGCATTTACGAGAAGAATTAGAACGACAAAGAACTATCTTATCACGTGATGGGCAATCAAGTAGTAGTCGACGCTCAACGTAAAACTAAATCGAACATTTTTTTTAGTGAATGCAAAAATAATAATAAATTTTTCTTCTAGTGGACTCAATGGTGTTGATCATTCACGTCGTTTAATTCAAACAGCATTTGTTTGTTTTCAACAATTAAATGACTGTGAAGATTTAGGCGATGAACAAAAACAATGGATACAAACATGGATGGATGCCGTATCCAATGTATGACATTTGTTTCCTAGAAATATAAAAGAAAGAGTTTTTTTTATTGATTTAATTTTCATAGGAAAATTCAGAAGATATATGCAATGATATTCTTACATCTCGAGTAACGAATTTAGAAAGTGCTTTACATTCGGTAATGATTAATAGATAAATAAATAATTTATTCGCCAATTCGATGGTCTGTTTTAGGCAAAAGATGAATTAAGATCAGAATCCCAAATGCGTGTTAAACGTGAAATGATACTTGATCGTTTACAAGAACAACTTAAAACAAAAGTAATACATCAATATTATGAAACTAATAATGAAAATGTTTTCTTGCTTTCTTTTCTAGGAAGATGAATTAAATAGAGTACGTATGGCAATGGATGAATCCAATTATCCAACTACAACAACAAAAAAATCTTTGCCAGATCGAACAAAATCAGCTCCACATTTCGGTGGTGTTCAAAGAAAGGTAAAGAAAGTTCATTAGTCTCAATGGAGGTGAAACAGATTCTTTTTCAGTTACTTTTCAAACAATATCTGCAAGTACTTAGAAAATGTTTTCCCACTAGCAGTTATTGTTTTTTCACTTGACATTGCACAACAACAAAAATATTCCATAGAACAGAACTCTTTTGTATTTTGTTTTCTCTTTCTCTATTGCGTAGGAACAATCAATTCAACCACGTACCATTCACTCTAGTCCAGCCGTGTTCGGCATGGATTATGTTGTTGAAAGATTTCATGGACGATCACTGGCATTGGCTCATTCACAAGAAGAAATTGAAGAATTAGATTTAAGAAATAGTGATGAAAAACAAAATGATGAAAAGTAAAGCAATCGATTTCATCTGTGATAACAAAATGATTTAGCTCTTTTCCAATTCATTCATCACTAATACGGGTTCTAGAAAAGATCTCCATTCTCGTACATCATCAATTATGCGAAGTCAGTGACACGGATAGTGATTAAACTGAGAATAAAGATTCCTGCGAAGTTTATAACCATTAGAATTTCATTGATTAGTCAAGAGATTCCTTTTTGTATCAACAAAAAAAAAACAATGCAAATCGATTCTATTTTATGTTTTACTTTTTGTTTAGAAAATTTTTTCGACGCGGTACATATCGTCTTCGTAAAAATCGATTGACCCCAAGTATTTTACAACAAGACGATGCACTACAATCTTTAACTGAATCAACAATAAATAAACAAAAATTAATTGAAGAAGTAGCAAGAAAAGTAAAAGAAGCTGAAAGCAAAGCGCAAGATCTTAGTATTAATATTCAGTAGGGATCTTTTTTTTCTCTTTGGTTTAAATTTATATTGAATATCTATTTTCATATGAATATTTATTAGATTAAAAGAACAATTAATTAAAAGTGTTTATGCATCGACTAAAGATGTGAAAGAAACAAATGAACAATATGAACAACATATTAAAACATTAGAAAAAGTACGTATTAAAAAATGAACATTCAGAAGAAAACTCTAGCTGATTGCTTTTTAGGAAGTAGATAAGGCTAAGCAAGAATATCATGATTTACAAAAAAATATGCAACAAATAGCAACAAAGAATACAAGTGAAAAATCGAAATTGGAAGGGTAATAACGGACTGAGTCGCTGTTAATATTATATTAAAATTTCAATTTAGTGAATATCGAAAAAAATGTGAAATGGCTAAAGCTCGCCTTGAATCATTGCAACAAAAAGAAAAACAATATCGAGATCTCATGAATAAACTATCAGGCAATAGTGAAAAAAGGTAAATTATTCGATTGATGCAATATATATATATATATATTGGCATAGAAAAATTCAATATTTCAAATGTGATTTAAAGATATGTTCATTCACTCAATATTTTAGTGAAGTCAGAGATTTCAATGGAACTTCATTAGGCTTTGTTCAAGGCGTATTCTTCTGGTTTTTGATATGCTTGTTTTTGTTTAGAATTGCTGATCTTCAATCAGCACTCTTTCGCATGAAACAACAATATGAAACAGCTCAAAAACGTATACGTGAAGAATCTGAATTAAAAAATAAATTTGAACAAGATCTGGTACGTGAACAACAACGTATACAAGAATTAACAATTCAAAATGAACAACAACAGAAAATTTTAAAATTAAAAACCGAAGGTCTTGTTGCTGCTCAACGAAAATTACGAGGCGCACCTAACGGAACTAACAATGACGGAGTAGCAACAATAAATATTGAAGCTGACATGGAGAAATTAGTTATCGAAAGAAAAGAATTAGAAACATTGAAAGATGACATTAGTAAACGTGAGGAACTTATTCAAAAACGAGAATCATTACTAAACGAACGCACAGAACTAGAAACGAAAAAAATGCGTACAAGTCAAGTATTAAACAAGGTTTGAATATTCATAGTAAATTGATTTTCAAATTGAATACACGACAATCACTTTTTAGAGTTTAAAATCAGTAAATGAAAAATTAAAAACTGTTGATAAACAGCAACCAAATCATCAAATGATACGCGAACAATTACTTAAACAAAAGCGTCTATTTACTGAACGTTTAGAACAACAAGATTGCGTATTAACACCGTCAGAAGAAAGACGCTTAATTGAAATCGATGAAGGTATTGAAGCTATCGATTTAGCCATCGATTATCAAAATAATATTATCAATAGACGTGAACGCGATGTTCAACAATCAATTCGAGCAAGTCAGGTATACATATTTACTACGTACCAAGATGATACATACATTTAAAGAACTAAAACATGAATAATAGTTAAATAGAGGAACAGAGAGAAAATTCTTCATAGTGTATTTAATATTAATGCCATTATTTTCAAGAAAATATGATTCAGCATATGCACCTGTTAAGTACTTTTGTAAAATATTTTCTGTAACGTTTTGCCGACAGAATAAATTTATTTCAATATAGATTTTCCATACTTTCACTAAATTAGCTGTCGCATTTTGTTGATAAACATAAAGGCACGCAATTCACTTGTATTTGTTTGTTCTTCTTTTAGGGCCCCGATTCTCCACTTTTCAAAATAGGTCAATTAAGTGAAAATGAATGTAAAGAGCTTTGTCGTAAATTATTTGAAAAAGTCATCGATCTTAAAGAAGATGAAAATAAAAATCGACGTGAATTCGACGAAATAAAAGTATGCCAATGTTTATGATTATTATTGTTGTACATTTTGAATTTTATTTTCAGTCTCAAATCGTCGACCAAACTGAAATAATAAATGAATTACAATCGCGTGTTCAAACACTAACACTTGATCATGATCGTCGTTTAACATCTATTCAACAAACACATGAGGAAGAAAAACAATTGCTATTTGGTCAGCTACAAGAAACATCAAATCAAATGAAAGATCTTGAAAGAGATTTATTTTTTTATAAACATAAAACAAGAGAGTTACGCAAATCCATGGCAACATCAACGACAAGTGCACTTGACACATCAACATCATCGACGACAGGTGCTGCACGACGAAAAGAAACAAATCAAAATGAAGATGATTTTCCAACGCAGTTACCAACGCCAAGAACAGCTGTACAACAACATCAGCCGGCGCCATTTCTTCTTAAAGTAGGTAATCGGAGCACTTCGGCGCATCACATACAGCAAGACGAAATTAAAAAACGATAATAGATTCGAAAAAAAACTAGAAATCTTCCACACAGTGAGCATTTTATGGAAATCTAAATGAACAAAAATGGTTATTGTAGCGTTCTTCTCTCTCTCTCAACTTCACAGTCTTATCATTATTGTTTTGTTTTTCTTTGTTTTTTTTAAATAATTTGGTGTTTGTCAGTCGTGTGTGACATGCTATGTGTTTTGTAGTTTCATGTGTGGCATTTGATGTGACTTTTCACGTTGTATATGCTGTGCGATTTATTTAAGAAAACCAAACAAAAAAAATTTATTACAAATGAAACATAGAAATGTCAATAAATGTGATATATTAGAATGTATAGAAAAAAAATTAGAATTCATTCTCTGTGCAATTTATTTTTTCGGAGATACAAAAACGTGATATCTTTTTGTGATTAAATAAAGTCACATGAAATTACCTCTAAGTCTGCAATGCAAACTCTGCACTGCGTTCAGTATCAAAGCAAGAACGATACAGAAAGGTAGTTTGCTTAAGATTCTCAACAATATACTACCGTATTTCTAATTGAACCTGACAAACCCATTGATCAATCCATTCGTCATAGTGTCATAACATTTCGTTTGGAGTTCATTGAAAGCTTAATTGTTTTTAAAATCTATGCACAAAAATGCCCATTTGTAAAATAAAGAATCAATCAGATTGACCTAATTCGACATGTAAATGCCTTATTTTAGTTTTCTGAAATTAAATTTCGAACTTCATCGTTCATCATTGTTTTGAGTCAAATATATAATGATAACTAATTATGTAGAATACGGCGTAACGCAAAGAATGGATCTAAGATTTAATATTGCACTTGATAGAAATAAGTGTCGATTCATTTACTTGCATTTTTTCTTCTCTTGTTTTTCTATGACTTTCGGCGACAATGAAACTTATGTCAATGTGTTGCTGTGATAAATCTTGTAGTTAGTTGGAACGATTAATTTACGCTTCTTGAACGTCGAAAGAATTTGAGTCTAATAGAGTTTACTGCTGGATGTTCAAAATTGTTTTAATATTCCAGGTCGAAAAATCAGATGTAAGATTTCAGAGACTACGATTTTTTTGTCGGATCTTAACATCTGATTGTTTGCCCTGTGAACAATTCGATCATTTTTTTATTTGAAAAATAATCACTACTTGTCCTACACAGCAGCATCGTTTCTATTTTATCCTATCTGAAAACGTTATTTTCATATTGACAATCACCTTTGTGTCTTACTAAAGTATTCTGTAATTGATGATTGTCATGTCTCTAAATCTCTACTTCTCAATCGCAATGTAAAATTTAGCAGCAAAATTAATTCTTACCAATACACTGTTTAGTTTTAGCACCAACAAAACCACTGTCACAGTCAACTGTATCAATGAATGCTATCAGACGTCCTTGGTAGCCACCGTAAGAAAGTAATTTATTCATCCGAACATTGAAACGAGCTGAGAAGATGGATGAATATTTACTAAGATCATGGCACGTGCAATCTACAGATGATGATTTTCTGCATTTCCATACTATCCCAAAGTTTTGAACAAAATCGCCTGTGTCATAGTTTCGTGCAGAACAGTGACATCCATAACTAAAACAATGCAGCTAGAAACTATAAAAAATTGATTTGTTGCGTCAAAATCAACCTGGAGCTTTGAATCAATGATTCATGTTGACTACTGTTTCTATGGATTAATTTACATAACTTATCATTGTCAATGTCATTATTAGAATGAATTGCACTTTGTCGATTGAAACTATAGGTACTCTTAAAATCGCTAACGAATAAGAATAGAATAGGAATGGTGATCGTGCATAAAACTATACTTTTGATATTTTATAGAGCCAATATATTCTGTATATGATATGCAGACAATAGGGCACTCGTCGTATTTTTGCATATTTGCCAACATTAAGTCAATTATATATCTGCAACCGACTTCTAAGTCAATTGTAGATATACTGAGAATAAACTGTTGCTTATTAAGCTTGGCCAAAGATTTTCAGGATCAATAAGTCGCACGGTCTGTAATTAATTATCTAAAATGAGCTATTTGATAATTTTCGATAGTGTGCCTGCTATCAGTTGATGAGTTACAGAACAACAGCTTAATTATGTTTTTTCGTGTTTAAGTGTGAGTTTAAAACTAGAGCTAAATCGAAGATAATCATCACCCCTAAAGTTGTACACCCAAAAATATATATTGAGATCTTGATTGCTATTCAAATGAAATCTCCAACCAAATTGATTCTTATACTCTCAATATCGTAGTTTTCAGATAATTCCAAGGCCCCATGAAAAGCAAAAGGCTGTTCGAGGCGTTTCAAATAGTTTCATATCGTAAGAATTGCTTCCTGTTGAATACTTTCACAAAAATAGTTTGAACACAAAATGTATGGGCCATAAAATGTAAAAAAATGTTGCTTCTAAATGGTATATTTGAAGTTTTTGTAAGATTTCCTACAACTTGGCCACATCTTCAAACTATGATTCATATGCATCAACGTACATGATGCTTTTGTAACTTTCTTAGTTGCAAACGAAAGTCGCTTCGCGTTTAGTAGCTGAAGTGCGTTGAAGACGAACGAATTTGTACTACAATGCTCGTATTTATGTTTACTCTTTGCAATTGGAATTCCAGTTCTCATTCTTTCATTTGCACTTGTTATTTTTCCATTCCGAACAATTTCTGAAGACAATAAGAGAAGAACGTCATTGCCAAACTTTTTAAAGCTTACTGTGTCTTACCGACAGAAACAGACACACTGGAGCCTAAACTATTCTCTATGTTAAGACTTTGCGAATCCTTTAGATTATAAGTTCATTATAAATTCTTTGCACCTTGATTTTTTCAACAGATCAGCATAAAAAGTTGCTTAACCTTTAACTTATAATGAAATAAACATTCAAAAAGTAGATTTAAAATATGAACGTATATTCGTTGTTATTTCGCCTCGATTTTCATCGCAATCAACTCACGTCAGCTAAGACAATTATACAAACGATTACACATACCGAGTGATGTTTTTACTGATAATAGTATGGAGACGATACGATCTGATGTAGAATCTCTCCTTGAACACGATAATTAACGTTTAGTGAATCTACTATTATCGATGCTTGTCGGTATGGAGGAATATAGATTAAATTTGTTTATATTAAATGAATATTCATTAAAATAAATCTCAAAATATTTTATAAACTCACTTCAATATCAAATTACATTATCGAATGAAAATAAAAGTACGATTCATCATTGTAATTTGCTACACATTCAACTCAATTAGGTCTCATTTATATCATAATTTTTGTAGAAAATAAAGAGATAGCAAAGTAACCCTATTGAGAATTGTTGAAAATTTTATTGAAAAGACAAGTTAAATTTTCGAACGGTTAACTGCGTGTGTGCCTTTAATCATCGCTTGTAGATCGAGATATTTCAACATGAAAAATCCTTGATGTTGGCCTTCTCTGTTACCTTTGATTAAAAAAAAGAAAATTTCAAGGCGAAAGAACTCCTAAGTGAATAGGTATTGGATCAGTGTGAGAACTTTGCCAAACCACAATACGTAATATATAAATTTCATGACTAAAAACATTAGAGTTGAAAACTGACAGAACATGTAATGCATGAGTACTGTATTAGTTTCATGTTTTTTTACTGAAGGCTGCTTCTATTGTGATTCCGATAAATCAGCCGAGAAACAATATTCAGAAGCTGAAAATTTTGGTGGTTTTACATATCTTTTGTGGTTACACACAGCCACTAGATGCCATAGCATTGTCTTGAAATTGTAAGACTTCTCTCAGATTTATGCAAATATATTGATACCCTAGCTTGCAAGGATTTCATTATCTGCGTCTACTTCAACAGTGACTCTTTGGTTCCGGAAAAATCCATGATTGTTTCTTATAAAACTCTATAGTTTTCGATGGCTGAGATTTATTTCTATTCTTTGAAATTGTCAATAAACAATATTTACTTTATCTTGAAACAATTTTCAAGTAGAACGTTTTATGAATCTTGTCGATATTTAACTAACTCTTTCAAATATTCATTCAATTCGTAAAACAAATTTCTTTTTATAAATAGCGTCGTAAGTGACGATAGTATTATTGTTTAACTTTTAGTTCATATTACATTATATTACTTGTATTTACTTACTCGTTTATATACAATCGATATAAGAGGAAGTATAATAAGCATTTAAAATTTGCCAAATTGATTATTTCATAAGAATCTCTCATAGATTTTACAATAGCACTATATATGAATTTAAATTAAAAAAAGAAAATTTTCTTTTTCTTTTGTTCTCTCTTGCATTTTAATCAATCCCATGTGCATTATATGTTGTCACATCAATTGTTTGTAGCTATTTAAAAGCATGCACGAAAGCAGTAGAGAGAAAGAGAGAGAGAGAGAGAAAGCCGACAACGGCGTAAAAGAATTTTTTTCCATCTAAGTGGTATAGTTTCGAGAGACAGTGAAGTGTTAATTTTACAGCTGCAATAGCAACGTTGTTGTCGGCCAGCGATTATTAATTTTTCATTTTCAATAAATACATTGAAAGTTTCAAATAAATAGTTATGACTTATATGAATCAACATCACAGTGCTATATCAACTGTTCAGTTGAGTCCATTTGGTGAAGATCAATGGAATCGTATAGTAACATATTCACCAATTTATGTACATTGGACGGATATGATTATGATGACTCAGCAACGACGAACGCACAAGCCTGTACCGGGAAAATTAAATGTAATTGATCCTATTGATATGAATACTCTTAAATTAGAAGATGAACTACTACTGAATGAAATTCAAGATATTAGAAAAGCAGCTTCTGACTCATCGAAAGGAAAACAGACAAATCAAGAATCAAAAGTTGTGAATGATATACCAGATCATCGAGAAACGTTATGTGCGGGAGATGATTATCAAGCTTCATCAAATTTCTCTCATGAATTAAAAGAACCTTCCAAACACTATTGTAGCTATGCAGAGCCATTATTTACAGATCAACACTGTAAAAACAAACGCCCTATTCTAACAAATCTGGTATATATTTTTTTAGAGACTGTAATCAATATTTTTTCGAAGGATTTGTAAGGCATCCGTGCAATTTTCTCGTCAAAAAAAAACATTTTTTTTTCATTCGAATACATCAAAACTAGAAAAAGAAGCAGAAAAATGGCAATTTTAGCTCGAATAATTGAAAATTTCAGTACAGAATTAAAAATCTATTGTGGATAAATTTCTATGTTTGACTTTAGAAACCAAAAATGAATTCATGAATATGCAAACTAAAAGAAAAACGTTGACCAAACCTATTCTCATATTTTCAGACTGTTCCTATTCCAACTAATGTTGATAATCAAGCAAAAAAAACATCTCAAATTAGTCTCGCTTCGAAATATCAATCTTCCGTACTCACGCAACTTCGCCATTCAGCTGCTACTCGTGAACAGTCTTTTTCAAGTATAAATGATCATCGTAGTATGAGTCCTCTATCAGTTTTATCATCGAAACGAAATGCTACAAGTGCTCATTCAAATCACCGTTATTCTCACCAACAAAAATATCAACCATCAAAATCGTCATTATCCAATGAAATCAATACAGCCATCAATGCTCCCGACCCAATGCCAAGAGAATCTTCAGCGCCGCCAAGAACCGAACGTGCAAGAAGTACAACTAGTAGTCGTTCAACATTGCATATGCTCAAAACAAAAAATGAACGTAAACGACAAAAACAACAAGTTGCATTGAAAACACTTTTAGTCGATCCGTGGAAACAGATGCCATGGAATGATGGCATATCAGATGAAACCATTCCGAATTCACTTGATATCATGCATAAAATGTGTGGGCCAGCAACGCCGTTTGAACGAAATTTGCGATATAATTATCATCGACAATTAAATCAATTACGAAATAGTTCTGCAAAATCTTAGAAGAATTTGTGCGTCGGCATTGCTCATGGAATATCAACTAATTCTGCGTTGTTTTTCTCTTTCTGTCGTTTTCTTTCTGATTGAATTACTGATAAACGATACGAATGGATTGTAATTCATTTCTCTTCAACTGTTTTGCTCACATTTTTTCTTGTATATCGATTACGCAATAAAGTAACGAAAAACATTCAACATTCTGTAAGTGAGATCACAAGAAAGTTTTATGTTCTACTCAATGCCACTGAAACATTTTCTTTTAAATAGTAATTGGACTGTAAGTATGACTTCGAACGGTAAATGTGTCGACAACACTTCATATTCGATCTCATCGGGTGTTCGTTTATGCGTGTTTCTATATTTAACACTAATGAAACATCACAATTGTTTTCTTATTCCAAATCTGTCTCTTCTCAATCTATCATTTCTACATGATTCTTACTTTTTCAGAGATGTTTTTCTACGATTGGCTGGATCTTAGTGTACAGATTTTCGTATTTATGTTCAACAATAAAAAAAAGCACTACTCTGTAATCTTGCTTGTTGGCCTCAAAGCATTATTCGAAAAAGAAAATCAATATATAAAGCATCTTAGAAACTATGTAAAACGAATGTTGCAAGATCAAGTATAGCATCTTCCATGATTACGGAGTCTGTGTTTGATTGCCATTTAAAATCTTCACTCTTACTTACTATTAATGGATGAAAGTGTCTATATTTCATTAGAACGTAAATAAATAAATAACTTCAACTATGCCGAAATTCAGATCTCTCGAGGTTAGCTCAACATATTTCGATCGAAAGAGAGAAATCTTGATTATTCGTGTAAATTTTAACAAATATTTTTTCTGCAGATTTTTCGTTGTTAATAATTAAAAAATTTTGTGTTAAATATTCTTGTTTTCATGTTACTCTGTAAAAAAAACTAATAGTTGGCATTCTTTTTCTATTGAATAACTTAGTTTTGATTTAGAAACAATACAATGAAATGAACTTTTGGTATCCTATCATATAATTGGTAGTGTTTAAAAATCTGTTCTTTTTCTCTCCAACGATCTATCTACATGATATTCAGCGACATGTTCAATTAATGATTCATTTGTAGCGTATCGAAATAAAAATAAAATCATCTGGCTGAATGAACAAAAGAAAAGACACGAGGAAAGACTGATCTATACAGAGAGAGAGAGAGAGAGATAGCAAACAAAACCGCGCGTCAACGTAGTACACGAGAAACGGCCTTTGTATCTTTCATAGCACAATTAGAAGTATAGCCTTCGAATATTTCTATGTGTTATCTATCTATCTATAATCTTATTTAGTTTTAAATGTTTTTAAATATTTATAAATATTAAAATAGTCTTTTTCAATTTAAAAATAATTATTAATCAATGTCGACTGGTAAAGTGTCATATTCAACTCTTTAGTCATATCTTATTTTTATCTATAGAAAACACCATTATTAAAGACAAGCCCATTGCTGATCGAACTATTCATTTTTTGATCCCACCCCTTTCTGCAGGTATTATTTAAAACATTATTATTGTTGTGTAAATCTTTGTTCAAGATGAACCATCCCATATTCTTAGTTTACCTGAAACATTTGCTATACAACAGAGCCCGTTGGAAGTAAGTTATTTATTTATTTATTGTATAAATAATCAATGATAATTATCATTTGTGGCTCTTTATTTTTCCCTAGATACCATTACCATCAGGAAAATATATTCTTGCTCCAAGTCCAAGTGAATTATGTATAGTTAAAATGTTCTTGTTCTACCATGTTTAATATAAATATACGTATGTTTTAGTTCATTATTATGAATCAGTTCAACCACAAATGAATAGTATTATATCTTCAGCTGAAGGTTTGATTGATCCTTTAACATCGGAAAATTTTATTCATATAGTAGAAAATCTATCTGAATATTCAATTCCTTGTCCGGTAACAGAACATTTAAGATTTATTGATTGAAATTTATTTAAAAAAAATTAATTTGCATAGATTTTACAAAGTCATGTTGATAAATCAACATCGATGGTTTCCATGGATGATTTCGATGATATCACATCGAATCAACCGATGACAGAATATTATTTTCGTTCAAGGTAAATTTTAATATCATTATCAAATAGGATTTTTATGATTTTTCGTTTTAAAAAATTCCTAGTCCATCCTATTATGATCCAATTTGTGAATATTCATCATCAGCAATTGATGATCCAAATTTATTTATGCACCACGAACAGCTAACATCCTATTTAAATAATTCAAGTAATAGTTCATCACAATGTGAGGTTAATTATCAATGGGCAACATTACCTGTTACAATGGCATCGTCGAATGATACGAATTGGAAAAAAGTTCGCTCGAATGGAAATTCTAATAATAAAATCAAAGCACGAAATAGTCGAAAACGCACGAAATTTTCTAATGATGATCTTGAAATATTAAATTTATTTTTTGAAAGCAATCCCATGCCAACGCGAACAGATATATCAATTTTATCAGAAAGACTTTCTTATCCACGTTATATTATACAAGTTAGTTGAATTTTCATAGTCTTGATGTTCAGATTTGTAAATATTTTATTTTAGGTATGGTTTTATAATAAACGTCAATCACTTAAACGAGGCAGCTGCTCGTCATCTCGATTAGATAGAATTATAGAATGAAAAATGTTTTGAGTTTTTTTTTCCAAATTTCAGAAATTTATTTGAGTTTTGTTCGGTTGGTTTTTTCTTTCTTCAGTCATAGAATATAATGTAGTCTGTTAAGCAATGTTAATTGATTTATATATTACAAATAAAATGATGATTCAATTGATGTTTCTTTTTTTGGTTAAAAGGTTTTTCAATGCAGATCTTTTATTTCATCGGAAAGTTCGATAGGAAAGTTTGAGTAAATTATTTTTCAAGTTGCCGTACATCTTATATTTACATAAAGATGTACTACCTTGTATTGCAATAAAAATAAATGATTGAATACTAAAATTCTAACCAAAAAAAAAAAACAAGAAAAAAATGAAAATTTATTCAACTGTTAGCAGAACTTTTGTCGTATTTAATGGTTTTTGAGCTTGTTCAACAGCTGCTTTATAATCACTTAATAGAAATTTTTCGCATTGTGGTGCTTTTAATTCATTGCGTCGAATCGAATCGATTAATTCATAAAGCATTTGTGCAAATTGACTTCCTTTATAATTTTCTGCTTTCCATCGACTCATCCAAAATCCTCGACAATTTAGATCATTGAATATAAATTCTGCTGTTGGCACAGTTACTGGTTGCTTACTCATGCCACCATATGTAACTAGTGTCGCTGATTTATCAAGTACACGAAGCAGATCACTTGTAGCTCGTCCACCAACACAATTAAGGCCAAGTTTTGGTCGAGGGATTGTAGACCACAGCGTTTTACGAAGAGTTTCTAAAGTTATCAGAAACAAAAAATTTTGCTTTGTTTTGTTTTCCACATTTCTTTTATTCATATTATAAACAAACCTTTTCTTAAATCTTCTTCAACATAAACATGTTCAGCACCAAGTGATTTTAAATAATCAACTAATTCGTTCATACCTTGTTCTCGATTTCGTATAATACTAACAACATTAATATTCCATAATTTACCCAACTGTATAACAGCTTGTCCAACACCTGAATTACCACCATTTTGTATAATAGTATCACCTTTTTCTAATGTAACAAAATCTTTTAATAATCTATATGCTGTACACGGATTGACTGATAGAGTTGCAGCTGATTCAACTCCAATATCCGATGGAATTTTGATTAAATCATTGATTGATACAATACCATATGAACGCCATTTGCCCCAATCAAGTATTTTAGGTAGAACCCAATCACCTGGACGAACTTGTTCGTCGGATGCTCGATGATCGACAACTTGAAAAACACCTTCATTACCAAATGTTGCTGGCAGCGACGATGGAAGTAATGCATATTTTCCTTCAATCATATTTATATCGGCTGGATTAATGGGTGAAGCTAATAATTTAATGAGTACATCATTGGGTTTTAATTGACTTGCATCGATTGATGTTGTTTCATTAAGTTTAAGAACTTCACTAGGTACACCATATTGATCAGCTTGTAGCTCTTGAACAACATATGATGAAGCAAGACGAGTATGAAATATAGTTTGAAAACGTTTAAAAAGAACTAAAGAAAATCTCATGCTATCTAAAATAAAATTTAATTTGCACATTACAAGCTCGTAGAATAAGAAAATAAATTAATGTAAGAAATTCTTCTATATATCGAACTGCCGTTAAGTTCAATTATCAATTTCTAAGAATACATATAGAATATTTCGTTTCTGCTTAGAATGAACTCGTTAACATAGTTTTTCTTCTTGTATGCTATCGTACTGAATGAGAGTGTACTTGATGAAAATAAGATGGACCATTCAGAAACAACCGATGTCACTGCAATCGTAGCCAATCGTAGAACAATAAATATTCATTCTCCCTTTGTTTATTCTTTTGCTTTATAAGATTTCATTCATTAAAATTTTGCTAGGATGCCAACAATGCGCGGAGATGCCATGCGCGGCTTAGCCGTTTTTATATCGGATATTCGAAATTGTAAGACTTTTTAAATTAAAGATTTTAAAATTAATTAAATTAAAATATCTATCTTGTAATTAGGCAAAAGTCGAGAAGCGGAACTACGGCGAATTAATAAAGAATTAACGAATATTCGGCAACGATTTCGAGGTTTGAACAAAAAAAAGATGAAAGTTTCTTCATGTTAAATTGATTATTTTAGCTGATAAAACTTTGGATGGATACCAAAAGAAAAAATATGTATGCAAATTATTATTTATATTTTTACTCGGTCATGATATTGATTTTGGCTATATGGAAGCAGTTAATTTATTAAGTTCAAATAAATATACAGAAAAACAAATTGTTAGTATGACAAAAGAAATTATTTACTCTTCATCGTAAACCTTTTCTTTAGGGATACTTATTTATCTCGGTTATAATGAATTCAAGTACAGAAATGAAACAATTAATTATTCAAAATATACGAAATGATTTACAAAGTCGAAATCCAATATTTGTTAATTTAGCATTACAATGTGTTGCTAATATTGGAGATAGAGAAATGGCTGTTGCATTTACGAATGATATTCCACGTTTACTTATTTCAGGGTTAGAATTTATTAGTCTGCTGTTTCTATTGCAATATTCCTTTTTCTTTTTACTCTGAAATGCGTAGAGATACATTAGATGCTGTCAAACAATCAGCAGCACTCTGCTTATTAAGATTGCATCGCACAAGTCCAGATTCATTACAATTGAATACAGAATGGACCGCGAGAATTATTCACCTTTTGAATGATCAACACTTAGTACGATGATTTTGGTTTTCGATAAGATTATATTTATGAATTCTGTTGTAGGGTGTAGCTACGGCAGCTGTTAGTTTAATTGATGCATTGGTTAAACGAAGTCCTGATGAATATAAAGGATGTATTAATTTAGCTGTGTCACGCTTAAGTCGAGTATGTATGTTTTTATGAACTTTTAAACGTAATCAAGCTATAATTAGATGTCTATGGCATGAGAGAAAACTTCAAACCATCTTAAGATAGGTTCATTAACTTGCAGAAAGTATCATGAGACAACAAAAACGAACAGGATAATTATAAACGATGACAGCATCAAGATTAGAATAGGAGAACTTTTTCTGTTAATGATTTGATTATTTCTATGTAGCATTCTACAAAAAATATTTTCAATTCTTTATTTAAAAAAAACAACTAACCTAAATCTATGATAATATTTACATAGATTGTCACATCATCATATACGGATTTCCAAGATTATACTTATTATTTTGTTCCTGCTCCTTGGCTTTGTGTTAAATTATTACGTTTATTACAAAATTATCCACCACCAGGTAATTTCATTATACCGAGTTTACAATTGAAATAAATATTGTTTTGGATTTTTCTGAATTAGATGATCCATCAATTCGAAGTCGTTTAAATGAATGTCTCGATACAATACTTAATAAAGCTCAAGAACCATTAAAATCAAAAAAAGTTCAACATTCCAATGCACGCAATGCTGTTTTATTTGAAGCTATTAATTTAATTATTCACATGGACTGTGAATCAAGTTTACTTGTACGTGCATGTAATCAACTTGGACAGTTTTTACAGAATCGCGAAACTAACCTTCGATATCTTGCTTTGGAAAGTATGTGTCTATTGGCAACATCAGAATTTTCACATGAAGCAGTTAAAAAACATCAAGAAACAGTGATTAATGCATTGAAAGTAAGATCGAAGACAATGAAACGATTTAATTTATAAATTATGTTTCAGAGTGAACGTGATGTTAGTGTTCGTCAACGTGCTGTTGATCTTTTATATGCAATGTGCGATCGTTCGAATGCTCAAGATATTGTACAAGAAATGCTAACATATCTTGAAACAGCTGATTATACTATACGAGAAGAAATGGTTCGAACGTTTTTGCTTCTATAAATGAATTGCTTTTTATAAAGTAACTTTTTTAGGTTCTTAAAATTGCTATACTGAGCGAGAAATATGCAGTTGATTATAAATGGTATTTAGATATAATGTTGAAATTAATTCGTATTGCTGGTGATTTTGTTTCGGAAGAAGTAATATTTGATAGTCGAAGATGTAAGAAAATAATAAGAATTTCTACTGATTAGGTCTGGTATCGTGTTATACAAGTGGTTGTCAATCGAAATGATGTACAAAGTTATGCAGCTAAAATTGCATTCGAAGCACTTCAAGCACCTGCTTGTCATGAAAATATGGTTAAAGTAGCTGGATATATTCTTGGAGAATATGGAAATTTAATTGCACTTGACCCACGATCAACGTAACAAAAAATAGCGAAAACAAAAAGTTTTGTTCTTTATTAAAAGGTTTGATATTTTTTCTTTTAGACCATTGATTCAATTTGATTTACTTCATTCGAAATATCATTTATGTTCGCCAACAACTCGATGTTTAATTTTATCGACTTACATGAAATTTGTCAATTTATTTCCTGAAATTAAACATCATATTCAAGACGTAAGTATAATCATTTGAGATATGAATTGTAAAAATTTATTTCAAACATTTTCTTTTCGTTGCATAGATTCTTCGTCATGATTCAAATTATCGCAGTTCAGATGTTGAAATTCAACAACGTGCAACTGAATATCTTAAACTCAGTGAAGTTTGTAGTCCTACTGTATTAGCTACTGTTCTTGAAATTATGCCACCTTATCCGGAAAAACAATCACCATTACTTGTTCGACTTAAACAAAAGAAACCACTAATGGAAGCTGAAGGCGCTGTTGAACCAACGTCGTCTGCAACAACAACACCAGTAACAGTGTATATTGATGACGTTCCAAAACTTGCTGATACAGCTGTAATTATTTGTTTTGATAGTTGTTCGATTAGCAAAAAAATTTTCTTTACTTTATTTCTATAATCATCTCAATCAACAGCAGCAACAAAATGGTCTTCTTGTATCTCTTGATACTCCTGAATCGAATGGTCATTATGAGGATTCAACATTTTCTTCAATGACAAAACCTGCAACGTCAACAGTTCAATCAAACAAAAAATTCTTATTAAAAAATAGTGATATTATATTTGAGAATGAATTAATTCAAATTGGCATTAAAGGTGAAACTACTAAGAGTTCAATGCAAATTGAATTATATTATGGGAACAAATCAAATTTTAATATGACGAATTTTTCATCAAATATTTCCTGTACAGGAGAATTAGAATCCGGTAAAATTAATTTTGCTCCTTAGTCTTAGAAAAAACTACAAAAGTTTATTTTCTATGTAGAACTTCGAATGAATATGGAACCAATCAAAGCAACAATTGATTCACGAGCACAAATAAAACAAAGTGGAACCATCGATTGTCTCAAAGATTTTCGTGATTTACCAAAAATGAGCATCACATTTTAGTAATTAAATACTTGAGTTTAGGAATAGATATCGAATCGCTTTTCAGTTCGAATTCAGAAGCGATTGGATAAATCGAAACTTTTTTTTTGTAACAAAATTTTGTTCTTTTTTTTAGTTATAATAGCATGCCACAAAAAATTGATTTTTCATTTCCAGTATATTTAAATAAATATATTGAAAAAGCTGCAATGGATTCAAATAACTTTTTTCTTCGATGGAGAAATCTGGAAAAGTAAGTATCTATAAAAAAAAAAAACTACCACTCATCTGCTAAACATTTATTTATTTTTGTTAGACCAAGTCAAGAATTCCAAAAAATTTTTCCAGCTAAATTTCCAATGATATATGAGGATTGTCATCAGAAGGTATATTGATAATCTCATTGTGTTTTTCATGAAGAAAACTCTGTGCTATTCTTTCGTATAGCTCGAAGGCTTTGGTTGGAGTAGTCTAACTGGAATCGATGTTAATTCAGAGAATTTTTGTGGTGCCGGTATTATCCATACAACAACACAACAAATTGGTTGTCTTTATCGACTCGAACCCAATAAACAAGCAAAAGTAAAGCATATTTGTTTTATTCAATCAGAATTAAATTTTTATTCTATGAATTAAATTATTTAGATGTATCGTTTAACTATTCGAGCAAGTAGAGATGGTGTTGCTAAACGATTGGTCGAGTTACTTGAAGATCAATTTTAAATCAAAATTCTGTAATGATCTTGAATGCAAATAATAAATTCATTTTTTTTCTCTTTTATCGTGCAATATACATCTTTTTTTTACCGGTCATTTATATCGCGCAATAACATTAGAAAACCAAAAATATATACATATTTAATCATATGTTGTATTTGAACATTAAGAAAATTAATAGCGTTCGTTATGTCTGTGTGTAGATTTATTATCATTCCTATTGTCATCACCTACTGTGATTTTTATGTCATGTGATTGACAGTCCTTTTATTCTCACGTTCATTTATCTAATATATATATATATTATTCGGAAAAAATAGACGGAAACGAATTTTATGATTAACTCAATATTCTTCTTTTTGTTTCTTGTAGATTTTGTAATTAATTATGTCGTCAGATAGTAAGTTTCAGTTTATAAATTCATACGATTACAATCATTGAAAGGGAATTCCTTCATGTCGTCTGTTACTTTAATTGATTCAAGTAATGTTCTATCAAATCAATATTGGAACGGAGAAATATAAGTCTAGATAGCTTTGCAGAATATATTCAACTACCAAGTTGTGCTGTTCCTCAATGTTAATTAGTTCAGTAGAGAAAACTAGTTGGTATCAAAGTTTTACTAGGAAACATTATATGAGCAAAATTATTTGTTAGCGACGTAATTTCGTAAAATTCAAATATCTATATCTCGAAATAGTGAACTTTTCGAGACTTGATTTTTATATATTATATGGATCTTAAGTGACTCTAGATATCCTGCAGAAATCAGTACTAGGGAACTTTGCTGATAGGAGTTATCTGGAAAAAACAGTCGTTAGCGACGTGACCCAAACAAGGACACGGATTTTCACGTTACGGACTTCAGTTTAAAAAAAACTCCAAACTGCCACATAATTTTAGAAAACTAAATTCGATATCCAGTAGACACCATCTCGGGCTACAACATACGCATGCAATGTGTTCTTCAACATATCTAGATTTTTCTGTCAAACGTATGAATTTTTCGTTGGCGACGTGACAATTTTGTTAGCGACGTGATGAAGTACGAATACACTACCGAAAAGATATCTTCATAATCGAACAAAAAGTTTGGAAAAGATTTCAAATCGTACAAATCCTTGCTCAGAGCCCATGGATTATAATAACATAACAGGATTTGTTTCTACTCTTGATTGCTTATTTATAGAGCCAGTTTTTCGGAGGAAATTGTTTGGAATTCAATCTGGCTGAAAATTTTACCATAGATGCAGCTTGGACTCTGGAGTCTATTCTGAAATTTTCAGACTTTTTTCTCGTATCTTTTGCAAGAAAATCACTAATTACTTCTTGATTAATTAATTAATAATAATTAATAAATAGGCATGTGAAAGAGCAAAGAGTTTCACATAAATCAATGATAAAAGAAATTATTCAAAACGAAAGCCTGTGTGGAGAATAAGAATCGAATCAAGTGGGTAGATGTCCCGTTTTGCCTGATTTTGCCCATATGCACTATTGTCAAGCCTGAAAATAATAATAACAAGATTTCGATTCTAATCTTTGTAAAATTATATCACTTAATTGTGATTCTATCTTTTTTATATAACCGAGATTTTCATAAAAATGAATTCCAAGATACTGTCAAACAGAATCAGCAGCTTTATCTGGAAATAAAAAGCTTTTCTATGGTATATGAAGCAACATGGGTAGGCATTCAAGTCTTTTTATGCTACCAGGCGTGTTATACACAATGATTGTGAAGGTTCAACTCGGAACCAGGAGAGCATGGAGGGAGGTTTTTTAATTTTTACTGATTGCCTACAAGACTGGAATTTCCGCGTTTCTTGTATTGCATGATTTGCATTTATTCACGTAGGATCTCGGAGGCAAATTAAGCCGAGAGGAAATGATTCAGAACGTTTAAGTGCATTAGAACAATTAAAACGAGCACGACAAGGTGGTCCAGCTGCATGTGTTGAACAAGTAAAACATTTTCTTTTACTTTCGGTACATTTCGGTTTACCGATAATAAATTCGAATTTTTAGCCAGTGGCAACAGCTGAACTGGACGAAGAAAATGATGATTATGAAAGCGAACCTGAAGATTATGAAGACATAAAACCAGCTGCTAAACGAAAATCTAGTAATTCTCATCAAAAAGATTCCAAAAGTTCGTATCACCAATCATGCATTGATTGTAAGTGACTCTCTTTTTTTAAATAAATTTTAGGATTAAAGAAAAAGCAACATCATCGTGATAGTGATGATGATAATAATGATGATGATGATGAAGAGGAATCAAAATCTTCTGAGCCGAAACGTCGTGGACAAGTCTTTGCAAAACCTCTAGAAGAATCTACTGGCATGAAGGATATAAAATCAATGTTTGCTGCCACTAAGACACGTACTGTTCAACGACAAGAAGAAGTATTTTCATCAACAAACCAGGAAAAAGCAAATATTTACTTCTACTTTTTAGAATCACAAAGATGACTCCGATAAATTACTTTCTGATATTATGTTTGAATTACAAAAACCAAAAGCAAATCGTCCAACACCCGTCGCATCGGCACCTGTACCAAGTGTATCGAAATCTATGAAAATTGAATCTAAACCAGTGGAAAATTTTCGTCCTGAACCAATCCCAACACCATCAGTGCCAACATGCAATGTTGATCCTCCATTGCGTCATGAAAAAGAACTTGATTGGGGCGATGATGACAGCATGAGTTTTGATGCTGTATCAAAATTAATGAATGACACAACTCAAGCAATTAAACATCCACCGGCACCTCTACTATCAAAGCCCTTAATTCAATTTGATACTCAAGAACTTGAATTTGTTACCGATGAGCAATTACTTAAATCATCTCGAACATTTCATACATCACCAACAAAAGAAATCGATCAAAATGAAATTATAAATAAAGATGAACATTTAAGAATGTTTTGGTTTGATGCTTATGAAGATCTAGGTGCTCAACCTGGTAATTGATTTCGATATAATTGAAGAATGACTAACACTTTCTTCTAGGTAAACTTTTTCTTTTTGGCAAAACACCATTATTAAATGATGACAAATCTGTTAGCAAAACGTTTGTTAGTGTTTGTTTAATTATTGATAATATTCCAAAACAAGTTTACTTTATACCTAAACCGGGAGTAAGTTATTCATTGATTTGGATAACTTTTATGCAGTTTTTATCGTTTTTGTTTTGTATTTATAGAGTTCAGCATCCGACGTTGAAGATGAACTATTTATCATTGCTAAACGATTTAAAATAACAAATTATACATCATCAGTAACTTAAAACAATATATCGTTTTAGCTTTAGTTAACCTTGAATTTTAGATTGTAAAAAGAAAGCGTTTCGATCCTGATTTAATTTCAACTGACTTACTCAATGAAATCGATATTGTTGAAATGAAATATCCAGTAAAATGTTGATTTTTATGCGATTTTAAAATTTTTATTTATTTTTATTTTAGGCTCGTTGTACATCGTTGCCAACTGATTTACAAGGCGATTCATTTCAATGCATTTATGGTGCAAACCAATCATGTTTAGAATATGTATTAATTGAAAAAAAACTTAAAGGACCTTGCTGGTTAAATATAAAAAATTGTGGTACATAGTTTTAATTGATAAATAAACAGAGAAGAAAAAGAATTATTTTCCTCTTATAGCTCCAGTAAAAACCCGCCGAAGTTGGTGCAAACTTGAATATGATGTGGATTATTATCATGGTTGTGATCGTCAATCGATCAATATTGAAATTAGTACAGTAAATACTCCACCACCACCGCCGTTGGTGGCTGTTACATTATCATTAGTTACATTACCAAATACAAGAACTCATGAGACTGAGGTATGATCACATGTTCATTTTTTTTTCATTTTCATTTATTTATCTACTCAGGTTATTTGTGTTGCTGGTCTTGTCCATCAACAATTTCCAATTGACAGTGCAGCACCCAAACGTCCGTATCAAAATTATTTTATTGGTGCGTTACTTTTTGATGAAGAGAACACAGCCGAATTTTTAATTATTTTTCTAGCATTAACTAAACCAAGTGATTGCATACTTCCATCGGGCCTTGTTAAAGCAGCTGAATCTCAAGTTTGCATTTTAAATTATTAACAAGATAGGGAAAATTATTTTTCATGGGTTTGTTTTCTAGAAAATCAATATTGAAACTGTGCCTGGCGAACGAGCATTATTGATGTATTTAATTTCAAAATTTCAAATATTAGATCCAGACGTGATCATTGTAAGTAAACGAAAAACGAGAATATTTCAATAAAATTCAATTATACAGGGTCATGATATGCGCATGTTTGGCTTGGAGTTATTTTTATCGCGATGTCAAAAATTAAAAGTTGGCCTCACTGCATCGAAAATTGGTCGTCTTCATCGAACACATGACGGAAAAACAAAAGTGAGAAAAGAAGAAATGACTTTTAATTTTCTATTAATATAATTATTTTTGTGTTAGGTTTCAACAATTAAAAATCCAACATGTGGCCGTCTTCTATGTGATATATCAATATCAGCAAGAGAATTATTAACAAAATGTAAATCATATGATCTTGAAGAATTATGCAAAACAGTTTTGAATACTGAACAACAACAACTTTATAGATCTTTTTCAATTGATCAAACAAGAGACGCATTTAGGTAATAAGCTATGAACAACTGAAAGCTTTACGTTTTGCAATCTGAATTAAATAAAGTTATAGACGTTGTGAATTCATAATAAACTCTTTATAGTTCATCAATGTCCGTTGTTGATCTTGTACAAGCAACATTGAATAATACATCATTGATATTAAATATCTTTTGTCAATTGATGGTTTTACCTCTTGCTTATCAATTAACATGTATTGCTGGAAATTTATTAGTAAGACTATGATTTTTTTTCACTCTTGAAAGTGTGTCGTTATTTTCACTTTTGTTTAATAGAGTCGAACATTAATGGGTGGTAGATCTGAAAGGAATGATCATTTATTGTTACATGCATTTACTGAACGAGATTATATTGTACCAGAAAGAACTGTAATGTCAAATCATCGTGCTGTTGTCAAACATACACAAGATGTAAATAGAAATGAAATTTTTATTAATTATTTTAAATTAAAATATATCTCGCTTATTTTAGATTCATAATGAATCAGATGAAGAAATAGAGGATGATACTAAGAAAGCAGCAAAACCTTCAGCAACTTCCTATACGGGAGGTCTTGTGTTAGCTCCGAAGAAGGGTTTCTATGATCATTTTATACTCTTGCTTGATTTCAACAGTTTATATCCATCTATTATTCAAGAATTTAATGTTTGTTTTACAACCTATATGAAAAAACCAGTACAATCACGTTCAGTTAGTTTTTATTGTTTCTTTTGAACGAAAAAAAGAATTTATTCTTTTTAGAATAATAATAATGCAGAACCAGAACAAACTGAAGCTGATGATATTGTTGCTCTTGATGATACAACAAAAGGTATTTTACCATTGGAAATCTATAAACTTGTAGAACGACGTCGTGAAGTCAAAAAATTAATAAAAGAAAAAAAGAATTTAACCGATGAGCAACTTGTTCAAGTAAGACATCATAAACATTTTATTTTATTGGTCTTAAAAAGATGGCATTTTTTCTTTCAGTATGACATTCGACAGAAAGCTTATAAATTAACAGCAAATAGTTTATATGGTTGTTTGGGTTTTAAGCATTCGAGGTTTTATTGTAAACAACTTGCTGCTTTTATTACATGTAAAGGTCGAGAAGTGAGTAAAATCAAATCAATTTCTTTTAAAAATATCTCAATAAAATTATTTAGATTCTTATGCAAGCGAAAAATATTGTTGAACGAGTATGTTAATAGTTTTTGTTTGAGTAAGAGAAGATTTCTTGAACATTCGAATGTCTCTAGATGAATTACGATGTTATTTATGGTGATACAGATAGTATTATGATCAATACGAATTCAATAGATTATGATCAAGTTATGACAATCGGAGCAAAGGTAATGTTTATCTTTAGATTCGAAAAGCAATTTGAAATCAAATACTTGTTGTCATTTCGTTGACTTTTAGATTCGAAATGAAATTAATCGACAATATAAAAGTGTTGAAATTGGTATTGATGGTGTATTTAAATGTATGCTATTACTCAAAAAGAAAAAATATGCAGCATTAATTGTTGAAAAAACGCCAACACAAGAATTTATTTATAAAACAGAATTAAAAGGTTTGGACATTGTTCGACGTGATTGGTGTCAATTAGCTCGATCCACTGGCGAGTAAGTCTATAGAATAAAAAACAAACAAACTGATTTTTTATTTCTATTGAAATAAAAAATAGATTTGTTGTGTCAGTTATTCTTTCTGGTCAATCACGTGATGATGTTCTCGATAAAATTCATAATCGACTACGAGATTTAGGTGATGAAATGCGTAATGGTAAAATAACTATGGAAGAATATGAAATCAATCGAGTAATTTATTGAGAAAGAAAAATAAAAACATTATTTCGTAATAATTATTTTGTTCAGCAACTTTCTAAAGATCCCAGTGATTATTCTGATGCTAAAAGTTTACCACACGTACAAATTGCTCTACGTTTTAATACAAATTCAACTGGACGAAAAATGAAACGTGGTGATACTATTTCGTATATTGTTTGTGAAGTATGCTTCTGTTGAATTAATTTACAACGAAAATTTAATATTTTTTCTTTAAATTTAGGATGGTACACAAAATTCAGCTATGCAACGTGGCTATTTACGTGAAGAAATTTCATCATCATCATCATTAATTGTTGATATAAATTATTACTTACACCAACAAGTTTTACCTGTTATATCACGTCTATTAGAACCATTTGATGGTACTGATCAAGCCTATCTTGCTCAATGTCTTGGTTTAGATTCATCAAAGTATAAAGCTCGTCAACAAAAAAATTATTTAAAAGACAATGAAAATAATATTGAGAATAATGACGATGATGATTTTAATGATGAATTACTTCTTGGTGAAGGATCAGAAGCTTTTAAACAATGTGATCCATTTGTATTTCCTTGTGTTCAATGTGATACATTGAATTTTTGGAATGCACCATTTATTTTTAATGAGGTAAACAACTTGAGTTACATTTCAGTAAATTTTCAAAATTTTTAATCTCATTATTTTATTCATTAATCTTGCTTTTTAGGATAAAACATGTATTTCACCATTACTTCGTTGTAAAAATGTGAATTGTTCAAGTCAACCGATTGATCATGTTGTGTATTTACGAAATCGTCTTACTTTGATGATTAATAAAGCAATTCGACGTTACTATCAAGTATAGATTTTGTTTTATTAAATTCAGTTTTGTTTTTAAAAACTATTTGAATGTAGAATTGGCTTCGTTGTGATGATGATACATGTTGTGCATTTCGAACACGTCAAACACCATTAGGAATATTACATAAAAGACATCTATGTACATCATGTAGTAAAAGTGAATTAATCACAGAAGTAAATGAAACAATTATTTTTTATTTGATTTGTTTTAATTTAATTTTTAATTTTTAAGTATGATGATCGTCAATTAAATTTACAACTACGATTTCTTAAACAACTTTTTAATATTGATGCTTATAAAAATTCAATAAATCGAACTAAAATAGGTAAAAATAATATTTATTATCAATGATTGTCTTCATATGAAAATTGTGAATTTTAGAACAAGTTGATGCGTATTTTAAAACTCTATCGGTTGATGTAACTCGCTCAATTCATAAAAATATGACTGAATTACAATTACATATTGATCGTATTATACAAAAAAGTGGTTATGCTGAAGTCTGCATTAGTAACCTGTTTGCTCAATTTTACTTTAATGCTTGAAATTTGAAAAAAAGATATGAATAAATATTTTGTTGTCAGATAGATAAAATGTTATTATTGTTACTAGCTTGTCGATATGATTGTCAGATAGTTATATTTTTTTTTCTTTATTTGTGAAATAAAAAGAAATTCTGATGTTAATATAACAAGCATTATATGCTGATAAGCGTTCGACTGCTAGGAACTTTTCTTTCGTCTTCGTTATGTATGCGCTGAATGATTCAAAGTGTGCCACGTGATGGTGTAACTATTGATTTTTAACTACACCAATACCCATGTCTTTAATAGCAAAACTAATTCACCAATGAAAACAACAAAAACTGGGAACTCTTGCCTGCTGCATTGTGAATAGACTCACTATAAACACATACCCGCACCCTCACTGACTACGCCGACGGTGTGCGCAGTGGAACACCGCCCACACTGTCATCGGTGTCACTGAAACACTGAAGATAGGGACACTGACGGCACCGACAAATTAGCTCCGGTGTTTCTTCAATACAATCAGTCAAAGTACACTTATTTTTCGTTATATTTTTATTTCATCTTTAAGTAATATGTCGATTCTTTCAGTGGCCATGTTCTATGTATATAGATATGGTTCGGTACAACTGCCTACCTACCAAAAACAGTGGATGAATATTTCATAAAGCTTGAATTTGTGTGTATTGTAAGCAAGGGGAAACGGCAGACTTTTGTACTTCAAGTACTTTGCGCTACTTTGTGCTACTTTAGGCTACTTTAGGCTACTTTGCGCTACTTTAAGCTTACTTCAAGTAAAGTACTTTGATGTACTTTTCTACTTCAAGTCTGCCGTTTCCCCCTTGGTGCGTGATGAGCTCTTTTGAATTTTTCAGTGTTTAAGTGGCATAGGAGTTTTAGAACAATGATTTGGTTTGTAGGTTCTATGGTTTTAGTAATTTCTAAATCAATATACTTTCGATGGCTAGTGAAAATACCTGGACATTCCGTGGGTCAAACTAGCGATTTCATCCTTTGCTTGTATTGGTTTGTTACATCTGATATACAACTAGTGTAAGAGAACGAGAAAAATAGTAATTGACAACAGAATGCAAGAAGTAGCGTACATTTTCTTTGTTGATACGCTCATGAATCACAATGATTTCATGTTCTATGCAGGTAAGCAAAATTAGCAGCGGATTCAAATACTTATGTTCTACATTCGTTCTTAAATATGTGCTGATATTCTTTATAGTGTTGAATTAGATCCAAAATATAACTTCAGTAATTACTTGCAACTCTTTCTCAGATTTATGATTCACAAAACAAGCAAATAATCTCTGTCTAATCATAAACCAACAGTGATTACTGTTATAGTGTACTGATTAAAGTTATGTAACAGATAATCCTCTAAAAAATAAAAATAAATTATGTAGAACTGAAGCTTTAACGTTGCTTTAACCAATTTCTCATTTTTGTTAATTTTCACTATTACATTTTAAATTAATCATCTCAACGATGAATGATATGGCTGCACGTACTAAAGCACATCATCAACACGAAGGAGAACTTTACGTTCAAACAAAGAACACATGATCCTACAGATACACATGAGATGGTATCCGAAATTATCCAAGATGATATGCCACCTGAACACTCTGAATTCTTTACTCAATTGAGTTATTTGAGTATTTTTACTATAGATGCAGACGGAAGACCTTGGGCTACTATTCTTTTTGGCTCATCTACAACATTCAGTCGTGCTGTATCGAACATGTAACTAAAAGTTTCTACTGTATTGCCAGAAGAAGATCCATTTTTATCCAGTGTAATCAACACAACGCATGTATCTACTCGTTATTTTGCTGGAGTTGGTGTCGATTTTAGTGATCGTCGAAGAAACAAAGTAGCAGGATTAATTACTTCCTCAGAAATATTAAGTAGCAGTCTCCACATGTTTCTGATAACTAATGAAAGTTTGGGAAACTGTCCTAAATATATTACCATTCGAAAAATGGAATATCACAAAAGACATTCAAAAAATGGAGCTGGCCATCGAAATGCAGACAATGTTACTTTGAATTAAGAATGTCGCAGCACTATCAATCAAGCTAGTACCATGTTTTTAGCCACCCGCCACATTAACAATGTTTTTGGCAATAGTTCAGATATTGAGTTAAAGCATAATGGCGGATCTCCTGGATTTATCCTAGCTTATGAAGAAAACGGAAGTACATATATCGTTATTCCAGACTTTTCGGGAAACCGATTCTATCAATCTCTTGGAAATATTGGAAATGATAGAGTTGCTGGTGTTGTCTTCCCTTGTTTTGCCACTGGTGATATGCTTCATGTGACTGGTATTGCTGAAAATATTTATGATGATGAAGCCGAACGTATTATGCCTCGTGTGTTACTATGGTTACTAGAAACAAACTGGTTGGACATGTTTGGATCAAAGAGGCACTCAACTTCAAATTACTCGGACCCGAAAAATATTCTCCATATAATCCATCTATTCGCTATCTTGCTATGAAACTTGAAAAAATGGAAAACCCTGCGAAGTCTGCAAACAATTGAGCTACCTTGATACATATCAAGAAATAAACCAAGCATATTTCAACATTTACATTTAAATTAGAAGAAAATGCTTCATTTAAACCTGGAGGATTCATGGTTTTCGATTTCGCACATTTGATTCAAAGAGAATATCGTCACATGGGCAATCGCAAACCAATACCAATCAACGATGACTACGTTAGAACATGGTCTATTTCTTCATCACCACCATTTGATCCAAATACGAATACATTCCAAGCGACAAATAAAGTATCATGCACCCTCAAGCATCAACGTCATGGTGTTATATCTTCTTTGTTGCATTCTCGCTCAGTGGATCAGCAGCCACCACTGTGTACCAAGTTCTTTGGAGTGGGAGGTGAATTCACCTGTTTCGATGAATCTAATCAAACTTCCCAAAAACTTTTATTTCTTGCTGATGGCATAGGCTTCACACCCTTCTTGGCTATGTTCGAAGCTCTGACTCAAACCAAACAGAAGGTTGATATCGCCGTTTTATTTGCTGGTCGTGGTGATGAAATAGATCTACTCAAACACTTGATACCAGCTGATATTGTTTCACCCATGTCGAACATTCCGACCACTGGATCCCGTAGGATACTCCAGAAAATATGCGGGAAAGTCGCCATATCCTGCAGGAAAACATGGAAAATCACTGGAACATGGAAGCAACATTCCGGTAAAAAATACGGCCGAACTTTTCCGGTCGATTCCTGCCAAGCTGCGGTGCTTTCCAGCAGGAATTGATCGGAAATCACCGGAAAAATTTCCAACCGGAATACTGCTTCCATAAAACCAACGGAACTATCAGGAACCGACCGTTTCCAGGCCGGACTGTTTCGACCTGGGCAAGTGTATCAACTTTTGACTCTACTGGTGTCAATGCTCCAACAGAATGTGGCTCTCTCAAATTATACAATAGAAGAATGCAATTCAATGTCATTGTCAATGTTTCTGATGTGACTAATAGGTATGTTTATGTATGTGGACCTGCTCAACTTATGATCGATGCTTATTCGTGGTTGACAAAGGCTGGTGTCAAACCAAGTCAACTCAAGAAGGAATCTTTCCTCTTTTGAAAACATTGATATGATTATCAATGCGAGTTTTTTTCTGTTCATACCTGTGAGATCTTATCCCTTGGTGTAAGATGCGGATGTACCGTATCAATGATTTAAACTATGCTTTCAAGTGAATATCTCTTTGTTGAAAGAAACTGAGAGAACTACTTTCATTGAATTTATCACAAACGATAGATAACTGCTATAGTAAATCTAAGCAAAAAAGAAAGCAATGTATAGAAAATGGTACTATATATAATATAATTGAATAGCAAATGTAGAAAATCTAAACATATGTTCAACAAAAACTATGAAAAGAACAAACAATAGCTATTTCAGAAAAGCCAACCATACACGTCTGTTATAAATATCACATTAGATAATAATAATAAAAAATAATACATTGAAATATTTAGAATTAATGTTCTTTGTTGTTTTCACCATAATGTGAACCTCGTTCGGTTTCTGTTATGGCAATCATTGTTCGACCAATAACAGTCGCTATAAATGAAAAACAAATTTGTAATTCAATCATTCACTTTATCAATTGAGTTTAAAAAGAATTTCTTACCAATACTTATAATAATAACAAATATAAATTTAGCTAGAATCGAGCTTGTCCAAAGAAATTGGAAAAAATAAATGATTGATGGTATTCCAATAATCATGATCCATCCAAGTTCAATCAGTAAATCATAATAATTACGTGAAGTTTCCAGTCGTGGTAATCCATTTCCTTCGAAAGTACCATGTTGGGCAAAATAATCATATATTTTGTCTTTTTCACGATATAATTCATGAACCCAATTACTTGATCCTTCAGTGTCTGTTGGTATTTCAGAAATCGGAATGCGTCTAATAACAAAAAATATATTCATAAATAATGCTGAAAAAATAAGAAGTTTAGCTCACCTAATAAATAATTCTGCTTGACAAGATCGTCCTTTTATTATACTAAGTAGTGTTGGTTCAGCTCCGGTCTTCTTAAAACCAAGTGTTATGTCATAGAGAGCTTCAACTGAACAAAGAATAAGAAAAATGATTTTAAAAATTGTTTATTTGTGTGTGTTTTCAATTAATAACAACATGATCGAACTGAAATATGAGCAGTATTCAGATACTAGATATATATTCTTAAATCTTGATCATGATTTTAGATAGATCAGCTCAGAATAACAATCTTTGAACAATTCCAGATGAAGCATGATCTAAATGGGAGTTCGACTGCATAATATTAGTAAACATACAGTGCCAGTGTAACTAGTATGTTGTTTAGCATTTGTGAGAATTTTCAATACAGAGCTAACTCAAGTATCTTCTTTAAAATAGTTCCTTTTAAAGACTTCATCAAATTCTCTAGTGTTCTAAAACAAATGTCTATCGCAATTGTCTCTATTTGAGTACCCCTATGAGAAAGTTACCTCGATTTTCCGCTCCTTGTAATAACAATGTAAAACCTTTTGTACGTGGTAGAATATGATGTTTAAGTTCAGGTAAACCTTTCTCTTGTGCGATTTTCATACTTGCCAAGCGTTTTTTTTCAGTAAATCGAGTACCTTCACAGGAAAGCATAAGCTAAATTCAAAATCAAGCAAAAAATATATTAATTTAAAAAAATAACATATGAGTTCAATCTTACATTAAAGTAATGATTTTCTGGATAATTAGCAAATATTCTTCGTAAGTCATTGGCAAGTGTTTCACGATCAGTCTCCCATACACGTCGCACAAATATTGTTTCAGTACAAATCCAACACCAACCAAGTATTGGCACAAATTTAAGCGGTTGTTTAGCTACAATTTTTGAACCCTACATAGATAAATTCACAACTATTTTCAGTTAATTATAGTAGGAACTAACTTAGTTTTACCTTTAACATACCCATCCGTTGACAGGCTACCCAGGCAGCAAGCCAGTCGATGTCATACTTATGATTCATTCTAAATTTTTTTAATGAATCTTTTTTCTCATGTGCCATGAAAAAAGAGTTTTTACACTTACATAACAATAATATTCTCATTAGCAATTCTTTTACGATCATTTGGATTTATATACAAAATACAATCACTTTTTGACCACCATTGAGCCAAAAATGTCAATTCTATAAGACAAATGCTTATTAATCAGACTCAGATACTATTCAAGATCTTCAGAATTGATACAAACAAAAGAAGTCAATTTTAATCATTTGTGATCAGATAACCTGATCATTCATACGAAAATTTACAAAAATTTCTAGCATTTCTAACTTTTTGAGCACGAAAAAATTATTATTAATAACCTTAGCACCTCTAGATTCTTCACTAGTAACCGAAGAAAATTTACAACGTTATCAAAGGATATATGATAAAAATCTTTCAGACTTATACACAGTAGCAGTAATAGTACTCACGACTCCAAATGCCCAATGCCAAATAACAATTGATTTTTCGGAAAAGTGCTTTATTAAATGGCCATATAATACAGGAGCATAATTGAAGAACATTTATAATCAGACCGCTGACGAAAAATATATAACTGAGAAAAAATATAATAATAAATGAGGATTTGAATTCATCGTAGATATGCATAATCTAGAGAAGAAAAAAACAATTATCAGTTACTATCGATTTTCTCCATGTCAAACTATTTAATCATTGTTTTCAGAAATGATTTTTATTGCATATCTTTTTCATTATTATTCAAGCAACGGTCGACAGATGCAAGTGTGAACACAAGTATTCTATTCATCCACACCTGCTTCACCTGCTCGCCAATGTTATGTCATGTTTGGTATAGAAGATAAGAACAAAAAGAACAACCACGTCCAATAATTTTTATTTTATTCTCTTTAAATATCTCTTTCTATCATTGTTACCCATTTTCTTTTTTTTTTAAATCTACTATTATTCTCTACTGCTCTCATAGCTTCTTCTTTCCTTCGTTCATACATGCAGCTTATGTATACGCGTTTGTGGTGGATACTTACACATGACCTTTACTTCAATACGAATGGATAAAAACTACGTCTACAATTGTTGCGTATGTAGATATAAAGAACGAACGAGAAGAAAACAAGACCAACTGGAGAAGAAGGAAAAATGAAAAGAAGATTGATGATAGCAAGCGATAGCTGACGCGCCCTCATATGACATTGCATTGTACTATACTTTTCTATCGAACAAAATGTGTCATATGGACATTTTTAAAAAGAGTTTAAACAATCAGATAGAAGAATTCGATATATCGAAAAAGAGTAAGAACAATTAACAGTTGCATGTGGTAGTAGGTGAATGATAGAAGGAAAAGAAGGCATAATAGAAAGAAAACAGCTTTTGGCAAGCTAATACGTAATATACTGTATCAACATGTGTTCAGATAGATCAAAAAATGAAGGTTAAAAAATAACGAAAATAAACGAAATAGAACTGTGGTGTCAAACAAAATACTTTCGTCCATAATTCACTGAAATAAAAACGAATGTAAATTGTGGACATAGATTGTTACATTGATTGGAAATTGAACCATAGTGATGGAATTAACTTGGCTTCAAGTTGTTTTATCATATATTAAATAAATAGAATTAAGCTAATTATAATGATCAAAGCTTGTTCTACTCGATGTTTCTAGCAATTAAGTTGATGATGAAAAGACGCAAAAGATAGATGTCGACTAGGGTAGGTGTATACATATACGAAAAATGATACTCATACTCACATCCTTTTTAGGTAATTGGAAACTCTGTCGCAAGACAATTTCTAATGTCTCCAACGTATCATGTTTTTCGTTAATTGAATAATACATAGTGGAGAAATTTTTTTTCCAATCAACTGTTTGCTGGTTATCATTATACTTTTCATGCAGCATTAAAATGACTGTGAGATATATTTTAGAGACTTAACAACATTTTGATAAACTAATTTATTTTGTAGCAGTAAAAACATGCAGCAACAAAAATGTTTTGATGTTAGATGAAACTTCCTCTTGTACAAGAGCTGAGTAATAATCTTAAAAAAAATAAGAATGCGAATACTTTTTAACTACGTATGTGGATGGCGGTTTTAAGTTTTGCTAAATAGGTCTGTTTTCTGATGATTGAATTTTTAAAATATATCCCTTACAGACAAATATTTTTATACGAAGACACTTAATGTTAAGGTACATGTTACCAATGTACAAAAGAATGATATCAATCATGCGTCTAATATTTGATCAGACAACGAATATGAAAACTTACTTTCACTCAAAAATGTGACTCTTCGATATCATAATTATATTGATATATTACAGAACTGTTTCAAAATTATTTACAGTTTCAACGACGACCCTATTACGCATGTTACGTTCATTTTTATAAACTATAGAAGTATAAGTAGCACAGCAAAAAAATAGAAAGATGCTCTGCCGTCTTATTCAAAATGATGATAATACAATGATAATTATTTTAAACATGGTAGAAAAATCTAATGATATCTAACTATAATTATGCTTGACAATTGTGATGAACTTCATCGATTGAAAGATAACAAAACGGGTAACACAGTTCATTATTTTATTGAGACTGGTGTAATTAATATATTTCATGTTGATCTTATCAGTCAAATTTACTTCGCGAATCATATGCATTTTAAAAAAGCAGAAGCTTCTTTTCTCATATTTGAGAAAACCATAAAAATGTAGTTTTTATTGTAAAAATTCATTTGTTTTTTAATATTATGATGTACAATGATAATAAAAATGCGTTCACTCATTAATTATTAATCAGTCAAATAGTCAACTTAGAGTGGTTCTTCTTGCTATTAACTCCACTTTAGATATATCTGCTTATTTTGACAGTTCTAAGAGTAAGCACAAATACTCTCAAATATCTCATGAAAATAAAGAAAAATGTCTATATGATAGATGATTGTCAGCATAGTACGTTTTCAAAGATTCAAAATCAAAATATCGCATCAATCTTCCAAAGCATATACTTGTATACATGGAACTGTACTGTTCCCATAATCGGTATACTGTGTATTTATTGAATATCATATGAGAATTTGAATGTTCTTCTAAAGAAAATACATGTTAGAGTGCTACATATTCACCCTCAAATTTGATGATTCCAATTTTGAATATAGGGTGTGTTCTTTCAGTAACTATTTTTTATGGGAACGGTGCACTTATCAAGGTTCAAGTAAATATCACCATAATCCATAATAATACATTTTGGAAGAAAAATGATGATCTTTTTCTAACAATCGATATAATCGACTCTTGGATATCATTTAATCACAGCGATTAATTCAGGCAAACGCGCCGCAAAATATGTATTAAGAGAATCGATGAGGCATATTGCACCAAGATGGTCCCAACAGAAAAAACTTTTATCTACATAGTAGTACAACTGGATAACCCTAAAAATCGTCGAATTGAGACAATGAATAATTAAAGTCGGTCTTTCGTGGTCGAGTAGGTGTGAATGTGGGCTGTGTTCCAATAGGGTCTCTCTAAATTTCACAGCCTGGTATATATACATCAGGTTTAAAATTCAGAATATTATAAAACTTCAACTATAATTCATATCTGTATCTATGAATATTTCAATAGTTGTTCGTACTATAAACATGAAATGCCTAGTTCGAATATAAGTGGACACCCAACTGCATGGTATCAATTCGAAAACAGGTGATAGAAATAGATTTACTTTATGATGGAGTGGGTGCGGGTTGAGGAGGACTAACGGGTAACTGTTGGTGGCGGTGCGAGTGAGGGGGTGGATAGGAGGGGTACCCAGACGGGATGCGGGGGTACTTCAAATGTGGTTGCGGGTACCATAGAGGAGTACTCAGACGTGGGTGTGGATAAAGGGTACCCGGAAGGGGTGCAAGGAAGTACCCGAATACTTCAAATGTGATTGTGGATGATGGGTACCACGGAGGAGTGCTCAAATGCGGGTGCGGGTGCCTGGGTTGTATACCTTGGGGTGTGGGCGTGGTTGTAGAGGTATATACGTATTCATATATCGCATATATCGGAGAGCTAAACTAAAACTACATCTATTTCTAGATTTAGTTTTAGTTTAACTTTTTCTTTTCTCCAGCTATATTCGAACTCGAATTAGACAGCTAGTCATTATAAATGTTTTGTGGAACTCACATATATTTTCGAAGAAAACGGTGAGTGTAAGTTTAAAGGCGAAATTTTTGCGACTCCCCACCCTCCCCCCCTCCCCATTACAGACATTAATGAGTTTAAAATTGTGCTAATCAGCAGCTTGACTAATTAGGCTGCTATTTCTTCCTTTTTCAATTGCAGACTACACGAAAAAAGCAATGTTTGCCCATTACAGACTATAGTAACTAGCTTAGGGTACCATTACAGACCATAGAAACCAGTCTCTGCCCTTGTTAAATATACGAGCTAACAATTAATACTCAATTACAGACATAAGTGCAAATAGGCAATGATCTAACTATAGGTTTTGGAAATCTGGATAGATTTTTCAGATGAACTATTTTGAATTATTTTAGTAAGCCGAAGGGATATATGTGAGTTCCACGTTTTAGCCCCAAAGGGGCTGTGCTAACAAGCTTTTTTATTTTAAACAAAAACAAATAGATGATAGCATGTGTTAGCTTTTAATTTCAAGAGAACATATCCCATGGGTGTGCCATTGTTTTTTTAATATGTAAAAAGACAGTTCTCTTTGTACTGATGCAATATTCTTTGAAATAGATCAATTTGCATCATACTCAACAAATTTTAGTCAACTAAACATTAAATCAAAATTTTGTGCAAATAATCAGTAATGATCTTGACAAGAAAGTTTATATTTCAGCTGTTAATTCTATTATTTAAAGTCATAAGAAAAAATAGAAATCTAGCATCAATAGTAAACTTGTAATAGATGATGACAGTAACACGTTTGCATCTTGAAACGATGGATGATTATCAATTGTCTTTTAAATATTTATTATTATCTACATTAAAATATTATCCTAATAGTTCATTTGAAGAGAAATCTATCATAATTATATTATTTCTTTGTAGATTCACATTTTACGTTAATTTTATTATCATTTAATTTTATAGTTCAGTAACTATTTCTGTTTCTTTGCCATATAAGTGAATCTTACAGTAAAACAAAATATTATTTTTAGCTTTCACGCAAGCATAGTATTTGATAGATGAGAAGAAAATCAATAGAATTCACAGTAAAAGCTTTGATCATCTCTAGAAATAATTTTTTCTAATCATTTAAGTCTATATGCTTACTTAGTAATTTAACCTTAACATCACTTCATCGCGAAAAACATATTTTCCGGAAGATAATCATATCAAATGATCTGTGAAACATATATTTTGTTTTATTTTCATTGAATACTCGATGTAGAAGTATCTAGTAAATATGTATTTATTCATTCGTCGATTCCCTTCCATTGGATACGAACACAAAAGAGAATACAGCAATTAACGATTTTTACTATTCTTTTTTTCTCGAATGAAGAAATGAACGAAATCAGCTTGACCGTATACTCACGTTCATAATTGCAGACTAGTTTAATGTTAATCTTATGCTTTCGGACAACGACCGAAATGATTAGAAAACGTACACAACTAGCCAACGATGAAAAAAAAGAAAGAATAGAAGGGTTCTATGTGTTTAATACAAGCTCTAAATGGCCGATTGTTGTCTAGCTCTACTCATTACTTACTATAAGCGATCAAAGACATACAAACAGCAATCAGGAAGAGAGTAAACGGCAGTAGTATGTTTTTGCATCTTTCTCTAATGATGAATCATCTCTAGAAAACATATGACACATGTTCAACTCGGCATAGAGTTACGATACCATTTCTGACGAACATGACCAGCAAGAGAGAAGAGAAGAGAAAAGAATGAAACATTGAGAGAAAGAGTGAGCAATTGTTTCTTTGCTGAAGAATTTACGGACGACGAAGAGAAAAAATAATTTTCCTTTCGTAGTACGAGGGTGAGTATTGTTGTTTTCTTTTTTCTTTCATTTTATATGAAGTGATGCTATGTGGTATGTGTTAGTCTCTGTTTAAAATAGGTAACGATTGATTTTAATATTCCTTTAATGAACATATATGATCATTTTTTTATGATATAAAAGGAAAATAGACGAAGCAAAATTTCTATGAATCGAGCTGAATTTGTTTTTTCTTTCTAAGACTGATCAACTTATAATTCTTTTATTTTCTTTCAATTGAATGTCAATTCTAATTTTCAAAGAAAAATATATTCATTCAGTTCAACATTTGTTTGATTTCACCGATGATTTTCATTTCTTCCAATCGACATTTCACACTTATTAGAATAGAAGTGTCGACAAACATAAATATATTTTCTAACTTGAATATTTTCATTGCTTTAGCCATGTACAAAGAAATTTTCTTTGTTTATCTATTAAAAATAATATTAATAAATTGTTATACATTTCAATCTTCAATTGATAATTTACTCTATCTAAAAAATACATCAACTCTATTTGCAATATCATCATCACATCTGCATCAGTTACATTGGTCAGCAACAAATAAAAATTTATTATTATTACATCGACGTGTTCAACTTCATGCATCTATTGATAATACAGAATATGGCGTAAGCGTTTTTGTTTACGATCAAATAAAGCAATTACTAATTATATGTGCACGATCATTAGTTGGACGTTGCATATTATATGATGCAAACGATATAAGTCGAACGTATTTACTTGATTCAAATCTTGAAACAAATTATCTTGGCTGTCTATCGGGTTGTCATACATTTATGTCATCAAATATAATACGTTCAGCATTCAATGGAAATCGTCTTGACCGTAATGGAAATGTAGTTAATTCACAAATTGCAATTGGTAAAGATTTACTAAGTTACAATATAAAATATCAATTCGAATCAAGTGATAATACATTAATAACATCATTGACATTCTTACCTGATCGTTTATTTAAAAATCAGAATTACGAATATATTTATGGTTTTGATCATGAAAAATATACATATTATATATTAAAATCATCTCGTATCGCACGGTTATGTCAAGCATCAATAATTATGCGAGTTACCTATGATGAAATACCGCTAGTAAATTGTCATAGTGATAAAAACTCGTCGATTATCACAGTTGCTTTTCATACATTTGATAAAACAAATAGTTTATATGTTGCATTTAATAATATTGTTTGTATTTACTCAATGAATGAAATCAAAAGTGCATTTAAATCATCTAAAAGGCAATGTCAAGCTGGTAATGGTTATCGTCTTGGACATATTGTTGATAGTACAGAATTACGACCAATGTGTGTAAAAACGCTTGAACAAAACTTTACAGAAGAAAATGAATGTACATGGCAATCACATCGAACAAATTCATATATTGATGGAACTGTTGGTGCCGTGGGAAATCTAATTTATGAAACTGTGAATGATGATGCTGAAATTAAATTTATTTTTGCTCAAGATGATATTGTAATTATGGCTACCAGTGAACGGCGCGTTTTAAAAGTAAGAATAAACAACACGTTTTTCTGTTACCATCGCTTTCAAATATTGGCTATATTCTTAAAATTCGATTATTTAAATCTGAGTATGTTTTATCTTATTGACTAACAACCTAAACATGTCTGTGGTTCTATAATATGTTTTGTCAACAACAGTTGCAATTGTTAAATCCATTGTTTAGCTTTTTTCATGAGAGATCATCTCTTGATTACTTTTGCAATATTAGATGACATCTGTATATTTGATTTTAACTGAGAATTCTTGTTTTGTCTAAGAAATTTTATGTTTATCAACTGTATTAACACTGATATCTAATTCTATATGATTGTTTAGTTTATTTTGTCGAATCAAACAAAACTTTATCTTTTACATGACGCTATTTATCATAATGAACCATTCAATAGTCAATTTGTTATCGATTATGAACATGAATCACTTATCTTTGCTGTAGCTTCTGAGGTATTTTCCTTTTTAAAATGCCTTTTTTTTTTGTAAAAATATTAATTATCCGCTGAATTAGCTACATCGTTATGCGTATAATTCATGTTCAATTTATGATACATGTCAATCATGTGTTGGCAGTCGACGTTATGATAGTAAATCATGTATTTGGTTCGATGGTAAATGTTCTCTCTCACCAAATCCATTAATATTCGATCGTGGATGTCCACCATTGATTGATCAAGTTTGTTTCTAATTTGTTTTCTCTTCTGTATTTAGCTAATGTTAACTGTTTCTTTTCATAGATTAAGCCAACAAATATCAGTATCAATAGTGAACAATTTCTATTGACTATTAAAGGTTCATTTGAAGGTGTCAATGAACATTTTATTAAAGTTATGGTGAGATTTCCTTTACCAAATCAAAATGAATTTTTCTGTACTATTCAAAATATTCAAAATGACAGGTACTTGTCTTTCTTTCTTATCAGAAAAATTATAAAATGTAAATTATGTTTTTGTTTTTTTCAGTTTAATGTGTAATTTGATTGTACCAAAGCAACCTGTTGATGGAATTATTTCTATTAGTATTCAACCTGAACGCACATTGTCTAAGGGTGATACTGATATATCTGGTGCAATACAATTAACAGAAAAACTGAATGTTTATGTGAGAATATTAATTTTAATCCATAGGCAATAGAAGCAAACAAAAATGTTTCTTTTTTAGGTGCCTAGGCCAATTCTTTTACCTAATTATGGTCCGGTCGCTGGTGGAACAAAAATTCGAATTCAAAATTTAGCCTTTGATACGAATTTAGATTTATTTTCTACAATGAAAATCTTCTTGGGAAAACAAGAATGTCATATAATCGAGTATGTGTATTTTTGAGTCATATAGTTTTTCATAGAGATTTTTATCGCTAGTAGAACTTCTCGATAGTAATCTGCTAAATATAAGTTTTGAAGTCATAGAAGTTAGATAGAACTGAGCCAAAGTTTGATGCAGCCCTATTTAGTGAAGTTCAGTGACGGAAACGAAGGAAGAAAGGTTTCTTTTTATGCATAAGTAAATTTTCTAAACTACAATGAATCCATTTTGATTTCTAGAGTTACTCCAAATGAAGTTATATGTATAAATCAAGCATGTAAAAATGAATCCGAACAATTAGAATTAAGTATTCAAGTAAACACTCATATATGGCAATTAGAAAAAACATATTTTCAATGTAAAAATGATCCAATAGTATTGGATTGGTCTCCGAAAAAATCGATTTTAAGGTATTGATCACTATATATAGGTACATAGAATAACAATAGTTTATGAATTATTCTTTGTAGTGGTGGCTTTAAATTATTTGTAAATGGTGAAAATTTAGATGTTGTACAATTGCCAATTATGAAATTCGTGTATAATATATCTGATTATGAATTCATTTCCGTGAGTTGAAATAGAATATGAATACAATAAGAGAGAAATTGCTCGTATTTTAGTTATGCGAAGCGATCACAAGCTCACAAATGATTTGTTTATCTCCTGGTATTGATAAAAATCTAAATCTAAGTCCACCAATCTATCTCTATGTATCATTTATTATGGATAATGTTAACATAGTACCTGAAGATGGCATTTTAATGATTGTTCAAGATCCTGTTTATTATCCATTTGAAGATTACGTTCAAGAAGTAAATTCAACAAATATAATCAGATTCGAAGTACGAAAAAATAAAGATTTTTTATATTTCTTGAAAAAGTAGAATACTTTTCTTTCTTCAAGGGTTCAAATCTTGCATCAACACATTCAATCGATTTGATTGATGTACGCATAGATGATATGAGTAATGGTTGTATACCATTTAATTTAACTAATACTCATCTTATGTGTTCATTAACAAAATCAGCTTTAAATAATACACGAGATTTGGAAGCTAATGTTGAAGTATGAACAATACATATGTGTTTTTCGCATGACAGACAATTTATCTTCTTTTTTTTACATCTTTAGATTCGAATAGGGACAAATTTAACATTTTTAATTGGTAAAATTGCCTTTCAAAATTTGACTCTTTCGTCATTATCGGGAGTTTCATTTATAACCAGACAATTTGGTCTATGGACTATGACTTCTCTAATAATATTATCATCAATAACAATAATTAGCCTTATATTTCTCTTAGTTATAATTCTTCGTCGATACTATTTTCATTCATCAGGAAAATATAGACAAGGTGTACCACCACCTTATTATAATGATGTTTGGTGTGAATTAGGAAATAAATGGCAAATTAATCCAAATTTCGTAACAATAGCCGAAAAAATTGGTCAAGGCTGTTTCGGTGATGTGTATAAAGGAGAATTACAACAAAAGGATAAACCGATTGAAGTTGCCGTCAAAGTTTTACGTGGTAAAATTATAGAAAGATTTTTTTCTCCGAAGGACATTGATTTGAGTCAATTTTTACAGAGTTTCTGTTGAAAAGAAGAGAATAGATATTGTTTAAGATATTGTAGAGAACTATATCCACTACATATGATTAGAAATAGCCGATTGATTGTATTCAAAGAAATATTTGTTTTTCAGTAGAAAACAGACGTGAGATGATGAACCGAAATTGTGATTGATTATTTCTTTAAACGAGACCAAATATAGTAGTACGAATATCAAAATCATGTAAATGAAAAATTATTTATATTTAGATCAAAATGTTGGATCGATGCATGAATTTTTATTTGAAGCGAATCGCATGAAAGATTTTTCTCATCCAAATATTCTATCGTTAATTGGTGTTGCATGGGATCCAACGCGTAAAGCTATGGTACTTTTACCATATATGAAAAATGGCGATCTTAGAAGTTATATATCAAACGAGAAGAATCGGCCAACTGTACGACAATTAATAACATGGGGTATTGAAGTAGCCGATGGAATGGATTATTTATCTTCGCTCAAATTTGTTCATCGAGATTTAGCAACACGAAATTGCATGCTCGATGAAAATCTCACATGTCGAGTATCTGATTTTGGTCTTAGTCGAGATGTTTTCGATAGAGATTATTATCTTGTACCGCGAACAACAACTAAAGAAAAAGATGGAGTCTGTATTCAAATTCCGCCAAGACGTTTACCTATTCGATGGCTGAGTCCTGAATCTATCGAATCATCAAGATATACTATTCAATCTGATGTGGTGAGTTACATTTTTTTTATGAAAAGCTTTTCTTATCAACACGTATTCTATTTTGTTTTTGCTTTCTATGTATCTATCTAGTGGTCATATGGTATTCTACTTTGGGAATTATTAAGTCGTGGAAAAACACCCTATCCTGGCATTGATAATGCTGATATTTTTACATATGTTAAAAATGGTTATCGTCTTTCTTCGCCTACATATTGCCCTCCGTTACTTTATAAATCAGCTATGCTTGTTTGTTGGCATGCTGATCCATCACAACGCCCATTATTTAAACAACTTGCAACTGATATTCGTAATATATTACATCAACTTGAATTAGAACAAAATCAAAGACAAAATGCACAACAGCAACAACAACAACAACAGCAACAATCATCAGCTGACGACGAGGATACAACTATTGTTGAGCGATATCCAGCTGATAGAAAAATCAAACGATTATCAACAACATCAATGTCATCATCAGCCAGTATTGATGGACAATATATAACAACACCTCATCGTCAATCAGAAAATGAACAATTATTATTTGATCGCGATGGTGATGAAGAAGATTCGTATGCTGTTGCAGTTACTTCGACTGCTGACGTTTTTAGTACGACTAGACTATTGCCTAAGTATACTGAGACAAGCATTGCTGAAGATGCTTAAATTTACATATGTATATATGTGTCTGTGTGCATTTGTGATATTCATCATTGTATGCTTTCTTTTTATCCGTGTTTTATTTCTAAATAGGAATTTTCAGGCTTAACATATACACATTTTAGATGAAAAATAAAAATAGTTATAAACTTGATTCGCATCTTTCGTTCGAAATGAAACTTCGAATAGTTTAGTTACTTTGAAAGTAATGCCATTAAGGTAGCTCGTTCTCTTTCCAAATCTTCCTAATTAACTGCAATATTTACTTTTATATTAATGATTTCAAATTTCATAATTATGCAACTGTTGTACGTAAAATCAATATTATGCTGAATATTGTCAGATAATACTATCAATGTATACTGCGAAGATAAAATATTTGCTTTGATCTAAAGTCAAAAACAGACAAGGAACATCATAGAGTAACGCATTTTATTATGAAAATAAAGCACAAATGATATGCCTTTTTAAGTACTGAATTGAAATAAATTCGGTTACATTGAGTGTTTGGTCATAAAATTTTTAGGATGAAAATAATTTTTTCGTCTAATCCGACGCCCATGTTCTTTATGTTAATAGGATTTTGTTTATTATAATCAATTTGCCTTATTTATGCCTCAAAGCATCCAATTAAAATTTTATGAAATTTTAATGATAGTCAGGTCATTTTAGCTTCCATAGAAATATGAAGTTGTGATCTGTTGTTTTACGTTAATGTGTCATACTTTATCTTCAGATTTTAAGATTTCATATTATAAAAAGGAACCATACGCATACATCACCTTGCTGCGTTAGAATAGCAAATATTGCTACATAAGAAGATTTCGCTGGTATTTTGCATTTTCTCGAGAAGAAGTCATCATTAATCTTGGGCAGAAATTTAGCACATTTGAGTTGTAATTCATTTGATATAGACTGCCTTTGATTTGTCAGAGTGTGGTGTTGACTGATTACATCTGTTGAACCCTTATGCAAGACAAAAATGAAAACTTTTTACATATGCATGGTTCGGCAGAAGGAAACAACCGCGAAAATCTCATCATGTGTATTTTAGTTTGTAGTTAACACTGACACAACAAACCCTTCTTATCATCAGCCACAGTAGTTTACATGTGTTTCAGAGATTTCAAAATAATATTAATATTCAATTGATGCCTGCAGACGCATAATTCCGATGGAGATACTATCATTTTTCATGACATGACATTTCATGCTCTGCACTGCCGCTTGAATAATTTATAAAACATTCTGCTAAATAAAAATATATCATATTTGCCAGATATGTTTTTATTTCTGCTAAATGATAAGCTTAAGAAAAACATGCAAAAGCTCAAATGTATATTTATGAACACAAAGGTTAAGCTTCGATTTTCTTGCTACTATTATTTTCTTGTAATCAGAACAGTTGCTTCATTTAGCTCTAAATCAATAACGTTTACAGGCGTTCGACCTTTTATTCTTTGAATTTTATTTCTTAGTTGATTGCGTATTTCAGGAATTCTAGCTGAACACACGAAAGGACAAAGTAAGACGATGAAATATGGCATATAGGTTAAGTAGTTATTTAGAATGTACGAGATTGTTTCTGAAGGGGAATTGAGCAAAAAGATGACGTGTGCTAGGATGAGAGTTGGCAGTCAACAAACACTAGATAAAATGGCAATACTAACGAGTTGTATAACCATTCGTGCGTTCTTATTCCATAGATATTTCTGTTGCATATGGCGCTTCTTTTTAAGCACTTGAACGACGAGAACACTGTTACGAATGATAATGATTAAAACAGATGTTGAAAAGTTTATTTCTATAGCTAAAACATTCCATAATCGATTGTTCAGAAAGCATGGGCCTCCACATATGTAGAGATTTGGATAAAAGGTATTTTCACATACAGGAGGAATGAGAATAAGTACCATGTAGAAACAAAAAGGTTGAAAAATACAACAGGCTAATGGTATATATTGAAGGACTAATCTATGTTGTTTCAATAGATTACAACGAAATACGAATAAATAACGTTCTATACGCGTGAACGGCATCAACCAGAGTCCAGCAGATGCCATAGATAGCTTAGTTATTCCACATAAAGCACAGAGCCAATAAGAAAAATTGATATTTTGTGTATTTTTCAGGTGCAATCATAAAACGGGAAGATCTGTTGTAGATTGTAGAAAGTTACTCATTAAAAGGAGAATAATGACCAGATGTGTTGCTTGTCGAAGTAGATTAGGACGTTGAATAAATTGATAGAAAATATTAATGAAGCCAAAAAGCCGACGGAAAAGATAGAATGATAAAATTATAAAAATAATGAGGTGATTTGGAGAAGCATTATTAGCCGTCATGTACTGAAGAAGCAGGTACCACCATTGGTTATCTATTGTCGTGTTGTCGGTTGAATTCATGATGTGATAGACGATTGCTAGATGTAGTAGGATATGCTCTATTCAAACAGCAGAGTAGGATAATAAACTCTAGAAAAAGAGTTTATAACTCTTATATATTGTGCATAAATCCTTTATACATAGAAAGATAGTAAACTATGAGGGATTGATGAAAAAAATAATGAATCTTCGATGAGTTCATTATCTCTCTAAGCTTGGATGAGTTTATGAAAATAGAAATCATAATAAACATCTGTAGGCTTCATAAAATTGTCATGTACGCTGCAGGCGTTTATCGCAGGCCACACGTATTCAAAAAGTGTTTGTTAGATTAAAAAACATCTTGTTGTATTAACTAATGCGTTCCTTATTTCACAGCACCGAGTATTATTTATACTTATGGAGGATTTAAGCTGTTTGAAGATTGGTTTTCACTAAATTGAATTTTTTCCAAAGCTATGAGAGACGAAAACATAAAGAAAAACTTATTATGTGAACGTTGTAGCTGTAGTGTTACATGAACTTTCAGAATGGGAATCTATTTGGAGCTCGGCTTGTTCAAACGTAACGCTGTGGCACGTTCTTTTGTCGACCAAATTTGAAGCACTTAACAGGCTTAAAAATATTTAATGTTTCTTTATATTGATCAATGCCCTACATATATCCTTCTTTAAAAAAAATCAAATTGCTACATCGAAATACGAGCTCAATAATTGTATCGTAAGTTAGAAACTACAAGAGCTTAGAAATTGTCCTGTAGAATGAGAGCAAAAAATTAATAGGTCATTTTGTAGAGAATTAAATTCTGCATCGAATGGTATATTACTCTGCATTTTTATTTTAAATTTTTTGATTAAAAAATTGTAAATACAGCTTTTGAAAACGATAAAACCCGATTTTCGATGCCAAAACCCAATTTTTTTTAAGAAAAAAACGTTCAACTTCACAATCAGTGTAAAAAACTATACCAGAGAATAGGCGCTTAGATCTGTATATATCGAAAAAAAAAGGTTTTTAAAACTTGATCAGGGAAGTAGCGTTACGTGGGCAAGTCGAGTTACAAATGATAGCGATTTTTGAAGAAATCGAGCCTCACTATATTTTGCCATTGGAATAACTCAGATATTGTTCTATGAAGATTTGAACCAGAAAAAAGTTCTCATATCGTTCATATTATTTCTTTATAATTCAATAAATATATGATGTTCGTCGCCAGCTCGAGAAGTTCTATCACATCGATCAATCGAAATCGACCCGTAAGAATGTATCGCTAAGTAAGAATAGTTTTCTCAGTGATAAATTTCATCATGTCGACATAAAAAGTATTCAAGATCTCTCTGACAGAGACGTGCACAGGACAAGATTTTTCGTCCTGTCCTTACCTGTCCTGCTCGCTACTTTGGTCCTGGCGGGCGTCAGGACAGGACAAAAATCGAAATCTCATCCTGCCCTCCAGGACAGGACAGCAGGACCGCTCTGTCCTGTGCACGTCTCTGTTCTCTGAATTAAAGATTTTTCCTGAAGATCCGATTCGAGCTTCGCATCGCATTCGTATTCGAGTGAAACTTGAATACCATCTAGTTTGATTATGCTTTCCTAAATGAAAAATAACGAAACCGTCGCCTCTTGTTTTCATGTGTCTGAAAGTAGTTCGGATTCATTTAATAAGTCTACAAAGTATATGGCGTTTGAAATTTAGTCTTCAATATGAAAGAGAAAAGAACAAAATAACTTGTTATGTTGAAGAATTTTAATAAATTTTTTAATTAGACATATTTTGCAAGAACAAACCGACAGCTACACTCTTTCAAATAATATGTTTAGATTTCTAAACTTTTGAGTTTGAAAGTTTACCAGCGAATATAATCATTAGATGGTCATCCCATATCTCACTGAAAACATATTTCAGATTACGACACATGCGACATTTTAAAACTTATCGTTTATAATTATAATATTATAGTTGTAAAACATTCTAATCAGTAAAAGTATGTCATGTGTGTCAGATTTTCTTTTATTTCTATGTATTTCGATTAAATGATAAGTTTAAGAAGAAGATCTAGAATATCAATATTTGTGTATGAACATAAGATTTTCTCGTCGATTTCTTTTCTACTATTATGTTTTCGTAGTTTGAAGAGTTGATTGATTTAGTTCCAAATTAATAGTGTGAACGGCTTTTCGACTTTGTATTATTTCATAGATGTTTCAGTTGCATATACCATTTGTTTTAAGAAAATGATAAAAAAAACGGGTGTTGAATAGTTTTATTCCTATAGCTAAAATATTCCACAATCAATTGTTCAGATCACATGAACCTGCACAACGTAGATATACATCGAAGGACAAATTTGTGCTGTTTCAATAGACTAGAACAATATACGATTCGCGAACGTCATCAATCAGAGTCTAGTAGACCCTATATATAGCTTAACTATCCCCCATAAAGCGCAGAGCCAGTAAGAAAAGTTGATGATTTGCGTATTTGTCAGATCGAATAATGATTGCTGCAGGAAGATTTGTTGTGAATTGGAGAGAGTTATTGATCGAAAGGAAAATAATGAACAAATATGTTGTTGGACGAAGAAGAAGAATGGGACGCTGAATAAATTGAGAAGGAATAGATTGAACGGCGAACAGATGAAAAAATAAAATGATAAGAAATTGTAAAGAAAGATCAGGTGACTCGTAGGAGCAGGAACAGACACGAAAAAAGTAAGAAAGCGATACTATTGAGTAATTGTTGTCGATTAAACCCATGATGTTATAACTGATTGTAAAATGGAAGGAGATATTATTACATATATATATGCACGGATAAATTGAGCTGTATTAAAATTTAGATTTGTTTCTCTGGACCTCTACTGTAATCTCTTTTCAGTAAGTCCTGATTTTAAATAGAAATCAATAACAAATGTGATTATTATTCAAGTTTTGGATGCATACAGATTTTAATTTCCCATCCAAAAATTGACGAAAATGAACTCTAAAATCTCAATCTAAAGATTTCTGAATATTGGAATGACTTTTTTTGTAATTGAAAATGAAGGTTGGCTGTCTCATAATTATCGCATAATGCCAGATTTTAAAGTATTAAACAAAAGTCGTAGTCTTTATTTTTTTCATTTCAAACTCACAACAACACGAAACTTCCCTTTATTTAAAATAATTCAAAAAATGCAGTAAAGCTGACGAACATGAAATATTTTGTTATGAAAAGCAAATAACCCTACGTATGTAGCATAATTGATGAATAAGAGCACCCTTTTAAAAATTCAAGTGTTATAATCATGTGAAAACATTTGGCTTCTTTTCATGTCTGCCTTACAGTATACTTTAATGGAAATGACGAAAGAATACTAATAAAAATCTACTCTGATCTCTCTAAAATAGACTGGCTAGAATTTTATCGGTATCTTTTCTTAATTAAAAAGAAACATAATTTCATGATGATCTTTTGTCAATAGAGAGAGATCGACTTAGAAAAAGTAGCTCAATAAATTTCATTGATAAGCAACGGATACATATTCGCTCTATTCTATATTCCATATAATTTCATTTGAAAAGCTATCAGAACAAGATATCTATTCATTAAAAAAAGACAAGAAAACGAAATAAATTGATTATTATGTTATCTGTTTATCGTAGAATGGTTCGTTGTGATTCTAATAGTTTTTCTCGTTCTTCAATCATCGTTACTGCCTGTTTAAAAAATAAATTAGTATCAGCATGTTTAAAAAATCCGATTGTTTAACCTTACCCAGCTGAAAAATGCTGCTAAGCCAAGTGAAATTTCACTAACACGTACTAAATCATAATTTCGTAGTATATCTTTTGCTTCACGTGCTTTATGAACGGCAATACTAAGAGGATTAAGTTCGTAACATCGACGACGTACACTATCTTTTCCTAAACGACCTAGTAAACTTTGAATTTGTGCCCATTCCTTTAAATATTAATAAACAAACAGACGAAAACATATTAGTAAAATAGATATTTTTTCACTGTTTTACTTGTATTTCTTTTTCTGTATGTCCAAGAAGTAGAAACGTTGCACGCATCACCGTAGATACTTCTTCTGGTGGTTTAGTATAACTATGTAATTCAGCTATGGTTGATTGATTAAGACGTAGTACTCTGATTCTAAATGAAGATTTTGAATTTAGATGTCTCTGTGTTTTTTCACGAAACGAAATTCTTTACTTCATATGTTCAATTTTCATTAAACGATTTAATAATTCGAAAGCTCGTTCAGATTCATATTTTAATTGCTGAAGAAAATTATAATCTTTTGCTTGTTGAATAGCTACTTCAAGTGCTGGAATTGTTCGTTCGTCAATAGCTGCTAATAGATCTGAGCAAGAAATTTTTTATTTTATTGTGAATTAATATTTCTTTCAATATCAAACAAAATACTAACCACGGCGAGCTTTATCAAAATCGACTACATAAGGAGATGCTGGCGGAAATAAAAACATATTTTGTACAGGCGATGGAGTTAGAATTTTTTCCGCTGATAGTGAAGTTGTAAATTTTTCTAATGGTGCAGGTGTAATTGGAGCGGGTGGAGTTGGTAGACGAGGATATGGTGTAAGTACAGGTGGTGTAAAGATTGGTATTGCTTTATCATCTGCAAAAGCTGGAATAGGTGAGTCACATCGACTAATAGATTTGACTTCTCGTATTTCATAAGACTTGTGTGGGCTGAAATCACCAGGGATTGGTTCAATTTTTTCTTTGATAATATCTTCAACTGAGTAAAATTAATAAATATATAGTTCAGCAAAGTAAAATAGAAATAATAGCTTACGTAAAAAATAGATCAGTAGCATAAGAGAAATAAGAGAAATAAGAATTAGAAGTGCAGCTAAAATTGTACCTAAAGTATCTGTAACAAAAGAAAGATCACTAATATTCGATATAATTTTTTTTGTTCGAGTTTTACTTCTTGACTGTGTAATGCAACATGCAATAACACCTATTAGAATAATAATTTCGACAAGTACAATCATTAGTACGAATATAAGATGTAGTTTACGAAGTATTTTTTCTTAAATGAATACAAACGTAATTTTCAGTTCTAGTTTACTCGAACGAAATTAATTACCTTTTCGAGTTATATAAATAAAAGCAGCAACTGATGCCATGACCAGTAGAAAAGCCATCGAAGCCAAAGAAATTGTCACAATAGATAAACTTTGATTATAAATAGTAATGGCTGTCGTCGGTGTTATCTTATCGCCCGTCATACTTTGAACAAATAAATTTGCTGTCACAAATGATGCTTTCACAGAATAAAAAAAGCTCCAATATACTTTATGTAGAATTGTTCAATGTAGATATTCTTCTTTTCTGTTTACTTGGTGATAGGCAGCAAGTTGGCCAACGGATAAGATTGTACCTCTCTATATGTTCGTGATTACGTTGATATAGTGAAGAGAAAAGAACAATCGCAAGTTCTCTATGGGTATGTCTCTCTTTTTCTTGGAGTTCGAAGGATGAAATATGAAGAGTTAAGAGAGAGAGAGAGAGAGAGAGAGAGAAAGAGAGCGGCATCGCAGACGATTTGCAATTAGAATATGAGAGACCTATCGAAAATGTATATCGATAGGTAGGCACACGTACATAGAGGAAAGATGAAATATGTCGGTTGTCTTAGTTACTTTACATGTGTATGTGTTTGTACAGACATAACTAAAACAACACGCACATTCAATGAGATACAGTACTAGGTAGTTAAACACTAAAAGCCTTCATCTTAAACTTCACATCAAAAGTATATTGTATAAGTGACAGGAACATTAATGATGCAATGTTTGCCCCATAGGTTCATGTTAAAGAGAGAGAGAGAGAGGCATAACATTGATGACAAATAATATAGAAATCTAAATCTACTATTATGATATTGTAGCATTATTTTTGAAGAGCCTCATGTGATTATTTAAAATGTTCACATTCAATGAATATGAAAGTTTACGATAGGTATCATTCGTATGGCAACATTTGTATACGTTTATGTACATTTTTAAAAGATTGAAGTTTTTGTTTTAGTGTAAAAATTAATCTCATTTTCTTTCTCAATTCAAATTTTTAAATGTAAAACAGTTGATTATACATCACAATAATATATACATGTTCTATCGTCGATTGATCACATACTGTGAGTATTCTTTGTCGATTCCTGTTGAACAATCAAAGTATATAAATGATCCAATCTCGTTCATGTTCTATTGCAATCGAATAAAGTCATATTTCAATAGAGTTTATTTTATTAAGTTCTTCTATGTATATATATGATTGTACGCTTCAAGTATTATATCAAATAGCCAACAAATTTTTGAAAAAGATCTACTGCTATCAAATGCATACACATATATTCACAAGAAGAATTAAAGTTTCTTTTGAAATTGATCACTCAATAATTTCAAAAAATGATATCAAGAATAAAATTATTCATTTGTTTTGTTGAATATAATCCGTTATGTATGGGCTGTGATTCGATCTATATTTCCTATAATTCCTATAATTTCAAAAACGTCCTATTGTTGTCCTATATTTCCCTAAAAATTCCTATTTTTCCTATATTTTATCGAAAAAAAACTAGAAAATTTCCGAAAACCTCTTAATTTTGCTATTGTCTTTAGACGAAAAAAGAACTTTTAATGTGTATAATCATGTGTTTTGGACAAATTCTTGTATTATAGTGACATTTGTTTTAAACAGTAGTTTTCCTTTCACCTTCTTAGTGGACTGACTGAGAAATTGTACATATTCTGAAAGCCCGTGAAATTTTACACCATCCTGTGTATGTGCATTTTCCTTCACACTTATTTATTACCAGAAAAAATTCAATTATGATACAATACAAAATAAACTTGTGGAAAATAATAAGCGATGAAAGTTGATTATCAGGACAATAAAATTAGGTTGAGATTTTTTGGGGAGTCATGTCCATAATCTGAAACGTCTCCTTTAATTATGAGAAATAGTATTTGTCTTTTTCAAAGCTTATGATCTACTTTATTGTTATTTATCGATTTGCGAAAAACTTTTATAATGATCTTCGAATTAGCGACTTATTTCAATAGAAAAAATGGCATAAGGATCTTGGCTACGGTTGAACTGTTTATAACAACTTTATTAGAACAATTTTCGAGTAGAGCAGTTAAAAAACGCCAAAATAATAATTGAACAGAAACGGTGTATAAAACGTCCTCTCTTTATGTCATTTTTATCGAAAATCCTATATTTTTGACAACCTTGATCCTCTAAGGATTTCTATATTTTAAAAAAAGTGCAATCGGAGGCAGCGTTATGTATGTAATCATTTTTGAAACCTGCATATTATATCTTTAGTTTTGATGTGTTTCTATTCAAAACATAAAATTATAAATTGAAAAGTCAAAATGGAAATCTAAAACAGATTGCAAATGAGTATTTAATATTTTAATCAAGTGTATTTTTATTTTGCAAAGTACTCTCAAGATAATTTGTTTTTTCCCGCTAAGTACAACATGTAGTACTTTTCAAAAATCGACAAATATCTCAGATACTTTGCTTTTGCTTGAAGTGCTTCGTGTTAGAAACACTGTATGGAAAACTGTTTCTCTACTACTTTCGTTCGTTGGTATGTGAGAAGCTCTTTAAAGTATATAAAGGCTTTCGTTTAAAATACTATTCGTTCTCTTTCATCCATTGATAACAAGACCTGAATCATTTAAGAACGGTTGATTGGCTGATGCAACTTTGTCTTCTTCCTTTTTTTTTGGTTATCTGACCTACGTGATATTTACTTCATATGCAGATAAATGCATTGTAACACTGAATTAAGACTATTATTCTTTGAGCACTCTTATTGTCAAGTTGATGGCATTCGCTTTGTTTTAGATGCGACTTTTCCCTTTGACTGCATTACATGTGCTTTTCATACGAAAATGTCTGTGTTTCATTTATGCTTTTTTAACCAAGTCAAGCATTCGACTCTTATAATTAATCATTAATATTTTCATTAAAAACTTGATCCTTATTCAGTGAATTGATTTATATGTTTATATTTTGTTATTAACGTACTGCTATTAACCGAGATGTTACTGTTGATACAGAATTATTAAATAAGCACAAATATTCTGGATTCAATATAGGAATTGTTTTGTCACGTAATTGATATTTTGTTTGTTTTTGTTAGTGAATGACATGGAAAGACAAACCGATACAATATTAATAAATCAATATTATCTTTGAAAACTTTTATTATTTTAATATTGCAGTTAATTAGTTCTATTATTGATTATGATCAAATATTAATTTAAGATTTTTACTAAATTTAGTTCCATAAAATTAGTTTGTAATAATATTAGTCGATGTGAAACTTTTACGGTGAGTATAGACTAACTGTTGTTCAATTCAGGTCAAATTTTTAATTGCATTATATTTTTCGATAGCCTTATTATGAAGAGTTGTATCAATTGAATATTTCCGCTTTTATAATAGTGAAAAAAAAAGCGTTTAACAAAAGTAATATTAAATTACTTTAACAATATCAATGGCCATTAACAGGAAATAACTGAATATTTGTCAAAAGAAGTTTTAAAAGAATCTATTGTAAAGAAAATAGAAAAAACTCATTTTTTTTATTTAAAAGCTTTTGGATTCTTTATATTAAATTGAAATGATTTCATAAAAATAATTTCGTTTTGTTCATCCCATTATTTAATATTTGAAATGAAGTAAACAAACAAAAACAACGAGCGGAGTGGGAGGAGAGGGGGAGATTCAAGTCAATAGAGAAATGCCCAATTATATATTCTTCTAAGAAACAAATGCTACTAATGTCGATATATATGTGCAACATTGTTTTATTAATTTTATTACTATTTGTTTTTATTTTTATTTCTAGGCATTTATAGAAAATGATTAAGATGCGAATGATGAATGTGGAATTTAATAGAAAATAAAATAAACAACTTGTCATTCTTGATTGTCTTCTTTAATCATCGTCTCAATATTTGCTTGACGATAATATCCAGAACAAATGATGCAATTTGACTGAAGAAAAAAAGCTTCTCAGAATTTTCATACGATGATGAGATAAAATAATGAAAACAATGTAAGTGAAAATGGAATGCTACTTATTGATGTAACATCCACTACTTTAATAGACAATAAAATGTAGCAATAAAAACCAATTAAATATGCAACAAAGAGAAAATCCTCAATTAGAAGATTTATCCATCGAAACAATTATTTAGATTTGCTCATTTCCTTTTTTTATTGCTTCCATTATCGTTATATTCAATTCGTCTAGTACCTTTTAGTTAGACTGATTACTCTACTCGTGCATTCATATATATATATATATATATATATATATGCTCGCATGCATCCGTTGTAAAAAAAATAAAGAAGAAGGAAAAGAGCGGGTGTAATGAATGCTCTTAAGGCTTTTTTCGAATTATTACCGACTGGCAAGAAAAAAAATCTTGCTTACGCCTTACAGTGACCCAATGCTCGGGAAAAAAAAGAAAAGAGAAGCAGCGAACATAAGGAGCAGCAGGGATGCTGATGTAGTAAATCATTCGTCGACATAGCAGAAGAATAAGCGAAGTATTCCATTCTATGAGCCACCACTCGGCATAACATAGGGCATTGGTAATAAATTGATTTACCCCTTCACTCAATCATGCAGCTACAAGAGCGTATATTACAGGTATTATTATATGAATACTTTTAGCCTACATTGTAGTAAATACTCATGCACTTTAATTATATTCTTTCTTTAGCTTATGAAAAATAGTTCAGATACACTATCATTAACATACACAGAATTTTGTCATATAAGAAATGTTATAACACGAGCTGATCTAGAAAATCTATTATTTAATGAAAAACTCTATACAGAGGTTGCACAGGGCAAAGTAAATCGAATAAAACTAAACGGAGAGTAAATTTCATTTCTATTAAATTTTCGTTCATTTAGTTATGTTTTGCATGTCGAAAGGTTCATTTTAATTTATTGTCATTTACATTTGGTATTGAATGTAATGTTTGCAAACAAAAAGTTTGTCGGAATTGTATTACACAAGTAGGAGAACAAAAAAGAAGATTTTACTTTCTTATTTGTTTTCCTTTTTGCATTTGTTTATTTAGATTGCTTTGCCAAAAGAAAGATTGAATGATATACCAATACAAGCATTTACTCCATCAAAGTTAACAAAGTCATTTTTACAACCAGATAGATTTTACTCACTTGATGTACAGTAAGTCTGTTTTTTATGAAGATAAAAACATCAAAGTCCTTTATTCAGAGTTCATCGTGACTCTAAGAAATTAATATCAACGTTAATTAGATGTAATTTTGCTAAATATAGATGTGTGAAAAAGTAAAAGAATAGTTTAATATATAAATACTAATGAACCTTTCGCGTGTATCAAAGAATCAAAAGATTTTGACATCAAAAAAAGATTTTTTTTCGCTTTATTTGAAAGATTGTTTATATATATATAGTATAAATATAGACACAACAAATTTAGCATGCCATATTTATCGGAAATACACTATAATTTCTGAGTACTATGAAGTTTCTCTTATTCGATTTTGGATATGTCGGAATTATTTGCTAGCTCAATAGTCATGAAAGGATAATTACAACTGTATAATAGCAAATGATGTTACATACTTAGGGCTTAGCAAAAGCGGAAAAAAACAAATTTTCTTACTCACCAACGTTCAACTTATTTTGGCGAAGAGAAAAGCTCTCTATCAATAGCTCAAACGTCTGTCTAGCTATCTTTTATTGAATGAACAAAACTAAACTTAAGATTCAGAAAAATAAATCCATACATTTCATGGTCCTATCAAAGATACAAGCGTGCTTTCACAATAAAAACAGTATTTCCATTTATTTCGCAAGTGATTTCTCTCCCTGAAGATTTTTATTAATCGATTTTTTTCTTTGTGAACTTCCATTCTAAAATTGATTTTAGATCTCCTGTGACACTGACAGCAAATGATAAATACCAGACTATCAGCTATAATTATAGTGAAATACGTCGTTCATCTACGCCAAGTAATATTCAAAAACAACTTAACGCCACAAAATGGTGTACAGAACCGATTGATATATGTACGGACTGCTTTTTCCTTTTACAACAAATTCGAGAGAAATTTCGTCAACGTCACGTATCACCAACAATAACAACAAACTCAGCTTCATCAAGTTCATCATCATCCAATCGTTTGTATCATTTATCAACACATTCAACGTCAAATTTTAATCCTTCAATGTCATCATCAACATCATCAATAGCTACTTTATTGGCACAACAACAACAACAACAACAACAACAACAACGTGCATTAGTTGTTAAAGCAATTGCAATCTATGCAAAATTAACTCAGACTAAATCCGCTCAAGATCTATCAATGAACAATGTCTCATTACCAAAACTAACCACAACAGATGACAACAATGATGATTCAAATGAAAAAGTTAGTCTATCACGAGATCATCTGTTTCTGAAACTTCAATCAACATATGACGTAAAATCAAATAATGTTGAAACATGATAATAGATTATTTTCTTGATGTGTTTTGTTTTCTTCTTCTTCTGGTGATTAGATTTATTTTGCTATGCATCTATTCATACAGTCATTCATGCATTTTGTTTTGTGTATGCAATAAGAATAAACTTTTTTGTTGCATTTATTTAAGCTTCGTTAAACGTATTCTATTGCCTGGTTTTTATTATATGCTGAAGTATTTTATTATTCATACACAGTAAAATAGTTTTTTTTCCTTTGCATATACATAAAATTATGCAGAATATTTTCTTGTACGTTTTTTTTTCAACATGTTAATAAATATGCGGGTAATTGTCAAAAGTCTACTAAACAAATACATATGAATATTTACGTTTAAATTGATTTTATTTTTGAAAGTTTAGAGTAGATTATTATTTTATATTACAAAATCAGTGGTCGATATCACTATCAAAACTTAGATCCTAACTACAGGTATGTGCGCTACCTATAATGCAAAAATAACATTAAACCTATCAACAATTGATTGAATGAGTTTAGACTGAAACTTTTTTTAAAAATAAGAATAATTTGACTAATTTTAATATCGTCATGAAACTATTTGATTCACATTTTTCTCTTTCTTCTTGTATAAAAACGATTTTTTTTTGTAGGAACTTTAATTAACTATTATAGTCACTTCCAACGAATAAGTATCGAAAATGGTTTCATTATGTGTTTATCGGCAGACTGCCACAGCATTATTTCTAATCGGTACTGGTCTTTCATTCTATGCATTTTATATTGAAACACGTAAAGCAAATGATCCATCCTATCGAGCGGCCTGCGATATTAGTGAACGTATGAGTTGTTCACGTGTATTAACATCTCGATGGGGTCGAGGTTTTGGTTTATTTAAATCTGATTCAATATTTAATCTACCAGATTCATTATTTGCTTTGATTTATTATTGTTTATCGTTGATTCTTAATCGATCATACAGATCAAAAACAATAGCTCGTCTACGTGTTGTTCTCTCAGTGATAACTAATCTTGGCTCAATTTATCTTGGTTATATACTTTATTTTGTTTTACATGATGTATGTCTTGTCTGTTGTGGAATGTATATTGTGAATTTTATCATCCTTATTTGTAATTTGAAATTATTAACAATGCTAAATGCAGACAAACATCAGAAGAAGAAGAAGAAACAATAGAGACATACTCATACATAAACACACGCACACACGCACGCACAGACTCATAAAAAAAGGGGGAAGAGAAATAAGAAGAGAATATCTGACAATTTGTTTTGCGCTCGTTTGTGTTCATACTCCTCCTCAAGAGAAAAAAGCATCATCGTTTTCTGTTCTTATTTTCTTTTTCTTTTTTTTTATTTTTTTTCTTCTTTCGTTCTCGTTTACTGTTTTCCATCCTGCCTATTCGCATTGCGTCCACCGACACAGTCAACCCAACTTCTAATCATGTTTCTTTCTGTCCTTTTTTTCTACTTTTTTTTCTGTTACAAAACGAACACGAAAGATGAAGTTATGCATATTCTACTGATTGCAGATCACTAACAAAGACGCACCTTACATTGCTTCTAGCGCCACCATCAACAACAACAAGAAAAAACAACAACAAACTTTTGTTTGCCGGTACACGAGCGCACCCTCACAGACACATACACGTATGCATCTTATCTAAATGTTTAGAAGGCAATGCTTCGATGTTGGTTGTGAGTACTGATGGTAACAGCTGTGCAAAATGATAGAGCAAAAAAAGAGGGGGAAAAAATGAATATCTTTTTGATCTATTAGTCGTATCAAATGACGATCGTTATAAGTAGCACGTTTTTTTCCTCTTCTTATTCGCTAG